TAATAAGATTTCAGTTTGGGTCAACTAGATTTATACGATATATTTGGTTTACAGTTTGATTTAGAAGAAACACCGACATAACTAGATAATACTATTAATTATCTTATTACTACCACATTTTATATTAATGAGAATTGTAATTTTCATTGTTATTGATAAATGTTATATGAGTATTATAAACCAAATCTTGAATTCTATCCTAATTCTATCCTATTTTGGGGAAATTTCAGAAATTCAAATGTGACGTCACCTTTTTTTAGCGTTGATCTCTTTGGCTAACTCGGCTGTGAATTTTTATGTGCTGGTTTATGTTGTTTTGTGTATCCGTTTTTATTCTGTAATTAGTCACCACTTCGGTTTTATCATGTATTATATCTATTATATAGTCATTTTTATAAATTTACTGTTTGCAAAAGTATGAATTATTCTAAATACTAAGGATTTTCTTATCCAAGACATATAACCTTAGCCGTATTTGGCACAACTTTTTGGAACTTTTGGTCCTCAATGCTCTACAATTTTGTACTTGTTTTGGCTTTCGTACTTTTTTGATCTGAGCGTCATTGGTTAGTCTTGTGTGGACGAAACGCGCGTCTTGTGTATTAAATTTTAAACCTGGTACCTTTTGTTAGCTATTATTCGTATGTTTCTCTGTCATATATGTTCTCCCATTTATTTGTATTGTAGTCATGTCATGTAATATTGTCATTTTAATGTTATATTTAACATTGCCATAAAAGCGGGAGGTTTGGCTAGCCACAAAACCAGGTTCAACCCACCATTTTTTTCCTACAATGTCCTGTTCCAAGTCAGGAAGATGGCCATTGTTATATTATAGTTCGTTTCTGTGTGTGTTACATTTTAATATTGTGTTTCTGTTGTGTCGTAGTTCTATTATATTTGATGTGTTTCCCTCAGTTTTAGTTTGTAACCCGGATTTGTTTTTTTCTCAATCGATTTATGAATTTCGAACAGCGGTATACTACTGTTGCCTTTATTTGTTTTTGTTTTTATTGCAATGGCGTTGTCATCTTGTTTTTGACTTATGAGTTTGAATATCCATTTGGTATCTTCCGTTACTAAAAGTTTGAATAACCTTGTGGTACCTTCCACAACCTATGAGTTCCATACCCGTTTGGATCCTACTGTCACTCTTTTATTGTTATTTTTAGAGGGGAAAAGTAGAGATATTAGAAAATCAAAGGTCTGGAAAGGCAATTATTTCAGCTCTTTTAACTCAAATAGATATGTTCCGTACCTTCAAACAACATTTAATCATTTAAAGTTATGTACAGAACTTCTCTGGTTTATATATGAATTGATACGATATTCCAGGGCTTGCATTTTCTATCATGATTTCCTTAATAGAGGATTGCTGCTCACAAGGAAGCTATTAAACCAAGAGTTCCAAGTGGTGAAGTTGAAATCGTCCCTTCGTAAATTTTACGGACACCATCACGAGTTGGTTAACCGTTATGGAATATCCGTTTCACAGATGACAACGGAAATTATCCAGTTGTAACTACAATTCCGTCCCCTTTTCCGAGAATGTGACCTACCGAATTAGACTTATCAACGAGTTTGTACTGATATGAGCAACACGACGGGTGCAACAATTGGAGCAAGATCTGCTTACCCTTCCGGAGAACCTGCGACCCCCCCCCCCCCCCCCATTTTGTTGGGGTTCGTGTTGCTCAGTCTTTGATTTTCTATGTTGTGTTTTGTGTACTGCTGTTTGTTTGTCTTTTCCTTTTTTAGCCATGGCGTTGTCAGATGATTTTCGACTTCTGAGTTTGAATGTCCCATTTGTATCCTTTGCCTCTCTTTTATTGTTCATCGGCAGATATCAGTTATCAGCTTACTGAAAGATATCGTGAAATAAAACGCCATTTCGATAGTAAAGATTTTGAGTGACTTTTAGTAATTTAGGTTGGCTGATTGTGTCATATTATGTTTAAAAAAATGCCAATTATGAAATGCTTCCAAATTCCCCAAATTTTATATTATTTGTAGGCAATAATATCATCACTGTTTTCTAAATGGCTTACAATTCTACTTACTTTCATATTAGAAATTTCAGGTGCAAAATAATAGCTGTTTTCATTTACTTTTAAAATTCAAAACAAAATTCTGTAAGATGGTTGTCAAAAGATTCTAATCTTCAATTACAATCTATAAAGTATCGAACAAAAGTGAACATAAAATCGTCTAATTTTAACTGTAATACATTTTGTTTGAGAATTTTGAAAAAACTTGTTTATCTAGTATAGCGCCCGTTTTTTGAAAATGTTGTCATTCATATGTATAGATATAACATTTAAACAATATTAAGTTTTTAGAACGTATAAGGGAAAACAATAAATGTACAATACTGTTTTTACCTAAATATTGAATATTTGCCAAAATAATGAATAAAGACTTGAGGTGTACGTATGCATCACAAGGATGACAAAAGAGCAAGTGATGAATATTTGTGCAATAAAAACAAAAATATTAAAACGATGGTGCAAAAACATAGAAGTTTTATCTGCTGGGAATTTTCAAGTCTATTGATATAATGGGGAGCTTTACAAAAAAACACAGTAACTAGTAGGGTTCATTTTGGTCAATTTTTTTACCTTATTATTTACAGCAGTAGAGTAAAAAATAAATTAATTAAATAAGTCTTAAAAAATAATGAAAGGATCTTGAATGAAAAAAAAGATGCACACGACAGTAATTTCAAAAATACGCAACAGACTTACATTGGATTTGATCCGCGTTTAAACTGTACGTATATATCTTATCTTCTCCTACCGTAAACCATCTTAAGCTTCATGTTGTATATATGCGGTCTTAAGTCTTTAAGAGACTACATCCTGTGTTTTCACTTTGTCATATACGTCTGAAACTTAATCGTCAACAACTTATTCGTTTTTTTTCCCGTTAAATCGTTCATGGTCATTCGTGAACAAAACTAAAATGGAAGCCCTCACACATATCCTACCACTGGTGACAAACTACACTATACCTCATTCAAGTCGCACATTCGAAGAATTTACTTCGTCACGTGTTTTTATTACTTTATTCCCTAATAATGCTTAAGCAATGACTTCCTGTATGTCATAATTCTAACCATCTTTGTTATGATTCCAAGCATCTCATTTTCACATTCGAATCAAATTTCGTTGTCTGTAGACACTATTTTTTAACGCAAAAAAGTAAATAGTATCATTTTCCTTTGTTCCTTTCTATACCTTTAAAAAAGATAAAAAGTGGAAAAATTGTGTTGTTACTAGATTAAATGTTAAAATTCATTTGTAGTTAAACGGCAAGATAGTTTATCGATAGTATTTGAAAAAAAAAAACTTGAACCATTTACTTCAACAATTTTCATCGTTTTTTTGTTCTTTTTTTTCCCATGGTGTTGTCATTTTGTTTTAGACTCCTTCCGCCACTTATGAGTTTGAATATCCCTTTGGGACCTTCGGCCACTAATGAGTTTGAATATTCCTTTGGGACCTTTCGCCCCCTCTTTTAATGTTATTTTTAAAGGGCAATATGCACTGATATTATAAAAATCAAAGGTGTGGTAAGGCAACTCATTCAGCTCTTGAAACTCCAATCGGTATGTTTTTACCTTCAAATAACATTTTAGCATTTAAGATTATGAACAACATCTAAAAGTCCCTGGTTTTGTTTGCCTTATTGTTTATTGTTTATAAGTAGATTAGGTTATTCGATAAAATAATATTTTTGTTCTTCAACTTTGTACTTGTTTTGGCTTTCTAACTATTTTGATCTGAGCATCACTGATGAGTCTTATGCAGACGAAACGCGCGTCTGGCGTACCAAATTATAAGCCTGGTACCTTTGATAACTAATTAGAATAATATTTCTTCGTCAAAAAAAGTCAATTATGACATACTTCTAAAGTCACCATATTACTATAATAGATTCTCGTAGAAAAATTACCAAATTACAATCATCTTATTTGTTTAGAATCAAATTACCACTTTTTTTAAATGGTTTACAAAATTTACTCATTTTCATATAAGTAATTTCAGGTGCAAACTAATAACTGTTTTAATTTACTTTTAAGATTCAAATCAAAATTCTAAAAGTTGTTTGTAAAAAGATCCTAATCATAAATTACAATCTATCATGTATCAAACAAAAGTAAACATAAAATTGTCCATAGTGGATCTAATTTTAACTGTCATACACTCATTTTTTTGGATTTTGTGAAGAACATGTTTATCAAGTAGCATTTGTTTTTTGAAAATGGTTGTCATTATATTGTTTATAGATTTGCCTTTCAAACAATACAAAATTTTCAGAGTGTATAAGGGAAATGAAGAAATGAAATGTTTACAATACTGTTTTTAACTAAATGTTGAATCTTTGACAAAATAGTTGTTAGAGACTTGAGTACCTATGTATCACAAGGATGACAAAATTCATGATATATCAACAAGAGCTGTATATTTGTGCAATGAAAACAAAATATTTAAACTATGGTGTGATAATATAAAAGTTGATTCTGCTCACAAATCATATTCGCTCAAATCTTCTTATAATGAGCCTTCATAAAATGTAGTTACGATGAAAAGTATATATGTGATGGTAAGTTTGAAAATAAACTCACTGATGCGATTAATAAATTAAAAGTATTTTATGTAAAATGTAATTTTAATATAACACGCTAATTAGGTGTTCAAATTCTAAATTCTTATTTTTGCTCCTCCTTGTGACAGCTACTCCAGCTGGTTTACATGTCATGTATTTCATACAGATTATATCAGAATAAAATTACTTAGTTGTGGCAGTACATTGGTGCTATATACTGTGTATAACAGGCTTATTTTGACATATGTTCAGTTGAATGTCATTGCATATGTCAATAAGGCAGTTACCCAACAACAAAGAAAACAAGCAGTTCTTAAGTGATGCTTTTGTAACGTCCTAACAAAATCTCCTATATAGATACATACTATATTACCTTATGACAAAAAAGTAAATAGAAGACGAATATATGCTTTATTATTAAAATATATATTTTGATTATAACTGTAATATAAAATAGTCACACACTATAAAACTGAGAACAGACTAGGACCAGCCCAGCTGTTCTTAACAATAAATGTAATAACAAAGGATGCATGTCAAATGATATGATGGAGATATATGTACATGATTGTGATAAGTCAAACTCATGTATTATGCAAAACAAAGAAAAATCATTATCATTTTTCAAAGATTTGAAAAACACTAGTATAAGTTACTATCTAAAATATATGTTATTACATTGTAAATTTTAGTTTTTGGAAATACCAAGATCTTCAAAAAGGAAGCCTGTCAATCGAAAATCAGAAAAAAAACTGACCCAAGGGCCCCTTGGACCACCTATGGATCTTCCCCTGAATTAAAGAAGATACAATAAAAAGTCAACCAACCAACACAATTATTGAAAAAAATTACATATAAACATCACTACACTATATTTTACTACAGATAAGTATTAATATAACATCAGAGAACTTATGACGAGATTCTTATGATTTAAACTCGTGGTTTTCCAGTATCTTGTCATTAAAACTGTTTGAAGTCTGATCTAGGAATTATAGGTGATCCATGGCCCTAAATAATCAAAAGGAGTTTTTGGCTACAATCTCATTTTAGGGCATGTTGAAAGACCATAGATGATATGTGTATCACAATTTTCCTAGACAATGTCATTGATGTTAGCTTATGTAATCATTTCAAAACCCGTTTCAGAACTAAATTTTTTTTAGTAATGATGAAAGCACCTTTTACATCATATAATACCTCTGTTGTGGTTAATTACGATAATATTTACAAAACATAAATGTGATAAAAATCTATAATAAAACCTTATATATTAATTATTGATGATTATAATGATTTGTTGGCAAAAGTTAGAGATGAATCATGTTTCAAAATAAAAATATGATAACAAAAATATAATTGTATTCTTCCTTACATTTCCAATTTTCTGATTATTTTTTTTCTTTGTTTTCTTCTGTTTCAAATTTTGTTTATTAAGATGGTACATATATAACACTACAGGGAGATAACTTTGTAAAAATCAGCTGAACGTTTTAATCACTTTCTACTATGAAGGAAATATTAAGCTTCTCAATGATCAAAATTAGTGTTTGTCAAACTGAAATTTTTACCAATAAAGTGTGTGGTTCAAGTTTTTTGAAATTTTTATATTATTGTCAAAGGGTCAAAGTAAATATTTTGTCAAAATTTTATGAAAATTAAATGAGCCAAACTAATTTTAGTCAAGGTGTTTGGTACCACCTTAATTCTGCTATATCCTTTGTTTTTCTATTGAATAAACATTTATTAACAATCCCAAAAATATTTTTCTAATACATTATTATAGTGTATTTCCAGGATACCAGTCAATTTACCAGATGATTAATGCAGGTTAAAACCAAGAATTCAACTGAATCAAGACTTCATTAAATATTGCCTTCTGTGGGGCAAAAAAAAAAATTTAAACTGAAAGTTGTTTTAACTTTTGTTTTGATTATTAATTGGCTGGAGTCCAGTATGAGGTAAGTCATTTTCAGAAACTCCTGAATCAGTGATAATATTCACAAATACAGACATTATTTAGCTTAAATAGTAATATGACAGGCCTTTATCGAACATACATTGATAATTTTCAAATAGTAAATTATATTAAATTATGAGCAAAAAAGGAGCAAAGGATTTTATATGTCATGACAAAATTCTGAAGAAAACTGCAGGTCATGGATTTATTTTTTGCTTCAGGGGTTGACAGGTTATAACTCCTAAATAGTTAAAACAATAGGAAAGAAAAAAAAATCAAACCATCAGACCATTGAAAAAAAGATAAGGAGACTAAGATCAAATTAATAGCAAATTTCCTAGATAGAGAAAAAATTTATTTCAACTTTCCATGATCTATTTTTGATAAACTTTTCTTGAAAGTTTTATATTCAATGATTTAAAATGACTTATTCTATCAAATATATACTAGAATATATTATGACCTAATTACAGAGGAAGTATATATATGTATTAAATAATTTTTGACTTTTATATAATTTTTAGGCTGAATTTCCTTAACAAATTAACCTATAACGCCTTTTAAAAATAATAAAATAAAAAATGTATAGATATACAAATAAATGCTGATCTTCTTGATAACATAATGAGTGAATGACATCAAACATATGAAGCTGCTGATTCATTCATTTACTTGGTTACCAGTTTTAGTGGATTGAGGAAATATTGTATTTCTGTAGATGTTTGATTTTGAGGTTTTGCCAAAGTCTGCATACAAGCCTATAGAAAATTTATACTTCGTTGAACATTTTAATTCATAGTTTACCTATATCCACAAATGATAATAATTGGTACACCACAAATGATAATAATTGGTTCCCCACAAATGATAATAATTGGTTCCCCACAAATGATAATAAATACACAGTATTCAATTTCATAATAAATAATAAAAAAATGTATCAGTACATATATAAACATAATGGCACTGTCAGAAAAACATGAAGAAAGCTGTAATATGAGTCTACCCTCATTCAAGTCAAGAGTTACATTCTATGACTTTTTAAAGCACAAATTTTAAAGGTGTGTAGACAATAAATATTTGATTGTAAGTAACAGCAAACTAATTCTTTGGTTTAAGGAATGTTTTCCAATGGTCCATGGTCCTATGGTTGATCAGGGACCCGGTGGAGGTGTTGGTGTGTTTGCCATGTTTATCTGTATACCTGTAAAAAAGTTAAAATCAATTACATGAGGTGTACGGTATATATGTCAATAGACCAATATCACTATTTGGGCATCTGCAACACTAAACCATGAAATTTGCGACATTTGAACTATTGATGTCGTACAACCATTGCTTATTTTTTGTGGTATCAGTCATTTTTTCTGGTGACACAATTTTACAGGAATGGCAATGATGTCAAGTAATGATGAACAAATATAAATAAGGTCTATGAGACAACAAAAAAACAAAAAAAAAACAGAAAAAAACAAAAAATAATGGTCAACATTCAAAATTCAGAGTACAAATGCTTAAACCATAGGTCCAAGCTGTCTTCCTCGTCTCTGCATCAATCTGCTCATCTCTTGTTAAAATTCCATCTCAAAGCTGTGTGACCTCACATACTTTGAGCTGGTTTTAGTGACCTTTAATAGTGTCTAATAAATTTATTCACAATTTTTTAGACTTTGGGAAATAAGCTTGAAACTATAATAAAAACAACACCTTTTTCATATGAACAATTATCATTTCAAATACAATATTCTGCTAGGAAATACTGTAAATTCAGAAATTATTGCGAGGTTTTTATTAATGCGAATAATGAGACTGGGTGAGTATCGCAATAGTAAGAACTCGCATTCTGATATCTGATACATATATCTGTATGCAGATTTTCCTGAAATTGCAATAATTAAACTAGCATTTTTGTCTTTTCTTCAACAATCACAATAATAAATGCACGCAATAATTTCTGAATTTACAGTATATAAATTTCTGTATGTATGTATGATGATGATGGATGGATGATTAACAACCAGTTGCAAATCAAATACATATTTAGGACATGAATAAGTTAATGTGACATGCAAATGACCCTGTATCATACTAGAAAAAACAGGCTAGTTAATAATGTAACAGTCTGCAGGAAGACATGTCAACCTACACAGACACATATTCTAATTCTGTGCAGACCAATCTTTGCTGTTACTTCTAAATGTTTTGTGCTCAGTGGAGAGAAGCAACAAATACCAATTTTCAAGTCTTTGGTTTGGCACAGCTTATGATCAAACCCAAGGCCTCCAACACTCAAAGCGAGCACACTTACCACAAGACCACCAATCCTGTCTTTATTTATGTAATAACCATATAAATAACTGGTAACCATATCTATAATTTTACCTGTCTGTTGTATAATCCAGTCAATATGATATGGTACACTCTGATAAATGGCTGGGATTTGGTCTCCACGACAATAAGGCTTCCCAAAACTGGTTACACCCACTAACTCCCATCGTCCATATTTGTTTTGACATACTAATGGACCACCAGAATCACCCTGGAATAAAAACATGTAGCATTAAACAATATATATATATATATACTAGTTGTCATGTTTAACATAGGGACCCAATTTGGGATAGCATATTGTACTTGCATATCAATCTTTATTGAAATCTTAGCAAAAAGTTTTTTATAGCAAATTATTGTTCTCAATTTTCACAACATAAAAATATGCACGTCTGCATATAAAGAACCAAAAATACATCTTTGGAGATGTCTCTCTAACAAAAAGTATTTCTGAAAATTTGTGATGAAAAAAGGAAATAAAAAGTTTTTACCAAAATCAATTTTCACCAAAAATAATATGCACATCTTCATATTATGTGCAACAACTTAATCTCATATTATTTGAATCAACTGTACAAAATGCATGTAGTATACTATCCATACTGTTGGGTTTTTTTTTGCATTAACAGGATGGTGAGTATGGTTTTATTTTCTCACAGATACCAGTAGAAGGTACTTATATGACATGATGGTGAGTATGGATTTTTGTTTTCTACACAGATATCAGTAGGAGATACTTACAAGACAGGATGGTGAGTATGGGTTATTGTTTTTTACAGATACCAGTAGGAGGTACTTATATGACAGGATGGTGAGTATGGGTTTTCTACACAGATACCAGTAGGAGGTACTTATATGACAGGATGATGAGTATGGGTTTTTGTTTTCTACACATATACCAGTAGGAGGTACTTATATGACAGGATGGTAAGTATGGGTTTTTGTTTTCTACACATATACCAGTAGGAGGTACTTATATGACAGGATGGTGAGTATGATTTTTTTTCTACAGATACCAGTAGGAGATACTTATATGACAGGATGGTGAGTATGGATTTTTGTTTTCTACACAGATACCAGTAGAAGGTACTTATATGACAGGATGGTGAGTATGGGTTTTTGTTTTCTACACAGATACCAGTAGGAGGTCATACATGACAGGATGGTGAGTATGGATTTTTTTTTTCTACACAGATACCAGTAGCAGGTACTTACATGACAGGATGGAGAGTATGGATTCTTGTTTTCTACACAGATACCAGTAGCAGGTACATTAATTCCTATGTTAGTCTGAATACTCTTGTTACATCTGTCTACATCTACATTAATATCAACTCTAACTTCTTGTAGGTTGTCTGGCACTGGAGCTATTAAAACGAAAAATATAATCTAACTATGAAAAGGATATCTTATTTCTTATAACTGTAAAATATAAAAAGAATGTTTGGAGATTTATATTGAGTTCATTTTTTATGGAATAATATACAGTGAAAACTTGCTACATCCTACTACTGCTAGATATTATGATTTTTGGTTCTGATTTTATGGACTTCCTAGATCCCTCCAACTAAGAAATTTAGTGCCAAAATAAATACTACTGTAAATTCAGAAAGTTTAGCTTACATTTATTATTGTAATATTGAAAAATTTACAAAAATTTGAGATTTATTATTGCTAATTAAGGAAATGCTGCATGAAAATATGAAAATAATGCTATATAAATTTAGAATGCAAATTTATATTTTGGGGAATTTGTCACAGCTCAAATTGTTTGCAATAGTTAAAAAATCACAAAAACTTTTAAATTTAAAGTATTTTCAATCCCATGTTTTTATTTTCAAATGATGAATATGAAACACTGCAAACCAACGATGTCTTCACCATATACAGATACAGATATTGTTTCATCAAAATTTGCTGTTAAAACATTTTTTGAAATAATGAGCACTCACAAACATGTTTAACCCAGCCACATTCTTTATTTGCCTGTCCCAAGTCAGGAGCCTGTAGTTCAGTGGAGCAGTAAAACTGATATCATTAATGTTATTGAAAAATAAGAAAAGACTATAGTGTTCAATATTATACTAAATTTGATGTTAAGTTTGAGTGGACATGAGTGGACTTCTGACAGTGGGCAGATGAAAAAAGGAAAATCCACCTGAAGTGTAGTGTATAAATCTCCTTTGACCTTTAACCTTCATGACATCACTCAAATTGGAATATTACTTTGCATGAAAAGAGATGTGAAGATGACATTGAGGCACCAAAATTAAGACATCTAGAGGTCAATAGTTCATGCTTTTAGACAATAGACAGGCTGCAATACAATATACCAAGTTTCAACTCTCCCAGATTCTTAAAAATATCTTCCATTTGCTACTAATAAAAAGTAAATATTGTTTGGAAATTTACTTCATTTATTTTTGTGAGATACTATAATCTTTCATGTATTTTGTGGGCCTATGTAAACCACAAATATTCAAAGAAGACCACATTTTGTATAAGCTTGTATGCAGACTTTGGCAAAACCATGGAAATATATATCAACAAACTTTCATTTTTTCTCAATCAACAAAAATTGGTATCCACAAAAATAAATGAATCCACATTATAGCCTTGTTTTCAGGGACTACAGTTAAGAAAATCAAACTTTACCAAAATCTATGTCTTCTCTATATCCCCAGCCTGTGACGTAACAGTTTTCAAAACTTTCTTTGACTTCTGTGGCCAGACAGGCAGGTCTTACATAGTTGTTATAATTAGCTGGCTGTGACAGTCTTACAATGGCAATGTCCGACAGGTAACTATTACTGTATCCTCGATAGTCTGGGTGAGCAGTTACCTGAGCTACATTTAATCTTTGTCCATCATCACTTGCTCCAAGCATTTCTGATTCTTTTACTTCACCTACATGAATCATATAACTGGTCCAACTCCTGGATATAAAAAAAATTTCTTGGACATTTTTGTTTTTGCAACAGTATTATACAAAATGACAACGGAATTGTATCACTTGTATTTCTTAGTAAAAGGACAAATAAGTTTAAAACAAGGAACTATTTGAATCTGGAATAATTTTGAATGGCATGCATGGCTAAGGTTAATTTTACTTTCACTGATATTTCAGTATGAACTAACTAACCCCGCTTAGCCATGCATGCATGCATGCATGGCTAACCCTCCTAAATTGGGTTAGTTTTCATCATATATTTCTTATCAATTTTACAGAATTCAAAATTATTCCAGATTTAAATAATTTCTTGTTTTGAATAGATTGTATCTTAATTTCAAGCTCTTAAACTTCTACCTTAGCTTTTTCAATCTAAAGCAGCGGCCAATGGAACATTACAGTCCATAAAGAGAAAACTAAAAGTAGTCAAAACAAAACTGTCTTTTAATACCAAGGTTAATGTAAGAGCATTACACTTACTCCACACAATGTGCTGCAGTAATGGCATAGTACGGGCTGATTAAAGTTGCACCACATCCAGAACTTCCATCCATAAAAAACAGACCTTGCCATGGCCACTCTCCTGGTATAGCATCATTTCCAAAGAGTATGTAGGATCCAACGGAGGTCGAGGAAACTGATGGAACTCCACATTCTATAATACAAATTATAGGTGGATTATCTATTGCATAGTACAATATTAATGTCATAACAGGGCACTTATATGCACTAAAACTATAGTTTGGGAATCTTTTTTTTTCCCATCAAATCTCTTAATTTTTAACCTGGATTTTCAATTTCATTTCTTAAATCTGGTTATTAAAGTAATTGACTTACAAACGACCTTGAAAGGATCTAATAAACCAATCAGATACCACAGTAAATGTAATAGAAAAAAACAAAGTAACTTTTAAGCGACCTGCCATTGTCAGATTCACAAGTACTTCAACAGTTATATTTTGGATTAAAAATATGAATTCTAGCTGGCTCTTCAATGACAAAGATATTTGGAACAAAAATTAAATCAAATACAAACAAGTGAAACTGCGAGCTACTGCTCACTGATGATACCCCCGCCCAAATATTTCGGTGAACAGGAAGTTGTTGAGTGATGAATCTGAAAACGCATCACACTGTATAGCTGACTTATATAAACCCTGAAACCAAATTTCAGAAATCTACGTATTGTAGTCCTGAGAAAAATGTGACAAAAATTTTCAACTTGGCTATCATGTGTAAAATGATACAAGTGTTCGGTAAACAGGAAGTTGTTGAGTGATGAATCTGGAAACGCATCACACAGTATAGCTGACTTATATAAACCCTGAAACCAAATTTCAGAAATCCTTGTATTGTAGTTCCTGAAAAAGATGCGACAAAAAATATTCATGGGATGGAAGGACGGACTGACAGATGGATGGACTGACGGACGGATGGATTGACAGAGGTAAAACAGTGTACCCCCACTTTTTTAAAGCGGGGGTATAATTAAAAGCAAAATGTTTGAACCATTCCAATCCTTAATTTCTGTCAGCCATAAAAATAATCTTAATTTCACAAGTAGTATTTGTTTCAGTTTCTGAATTTCCTGTTAGTTGTTGAAGTTTCTCACAAACTTTGAGACTAAACAATTTTCAATATCTATTTGGGAAATTGTGATCATTTCAGTTCTTACTATGTAGACTAATGAGTTGGGTTGTGTATTGTTATTGTGATCTCAAGCTTCGTAAAGGCGTTATAGATACAAATATGTCTACCATTACCACTTTCTATTCAATAGTAACATTATCATACTTCACAATAACATGACGTCACAGAGATAGCGGCCCCACTGCAAAAGGGTAGGTTTAACACTAGCGCAATTCTTAACATACTAATTGTAATTAAAAGTGTTTTCTACTCACCAATGTTTCCACACTGAATTGTTAAAGCACTACAAGACCTGCAAAGATATATAAATTTTCATTAATAAAACCAGTTTCACCACTCATTTTAACCAAACTAATAGGGGAATACACTTATTAAGAAATTAATGTCATTTTTTGATTGAGGTTACACCAACTTGACTTCCAGTCTAAAAATATTCAATTCTAATACAATTTTATATGTAAAGATATTTTTGATTGGATGAGATCTGCTGTCATTAAAACTATTTTCATACTTCCCATTTTTGACTCCAGAGGATATAATTATCAACAGGTTACCTAATCTGTGATAGAACATTCTGGTACTCAGTCAAGTAAGAGCAAGTATAAGAAGTAAAATCACACTTACAATCTGTGCAATTCTTGAAAAAAATAACTATTTTCCAATGATTTTGTCATGTATAGAAAAAATAAAACAGACCATTTTTTCCCCAAATTGAACTGATTGTATGCTTAATTTTACTACTGTTTGTAGTTCTTACCTGACTGAGTACCAGAATGTCATAAACCAGTAATCTTCTGAGCGTTTCTGTGTGTAAACTGTGGTTTCATTTATATTCATGGCTTAACCAGTTTTCTTAGATGGAGGATTTTTGTGGATATTTGATTTTGTTGTTTTTACAAATTATGCTTACAAATCTATAGAAAATCTGTATTTCCCTGAACATTTAAATTTGTGGTCTCCCTATACCCATGAAATCAACAAAAATTAGTATTTCACGAATTATAATGCATCCACTTTAGATACTTACATTTGAGTGTTTAACACATAGTTTGTGATGATACCGGTAGGATTGGAAGCAGACTGTGCCAGAAACCCATTAGTTATTGATACTCCAGCAGAGTAACTACTGTATGGTCTGAAAAAAGGCAATTATAAGAATCAACATTGATGCAAAACCTTAAGGTGGTACGTATACATCACACTACAGGGAGATAACTCGGTAAAAATCAGCTGAACGTTTTAATCACATTCTATTTTCAAGGAAATAATAAGCTTCTCAATGATCAAAATTAGTGTTTGACAAACTGCTATATATCCAATGAAATTTTTCCGATAGTGTGGTTTTAGTTTTTTGAAATTTTTTTATATTTTTGTCAAAGGGTCAAAGTAAATATTTTGTCAAAATTTTATGAAAATTAAAAGAGCCAAATTAATTTTAGTCAAGGTGTTTGGTATCACCTTAATAAACGTTAGAAAGATCTATAAGTGAAAACATTGAAACATGTTTTTGCTGTTAAATGGATGAAGAAATGATCACTATTAGACACAAATTAAGGGTCTTATCAACATATCTAATAAATGTAGGTCTTGTCCTTTCTACACACATATAAATACAATATAAACATTTTTCTGAATCTGTACCGTTAAAAGTTCAGGTTTTGCTATATATCCTTGGTAAATTGGTTGACAAAAAACTACTTTGAATTTGTTTTTTTTACAATCAAACAAAAATGTTTTTCTTTTCTTGTGATTCTTTTTGAATTTGTATTTTTAGTTTTTAGTGTTGGTCTTGTTTTGGTTCTATGTATTTTTATGATTACAAATAATCTAGACTTGTTACTTTTTGCTGTATAATATTAACACCAATGACAAGTGATTCTGTCCTGAGATGACAAAAGAAAACATATAGATGTTATACTGAGGTGTGTTTTACATACCCATATCAAGTGATGCTACAGAGATATTCTGCTAGTATCTGATCATTTAAATAACATAATGTTGTCCATACACCATCTGTATATACTGATATGTGTGTAAATGATGTGTATGTGTGTAAATGATGTGTATACATGTGTGCATGTTTTACATACCCATATCAAGTGATGCTACAGAGATATTCTGCTAGTATCTGATCATTTAAATAACATAATGTTGTCCATACACCATCTGTATATACTGATATGTGTGTAAATGATGTGTATGTGTGTAAATGATGTGTATACATGTGTGCATGTTTTACATACCCATATCCAGTGATGCTACAGAGATATTCTGTTAGTATCTGATCATTTAAATAACATAATGTTGTCCATACACCATCTGTATATACTGATATGTGTGTAAATGATGTGTATGTGTGTAAATGATGTGTATACATGTGTGCATGTTTTACATACCCATATCCAGTGATGCTACAGAGATATTCTGCTAGTATCTGATCATCTAAATAACATAATGTTGTCCATAGACCATCTGTATATACTGATATGTGTGTAAATGATGTGTATACATGTGTGCATGTTTTACATACCCATTATATCCAGTGATGCTACAGAGATATTCTGCTAGTATCTGATCATCTAAATAACATAATGTTGTCCATAAACCATCTGTATATACCGATATGTGTGTAAATGATATGTGTGTGTGTGTGTGTGTTTTACATACCCATATCCAGTGATGCTACAGAGATATTCTGCTAGTATCTGATCATTTAAATAACACAATAGTGTCCATGCACCATCTGTATATACTGATACTTGACCATTGTCTTGTCGTTTAACTGCAAAAAAAAAAAAAGGAATAGAGATCCGAATGACTAAAATAAGTATATCATTTGTGAACAAACTTCTTTAAATAAAGACTACCTCAATTATGGTCAATTCAAACAAAATAGAAAGTCCAATTATCTCAATCCTCCCTCTTTAAGATCCACCTGTTCAATCATCTTTGTCTTCTTAGATGTTGGTCTATCAGTTCAAGAAATTTTCTTTCCACATATTTGACTCACCCTTTGTCTTCCTTGATAACAACCTCAGCAGTGATATAGTTAAGGGAGAGTGGCTCAGATATTATTGATATCTGTCTTGACCTCCTGATATATTAGGCACTTTTTCTCCTCAGTCAGACAGACTATCACAAGGTGTCTAAGTAAATGTGTGCCAGAATGTATTTACAAAAATAGCACTAAATACTACATTAGTCATGAGAATTGTTGATGGATTAATTGTAACGTGTTTAATGTCCAGTGGCAAGTATTTCATGAATATTCAGGCCAAGAACAATACAATAGGTAGGTTGTTTTGGTTTTGGGGATGGCAACTTTAAAGTCTGTTGACAAGTTACGACAATTTTAAATGGAATTCAAAAATTCAACCAAATGTCAGTCTTAACTGCTGCTGTAATCTTGAACTTTTGGCATTTAATGACCTTTACATCCACAAAGGTCTTTTTCATGAAATGCTATAGCTTATATTTTCATATACTAGTGTACTATTGGCAAAAATGACACCCTAGGGAAAAATTATCATGGATTTTTGTACACTAGCATATTTCATCCAAAGGGAAAAAGAACACTGTCAGAAATGATTCAAGACTACATTTCAAACACTTGCTTATCAACTTGTAATCAGTATTCTGTACTTATTTTAACTAAAAACAATCTAATTATACTAAGGTATGAATGAAAAAGAAAAAAAGTTTGTATAAACAGCATGTTTAAACTTGTGTTTTGTCTATTAAACCGTTGGTTGGGTGATTTTCAAGTACCGATCGCGATTTTTAAAGTATGTTATTATATGTACCTTTTGTTTGTTAACTGATTGAGTTTTAAAGGTCGAGGATTAAGATCTTAAAAGAACTAGTTTATGTTAACGTGTCTATCAAAAGTCAGGAACTGTGATTTGTTTTGTCATCTTTTATTGTTTTACACACTTAATTTATTCAAAATTCTCCTGAAATCAACATTTTGTATGTCTTCTTAGTATATACATAAATATAAAATTGATAAAAATAAAAAAAGTATTGACAAGCAACCTTTGCCTCCTATTCTATATGTGTACACATACCACATCTATATTCATCAGATTTATCAGAACACTGTGGAACTCCATCACAGCGATTCATTAGTGGTATACATTCATGGTTACTGCATTCAAACTCATCACTACCACATGTAGCTGAAAAATAGAAAAAAGAATTTTATACAATAGAATGTAAATTGAAATTAGGTTTGTTTACCAGAATGTCATAATCTAACAAGGGTTTTTGACTTTCCATTTTACATTAGATAGAAACAAAAGTCTTTATACAGCAAGTTTCCCTTCAGGGGGATTTAAATATAACAATCAATTATTCTGTTTTTGGTATGATAAATAGGCCATGGTACTTTTGACAAAAATACATATGGTCTTAAATTCTATCATTTTATGTAAATTATTTAAAATAACCCTTCTTCCTTTTGACAAAATATAAAAAGTTAAATTGTTAGAATTGTTGAAAACAATTTGCAAGTAAACGTAAACCTGAAATGCATGTACATACATTGGACATATCATATTTACACTTATCAGAGTATTATTTTTTTTTATTGCATGCAATATTTAATTACATTTGCAAATAATTTCACAGGTAACACAATAAAATATATAGATGAATCCTGTTTAAAATTTAGTTTTTTATAATATGATATTTCTCTTTGCTTATAAACAATGTTTGACGGCTACATCTAAGCTGTGATATAGAAATTATTCAAATAAAGATATTCATCACTTTGCTCTACAAACTGACGTAGATTTTATGCCCAACAAATGCACAACTAATGTATTAAAATGTTGTCCTAGACCAAATACCTTGACAGAAAGATAACGATTGGAGTCAAGCCTATTGAATTCAGACGTCTGTTTATCTCTGTTCTCATATCACAAATGAAATCACATTAAATACATTTACACTCAAACACGTACCACAGTTTTGTTCATCTGCCAAGTTTGGACAATCCACATTTCCGTTACACAGAAGATCCAAAGATATGCATGTAGAATTAGGGTCACCACAATTGAACTCATTCTCAAAACATTCTGCAAAAGAAATTTTAACATAAATTGTTTATTTTTCATTCTTCTTCAAACATTGTTTTGCTTGAAGTATAATAAGTAAGTGAAAATTTAAGTCATACTAAGGATTTTCTTATCCCAGGCATATAACCTTAGCCGTATTTGGCACAACTTTTTGGAACTTTTGGTCCTCAATGCTCTTCAACTTTGTACTTGTTTTGGCTTTCGACCTTTTTTGATTTGAGCATCACTGATGGGTCTTATGTAGACGAAACGCGCATCTGGCGTATTAAATTATAATCATGGTACCTTTTGATAGCTATTATTTGTGTGTGTCTCTGTCCTGTATGTTCTCCCATTTATTTGTATTGTAGTCCTGTCATGTAATCTTGTCATTTTAATGTCATATTTAACATTGCCATAAAAGCGGGAGGTTTGGCTAGCCACAAAACAAGGTTCAACCCACCATTTTTTCTTAAAATGTCCTGTACCAAGTCAGGAAAATGGCCATTGTTATATTATAGTTCGTTTCTGTGTGTGTTGCATTTTAGTGTTGAGTTTCTGTTGTGTCTTTATTCTCATCTTATATTTGATGTGTTTCCCTCAGTTTTAGTTTGTAACCCGGATTCGTTTTTTTCTCAATGGATTTATGAATTTAGAATAGCGGTATACTACTGTTGCCTTTATCTACATTTCATTGATGTTATATATATTAGAAATGGACACTTGTCGATTATTTAACACAATATAATGACTTATACAGTCAAACCTGTACACCTAAGGTCTACAAAAACTGACCTTATTAGAGGTGACCTTTAAATTGAGGTTTAAAATGTTAACACAGCAGTATAGGAAGAGAGTAACAAGCTGACAAGGCAGGTTTTCAGTCAGCAAAGGTGACCTTCATACCAGGTTTGTATTTTGGTTTTGTGTTGTCAGGTTGCTTTCTGATTTTAATCAATATTTTAATAAAATTTAGAGAGACTTCATTTTTTAAGAGCAGAAAAGATCTGGAAGGTCTTTGGTTAACATCTTTTCAATCTCAAATGTACAAAATGAAGAATTTATAATGACCTTCCTTAAATTACTGTCACGTTTTGTTAAAATTGATTTAGAAATTGATTAATTTATCACTGCTTTAACACCCAGAAGCATGTTATCAAAGAGCAGATCCTGATCATCGTTATCAAATAACTGTATTAGAGCAGTCAATAGCCATTATATCACCACACTAGAGGTGAGCAAAAATCTGAGCATGCTCAAGAGGAACTAAAATAAGGAGCAGATCCTGATCATCTTTATCAAATACCTGTATTAGAGCAGTCAATAGCCACTATATAACCACACTAGAGGTGAGCATGCTTAAAAGGAACTGAAATAAGGAGCAGATCCTGATCATTTATATCACATACCTGTATTAGAGCACTCAATAGCCACTATATCCGTATTGCTTGATGAGCAGGAAACTAAATCATTGGCACATTCTGTCAGATTGGCTTCTGTGCCATCACAGAAAAACCTGTAACCAAACCCTGGTCTCTCTGTCCTTCCTTTACCATATTCTGATTTGCTGTGCATTCTTGAATTACTAAAATATAAAATATTTGCAAAATGAAATTAAATTATTTCAAACTTTTTTAGCATTCTTACTAATAAAGCTAATTCTCCCTGTATCACATGGATGTTCTTGAAACCTGTATCACATGGATGTTCTTGATACCTGTATCACATGGATTTTCATGAAACCCGTATCACATGGATGTTCTTGATACCCGTATCACAAGGATGTTCCTGATACCCTATCACATGGATGTTCTTGATAAGGTAAAATATGTATGAAGCAAAATATTACAGTACACCAAGATTTTGTGCTAATCACTTGTAACAGAACTTAAAAAGGTCTTCTTTAAATAGGAAATAGGGGACTCCAGATGGGTACCCCACTTAAGTCACAATGTCATGTTTAACAAGAGGCTGTCAGAGTGACAGCAAACCGGATTTCCTGTAGTGGTCGAACCCTGAACAGTTGAGCAAGTATGGACACTACATTTAAGCTTAAAACAGCTCTGAATTTGGATTGTGATTGAATATTTGACTCAGCATAGGTTTTGTGACACAAAATGAATGAGGTCAAAGAATTGAAAAATTTGAAATTGGACATTTACCTATTATGGTCCAATATCCAAAATCTAAGTACATTGTTAGAATCAGCATATCAAAGAACCCCAAGAATTAAATTTTGATGAAATCAAACAAAAGTTTAATTTAGGACCCTTTGGACCTCAATGTGGACCAATTTGATAAAGGAGCCAAAAATCCAAAATCTCTAAATATATATATATCGATCGAGTCACTATACATGGTTAGATTCAGCATTTCAAAGAACCCCATAAATTCAATTTTTGTTGAAATCAAACAAAGTTTAATTTTGGACCCTGATTTGGACCAACTTGAAAACTGGGCCCAAAAATCCAATATTTAAATACAGGTTTAGATTCAGCATTTGAAAGAACCCTATATATATATTCAATTTATGTTGAAATGAAACACAGTTTAATTTTATCCATATACTTTATATTAATTATACCATTTCTGTTCAAAGGGAAATAACTCAAACTGAATAAATCATATAATAAGCACTTTTGCTACTGAAAAGGTCTACAACTCAACAATGAGAACAGCTAAAATCGTGAAAATTAAATTTGACCTTCATTTAGTCACAGGAAACAACATATCTAAATTTGAAAAGATTTCGTCAAAGCGTTTTCATGTTAATAAACGTACACTGTTTGGCAGCCGCCCGCCCGCTGTACATCTCCAAATCAATAACCAATTCTACCTTAGGTAATGAGGTCACTTTTCGGCAAATTAAGACAGGTTAATGTATAACAATAAACCTGTGTTAAAGATCACAGGTTCTTTCAAATGAGACATCAGGTAGAAAGGTTGCCCACCAGACTCCACCCCCCTTCCCACCATCCACCCAAGGTCATGCAACACCCCCCACCTCCCCCCTAAGGTTGCAGGTCTGATTTAACCATGTTGGAGCCACAAATAGGCAGAGCTTACTTCTTTTGTATTTATTTCCCTCCAAAGTCATATGTTTTTTCTATCTGTTATAAAAGAACAGCGTTCCAATGTCCCCCCACCTATGCACATATTTTATCCCTCCAAAAGGCAATAATTTTGATGTATTTTTTTTCAAATTGGTTCTTTTAATCTTTTTCATAAATATTCTACAAGAAATTTCTATTTCCAAAGGGCATACATAACTCCTGCCATAATAGTTTATTGCCGCTCATTATCAAACTCATCCAAGACCTTAACAATATAAACCTTTCATGTCCCCTGCCTATGCACAAAAATTTTTTTTTCTTTCCAAGGGCAATAACTCTAACATATTTTTTTTAAATTGGTTCTTTTAATCTTTTTCTATAAGAAACATAAGCATTGAGTGAGTGAGAAGGCTTACAATTTAATTTTCCATCAACTTTCTAAGTCAAAAAGGCATTTATAACTTCTACAATAAAAGTTTATTGGTGTGAATTATAGAATAAATTGAAAACTTTGCTGATATAAATCTTTGATATAAAATTCATTAAATTCCGACAAGAAATGTAGGTGTGAGAGTGCTTATAATGCAAAATCCAATATAAATAACATTTCAAAGGGATTTTATTCCTGTCCAAATAGTCGATCAGCATTCTTTTTCAAAATTCATCCAAGACATTACTATTACAGAAAAAATTAAATTGGAAAGACGAATTTATGTCAGTCTTCCAAAAGACCAAAATATTATTAAATTATTACATCCTTTATTAACACAACATGTGAAACTAATCGGCTATTTTTGGAAACAGTTATTAGAACTGAGGACAGAATTAATTTTTCATGTTTTTTTTTAATTTTTATAATTATTTCTTGACTGCATTAATTGATTCATGTTCAATTCATATTGCATTGATATATATATGTATGTTTTTGTCACAAACATAATTAATTTGTTTATATGACAATAAAGATTATTATGATATAAACCTTTGATATATATTTTTTTTAGATCTGACAAAACATGTACATGATGTAGGCTTTATAGCACTTACAATGCAATTATATATATAATTTTCATAAGTGACATAGAAAAATTATTGACTTTTACAAATTGTAACTTGGATGGAGAGTTGTCTCATTGGCACTCATACCACATCTTCTTATATCTATATATAGCAAATATAATTGCTTAAAGGTAGCTGAAAAACTTCAAATCTTACTGACTTTGGCTAATTTTCAGTATTTTTCCAGAATCTAAAAATGTAATGGCACTGTAATTTGTTCATAATGCTAATAGGCGACATTATCCTTTGAATCATTTAGTGAATAAAAATAATTCTTTATATCAACCAAGGTTCATCCCATTCTAATGTGAACAAATATTTTTTTAAAATCTGATGAGTTCTGTAATGCAATTTAATTTGACCCTATCATTGACCTTGTTTCAAGTATGGCTAATTAAATATTCAGTAGTCCAATTTTGGTTAAGATCTGATAAAAGTGGCAACTTTTATAGTGTCTGCAAGTTCTGAATTGTTATCAAATGACCTTGACCTTTGATTTAGATTTTTGATACAGTATTGTCCTACTACCATAGGGAATCACTGAATCTCGTTTGTTGATTGATTGGTTGATTTATTGGTGTTTAACACCACTTTCAGCAATGTTGGTTATTTTATGGCGGCCAGTTTTTATTGATGGAAGAAGCCTGACCGGAGAGCCCTGAGAGAACCACCAACCTTTGGTAGGAAAACTGAAAATCTTAGTCAATCAAGATTGGTGTTGAATGCACCTGTCACATATGTGACAGGATAATGATACAGTAGTTGAACTACATAGACCACTCATCCACTGAAGCCCCTTCTCCTTTGTTGAAGATCAGCTGTAAGTTGTTATCTCACTTACTTGTAACCTAGCTGTCAACAAGTCATTTTACTGTCACTTACTTGTAACCTAGCTGTCAACAAGTCTCTTACTTGTAACCTAGCTGTGAACAAGTCATTTTACTGTCACTTACTTGTAACCTGTAACCTAGCTGTCGACAGGTCACTTTACTGTCACTTACTTGTAACCTAGCTGTCGACAGGTCACTTTACTGTCACTTACTTGTAACCTAGCTGTCGACAAGTCACTTTACTGTCACTTACTTGTAACCTAGCTGTCGACAAGTCACTTTAGTGTCACTTACTTGTAACTTAGCTGTCGACAAGTCCCTTTTAAATCACTTACTTGTAACCTAGCTGTAGACAGGTCACTTTAGTGTCACTTACTTGTAACCTAGCTGTCAACAGGTCATTTTACTGTCACTTACTTGTAACCTAGCTGTCGACAAGTCATTTTACTGTCACTTACTTGTAACCTAGCTGTTGACAAGTCACTTTAGTGTCACTTACTTGTAACTTAGCTGTCCACAAGTCCCTTTTAAATCACTTACTTGTAACCTAGCTGTAGACAGGTCACTTTAGTGTCACTTACTTGTAACCAAGCTGTCAACAGGTCATTTTACTGTCACTTACTTGTAACCTAGCTATCAACAAGTCACTTTAGTGTCACTTACTTGTAACCTAGCTGTCAACAAGTCACTTTTAAATCACTTACTTGTAACCTAGCTGTAGACAGGTCACTTTAGTGTCACTAACTTGTAACCTAGCTGTCAATAGGTCATTTTACTGTCACTTACTTGTAACCTAGCTGTCGACAAGTCATTTTACTGTCACTTACTTGTAACCTAGCTGTCGACAAGTCACTTTAGTGTAACTTACTTGTAACTTAGCTGTCGACAAGTCCCTTTTAAATCACTTACTTGTAACCTAGCTGTAGACAGGTCACTTTAGTGTCACTTACTTGTAACCAAGCTGTCAACAGGTCATTTTACTGTCACTTACTTGTAACCTAGCTATCAACAAGTCACTTTAGTGTCACTTACTTGTAACCTAGCTGTCGACAAGTCCCTTTTAAATCACTTACTTGTAACCTAGCTGTAGACAGGTCACTTTAGTGTCACTTACTTGTAACCAAGCTGTCAACAGGTCATTTTACTGTCACTTACTTGTAACCTAGCTGTCAACAAGTCACTTTAGTGTCACTCACTTGTAACCTAGCTGTCGACAAGTGACTTTAGTGTCACTTACTTGTAACCTAGCTGTTGACAAGTCACTTTACTGTCACTTACTTGTAACCTAGCTGTAGACAAGTCTCTTACTTGTAACCTAGCTGTCGACAAGTCACTATACTGTCACTTACTTGTAACCTGTAACCTAGCTGTTGACAGGTCACTTTACTGTCACTTACTTGTAACCTAGCTGTTGACAGGTCACTTTACTGTCACTTACTTGTAACCTAGCTGCTGACAAGTCACTTTAGTGTCACTTACTTGTAACCTAGCTGTCGACAAGTCACTTAAGTGTCACTTACTTGTAACCTAGCTGTAGACAAGTCACTTTAGTGTCAATTACTTGTAACTTTGCTGCAGACGAGTCACTTTAAAATCACTTACTTGTAACCTAGCTGTCGACAAGTCACTTTAGTGTCACCTACTTGTAACCTAGCTGTAGACGAGTCACTTTAGTGTCACTTACTTGTAACCTAGCTGTCGACAAGTCACTTTACTATCATCTTCATCCCAATTATTTGCACAGACAGGGGAATATACACCATAAGTAGTTGGCTTTATTTCCAAGCGACCTGAAGCCCTGGTTTGTCCACCAACCAAATGAACTGATGGATTAAAGTCATCGCTTAGATTTATAACTGTGGAATTATCTGAAGAAAATATATATATATATAAAAATATGTATAATTTTGATCATTTTATTTTCACAAATATCAAGTAGAAAATTAAAGGATTTATTTCAAAAGACATGGGATGTGGTCTGTTGTACCTACCAATATTTTTGGTTCCTATTATGCTTTTTATATTATTTAATGAAACTAGACCTCATACTTGCTGCAATCTAAAAGTTTTAATCTTTCGGAATTTGGGTCATCAAGGCTCTTCAACTTTGATCTTTATTTGGCCTTTTTAACTTTTTTTATTATAGTGTCACTGATGAGTCTTTTGTAGACAAAACAAGTGTCTGGCGTACAACATTTTAATCCTGGTATCTATGATGAGTTTATTTAGGTTACCATAAGCAACCATATATTCTAGAGACAAAGTGTGTTCCATTTTCGTCCTTGTATGGAGTACTTTATAGTTTCTCTAGAATTTTTTATGCTCTATACAAAAGTTTCATCAATATCTGATATGCTTGACAGACTCTTTCAGGATGTTTTTGGTTATTACAGAGAATTGCTATTAACATGTTATTAGGCAAAAAAAAAAAACATGTTTGTTTCCTGCCTCCAGACTGACCCTAAGTTTAATCGCAAACCCTAAAATATTTTATTGCCTTTCCAAAAAATTATTCAAGAAAAAGTCATCTCATTAGACTACAAATCCAATTCCTCTGAATTATTCACTCAAATTTGTAACAACACATATCATGTAGAAGGTCTTGTCAAATCATTGAAAATTATAAATGTATCAACACACATGCACAAATTAAAAGGATGCATACGTGTAAAACAGTATCAAACTTGGAGAAAACATGAAATTTGTCAAGATCTCGTTAATGTGCAAAAAAGGAAATAAAAACCTGATTTATGACCCTATCTTATAATGGTTGGAGGCAGGAAACAGACATATTCTTTTTTTTGGCCTAAGCATTATCAAGTTTTTGATTTTTAAACTAAGATTAGTTTTCCCCTAAATCAATCTGCTAATTCAACAATAAATAACATGTACAACTACACATTATGCACATCAACTATACAACATTTCATCAACAATATACCCATACTTTTCCAGTTCTTATGTTTACAAAAAGGATTTCTCTAAATTGTGAATTTTTTTACAAAAGTTTTTTTCCAAAAATAATCGTCCAATTTTCACACAAAAATTAAATATACATCTACATATAATGCACAACAGGCCCGAGAACACAGTTATTTTGTAGTGCATTTCTTTTAGACAATAAATTCAAATTAAAAAAATCGCACCTGCTCTATCTCAAAAAGATTTTTACAGTGTAGTGTACTACTATTGATACAAATAATATTAAAATTATAGAAACTTCTACCAGCTCTAACTCAAAATATTGACAATTCTGTGTTAAGGGGGGCTAAAATTCAGTTTGACAGCTTCAGACATTCTAATTTTTGACCTTTTTTAACTGGACCAAATCACTACTTAACATAAAGATTCAGCACCCAAATTTTTTTAACATGTAATTTCATCCCCTTGCTTAATATTTCATGCATAAAATATCAAGAAATAAATTGGGAAAGTGTATCAAAAAAAAATGCAAGTTATACACTGTTCACACTAGGGACTATATTTGTAGACAACGAAAACCAAAGGACGATAACTGTGTCCTTGGACCTAATAGGATAGAAAGACTTGACCAATTTTAATAAAACTTTGCATGACCTAAGCTTAGGCAATTATAAGATAGTTGGCCAAGTTTCATGGCCATAGGATATATATTATAGAAACTAGGGTCATTTTAATATTGAAATTTGGTGGTTTATTTTTGACGTTTAAATCAAATATTTTCAACTGCCAAGATTTTGGCCTAAAAAATTTAAATATTGCAAAAATTTGCTTTTTAAATACTCTTGAATTTAATATAATAAGTATTAAAAGCAACGGAACACTCATTTGATTTATCAGATTTATTACAGTTATTCAAAAGTCAAATTTATATGAGCCTGTGCCAGAAAATAGAGATTTTTGAATTAAGGGAAGCCTTACATAAACATGCATTTTTTTCAACCAATTTAAAGTTTTTGAAGTTTTTTAACCATACATTATTCTTCCATATATATCAAATGTACTTTAAATGTAAAGAAAAGTTACAAAAAGCATACCACATGAGTATAAAATGGTCTTAGGCCATGTAAGACTGAGAATTATTTAGAGTCGATTTAGGCCGTAGCCCATATTTACATATAAAAATGCACACAGAGGCTATAAGAAATTGAAATTTGTTACTTTTTGCTCATTTCTATGCTAAGATGTCATGATACAAGAAGTCTAATTGCAAAAGGAATCTTGAATTCAACTTTTTTTTGCAGACAGTATGGTCTGATGACCAGTTTTTCACTTTTCAATGGAAAACTTGCATGTAGTTTTAGTCTCATTTGGCATATATTTGAACCACTTACTATCCTAAAGAAGAAAATTATGATAGCATATGAAATGAATAGGGTGTGCTGATCATTGTAAAGTGGTTTTTTTTACAGATTTAGTGAAATATTTGTGATGGACTACAGATTTTATGTACAAAGCTCTTCACATTTCACATACATCAAACAGGCCGTTTAACCAGGGACATAAATACAAATATTCTGCACATTTTTTCTGTGATAATCTACTTTTCTCTAGATTCCGAGTTCACAAATGGTTAATTAAATTTGATTTAAGCATAGAAACACAAATATCAGGAACATAAAAAGCTGTCAGATAGAAAGTCAGCATGGCTCTTAGGCATAAAATGGAAACTGCTTTAAAATGCTTATTTTAGCCGTATAATGCCAAAATGGGACATTTTAACAGAATTTCTGTCAAACAAAGATGTAAATCCTTTACTTTTATTGAGTTTGACAAATTGAAACCAGCAAACCATTCAGGAAAGTTGCCAAAGTACAGAATCTACATTTACGGAATTCATCTCTTAGGCCCGAGAACACAGTTATTTTGTAGTGCATTTCTTTTAGACAATAAATTCAAATTAAAAAAATCGCACCTGCTCTATCTCAAAAAGATTTTTACAGTGTAGTGTACTACTATTGATACAAATAATATTAAAATTATAGAAACTTCTACCAGCTCTAACTCAAAATATTGACAATTCTGTGTTAAGGGGGGCTAAAATTCAGTTTGACAGCTTCAGACATTCTAATTTTTGACCTTTTTTAACTGGACCAAATCACTACTTAACATAAAGATTCAGCACCCAAATTTTTTTAACATGTAATTTCATCCCCTTGCTTAATATTTCATGCATAAAATATCAAGAAATAAATTGGGAAAGTGTATCAAAAAAAAATGCAAGTTATACACTGTTCACACTAGGGACTATATTTGTAGACAACGAAAACCAAAGGACGATAACTGTGTCCTTGGACCAACAACTGTGCACAATTCAATTGACTTTTGGATTGGGGGGTTACAAAAATTGTTGACAGACACATGTATGGACAAAGTGTAAACTTACAGAACTGAAATGTTTGCTGCAGATCTGCTGCAAACTTGCTGCAGGTCTGCTGCTAACAAAAAGCTTGCAGGAACCCTTTCAATAATGTTTGCAGATGATTGCAGCTAGCTGCAAACCTCATGCAAACATTGCAGATTTTTGCTGCAAGCATGTGGCAAATTTGCAGAAACAAAAATGTTTGCAGTAAGGTTGCAGGAAAAACTAGAATATAAGGGATGTTCGCAGCTAGATTGCAGAAATCTTTGACAATTCTATATGTTTGCAAGAACATTGCAAGAACTACATAACATGACTGAGCATGCCTATTGGTAACTTCCTGATAGATAGAGATTTGAAATTTGAAAATGTTGATGGTGTTTGAGTCATGTTATATATTAGTGTTCAAGGACGCATTTAAGTTTGGAATTAAAAGTTTAGTTTTCAAAAACATTATTTGTAAGTAAAAATTCTTCATAGAAGTACTAGTGTAATTTATAAAATTTTAGATATTCACGCATGCAATTTCATTTGAGCATGCATGTACAATGTACTTGAACAACAAAAAAAAACCTTTAAACTAGTTTTCAAAGGTATTAACTTATGCTATGATAATTTTGCAAATGATAAAGTATTTGGATTATTGTATGTATGTATGTTACATATTTTTTTTCAGAATTGGTTGTGTAATACTAATAATGTGATGTGTACCAACAGTCAACATGACATTAATTAATTGTGTAACGTGTGTAGTTCATGCAAGTTTGCAGCAAACACGCAGGAGAAAGATTAATTTGAATATAAATGTTTGCCACAAGTCTGCAGCAAACACGCAGCAAGTGCAGCAAACACGCAGGAGAAAAATTAATTTGAATATAAATGTTTGCCACAGGTCTGCAGCAAACACGCAGCAGGTCTGCAGCAAACACGCAGGAGAAAAATTAATTTGAATATAAATGGTTGCTGCAAGTCTACAGCAAACATGCAGCAGGTCTGCAGCAAACACGCAGGAGAAAAATTAATTTGCATAAAAATGTTTGCAGCAGGTCTGCAGCAAACACTCATTTGCATGGTAAATTGTTTGCGGCAGACCTGCAGCATATTTGCAGCAAACATGCCGCAAATACAGACTCTATGTTCGCTGCAAGTCTGCAGCAAGTTCGCAGCAGACTTGCAGCAAATGTTTGCAGGAGGCTGATTTTTTCAGTAAGGGATATATATATATAGGGCTCCCAAATAGAGGGCCTAGAGGGATCATATGAACTTACCACATTCTCCAGAAAACAACATGATATGGTCCAATGCTATATCTCCTTGGTAACTACTTCCATCAACACCATTAAAATTAATCTATAATATTAAAAAAAATCAATGAAATTTTCTTCAGAGATATTCCAGAAAAAAATATACGGAGGGGTTGAATGGCACTTTAATTTTTTTTGTATGGGAGGGGGCATGTCATGAAGTTTAAATTGTGTGGTTATGTATGCAAAGTAAAACACCATCGTATGGGTAATGGCCATTAAAACTAGAGGCTCTCAAGAGCCTGTGTCGCTCACCTGTATCTACTGTGGTTTTGGAAATCATGTTTAATAAGGTTAAAATCATGATAAATAGTATTAAATACCCTAATGATGATGGAGGCCAAGTTTGGTTTAATTTGGCCCAGTTGTTAAATTAAAAGCAGATTTTTTTTAAAAGTTTACAAAAAATACCAAAAAAATTGCAGAAAATGACTACAAGGACAATAACTTGTCAATTGACGATTTTGGTCATGTTGACTTTTTGTAGATTTTACTTTGCTGAACATTATTGCTGTTTAAAATTTATCTTATCTTAAATAATATTCAAATAACCAAAAACTGCAAAATTTCCTTAAAATTACCAATTCAGGGCAGCAACCCAACAAGGGGTTGTCTGATTTGTCTGAAAATTTAATGGGCACTTAGATCTAAACCTGATGAACATTTTTACCAATTCAGATTTGCTCTTAATGCTAAAGTTTTCGAGATATAAGCCAAAAACTGTATTTTACCCCATATGTTCTATTTTTAGCCATGTCGGCCATCTTGGTTGGAAGGTGGGGTCATCAGACACATTGTTTAAACTTAATACCCTAATGATGATTGTGGCTAAGTTTGGTAAAATTTGTCTCAGTAGTTTCCGAGGAGAAGATTTTTGTAAAAGATTACAAAAAATTGTTAAAAATTGACTTTAAAGGGCAATAACTCCTTAAGGGGTCATTTGACAATTTTGGTCATGCTGACTTATTTGTAGATCTTACTTTGTTGAACATTATTGCTGCTCACAGTTTATCTCTATCTATAATTATATTAAAGATAATAAGTTAAATAACCAAAAACTTCAAAATTTCCTTAAAATTACTAATTCAGGGGCAGCAACCCAACAACGGGTTGTCTGAAAATTTCAGATAGATCTTCACCTGATGAACATTTTAACCCCGTCAGATTTGCTCTAAATGCTTTAGTTTCAGAGATAAAAGCCAAAAACTGCATTTTACCCCTATGTTCTATTTTTAGCCATGTCGGCCATGTTGGTTGGCAGGCGGGGTCATGGGACACATTTTTTTAACTAGATATCCTAATGACAATTATGGCCAAGTTTGGTAAAATTTGTCTCAGTAGTTTCAGTGATAAGATTTTTGTAAAAGTTAATGACGACGGACGACAACGACGACGGACAACGACAGACAATGGACGCCAAGTGATGAGAAAAGATCACTTGGCCCTCTGGGCCAGGTGAGCTTAAAAATGCTTGTTATTGGCCCCTTTTTTGCCCCTAATTTCTAAACGTTTGGGGCAATTACCCCAAAACTCAATCCCAGCCTTCCCTTTGTGGTATTGAACCTTCTGGGAAAATTTCATAGAAATCCATTCTCTTAAACTAAAAAAATTCGTAAGGGTTCCACGGAACCCGGTGTCTTGCATACTTTTGCTGTTAATCGCAGGCTCAACAAAAATGAGGAAAAAAATTACTAAAAATATTCCTCTCTATACTATCTTTTGACTGTAAGTAGCTTCTGTCCAAGTTTGGTAAAAATCCAGGATAGTTTATGAATCTAATAAATGTTTTAATAAAATGCTTCGCTGGGCGCAGCTTGATACGACCGCAGAGGTCGAACCCTGAACATTTGGGGCAAGTATGGACACAACATTCAAGCTTGATACAGCTCTGAATTTGGATTGTGATTAAATATTTGACACAGCATAGGTTTCTGACACAGAAAGAATGTGGTCTAAGAACTTGATTTTTTTTTAATTTACCTATTATGGTCCAATGTCCAAATCAAAATACATGGTTAGATTCAGCATATCAAAGAACCCCATATATTCAATTTTTGTTGAAATCAAACAAAGTTTAATTTTGGACCCCAACTTGGACAAACTTGAAAACTGGGCCCATAATCAAAAATCTAAACACATGTTTTAGATTCAGCATATCAAAGAACCCCAATAATTCAATTTTTGTTAAAATCAAACTAACTTTAATTTTGGATCCTTTGGACCTTAATGTAGACCAATTTAAAAAACAGGACCCAAAATTAAAAATCTAAAAACACAGTTAGATTTGGCATATCAAAGAACCCCAATAATTCAATTTTTGATGAAATCAAACAAAGTTTAATTTTGGACCCTTTTGACCTCAATATGACCCAATTTGATAGCGGGCCCACAAATAAAAAATCTAAATACATGGTTAGATTCAGCATATCAAAGAACCCCATATATTCAATTTTTGTTGAAATCAAACAAAATTTAATTTTGGACCCCAATTTGGACCAACTTGAAAATGGGCCAAAAATCTAAAATCTAAATACATGTTTAGATTCAGCATATCAAAGAACCCCATATATTCAATTTTTGTTGAAATCAAACAAAGTTTAATTTTGGACCCCAATTTGGACCAACTTGAAAACTGGGCCCATAATCAAAAATCTAAACACATGTTTAGATTCAGCATATCAAAGAACCCCAAGAATTCAATTTTTGTTAAAATCAAACTAAGTTTAATTTTGGACCCTTTGGACCTTTATGTAGACCAATTTAAAAAACAGGACCCAAAATTAAAAATCTAAATACACGGTTAGATTTGGCATATCAAAGAACCCCAATAATTCAATTTTTGATGAAATCAAACAAAGTTTAATTTTGGACCCTTTTGACCTCAATATGAACCAATTTGATAGCGGGGTCCACAAATAAAAAATCTAAATACATGTTTAGATTCAGCATATCAAAGAACCCATATATTCAATTTTTGTTGAAATCAAACAAAGTTAAATTTTGGACCCCAACTTGGACCAACTTGAAAACTGGGCCAAAAATCAAAAATCTAAATACAGGTTTAGATTCAGCATACCAAAGAACCCCATATATTCAATTCTTGTTAAAATCAAACAAAGTTTTATTTTGGACCCTTTGGACCTTAATGTAGACCAATTTGAAAACTGGACCCAAAATTAAAAATCTAAATACACGGTTAGATTCTGCATAACAAATAAATAAATGTGGTCAAAGATTTTACAAATCTAATGCGCCATACTGTGCAATTAAAGATTACTTCTTGAAATTTTTCAATATTTGAAATTTGAAAAAAAAATAATATTTGAAGAATAATTCTTTTTAATTTCTGAAATCTGATATGAGAAAAAATTGACTCCCCATAATTTCCTTTTACCCCCCTCCCCCTTTTTTCCCACAAAAAAATTCTTTCCCTCAAGATATGGTCATAATCTCAATTCAAATTTCCAATGGAGTTTGCAACCATAATTATCCATTTAAATTTACCATAGACTTAACTTAATCTATTTTATAATAGAATTTAAAATATAGTGTCAAATCTTTCATATGGATTTTTTGGTAAAAAAAAAAGATGCAACATTTGCAGATATTTTTACTGGTCTTCCTTTATAAATATGCATTTCTTTAAACATAATTTAAAAGCAGTGTATTTGGATTACCTCCCTTACACTGTTTTAAATTATCTTAATTGTTCATTAACCATTACTTTATACATAATTTAAAAGCAGTGTAAGGGAGATAATTTCAATGATGTATTTGATTTATCTCCCTTAAACTGCTTTAAATTATGTTTTGTACTAAAGTATTTGTCCATTAACCAGGACAACCTTGTTTTTCCCCCTTTTTTGCCCCTAATTCCTAAACAGTTTGAGCCATAACCCCCCAAAGCAAATCCTAACCATCCCTTTGTGGTATGGAAACTTGTAGTATAATTTCAGAGAGATCCATACACTGTTCCACAGTTATTGTCTGGAAACTAGAAAATGCTTATTTTTGGCCCCTTTTTGGCCCCTAATTCCTTAACTGTTGGTACCATAACCCCCAAAATCAATCCCCACCTTCCTTTTGTGGTATTGAACCTTATGGTAAAATTTCAAAGAGATCCATTCACTTAAACTAAAGTTACATTTCCTTCTAGATACTAGCTTTTAATCATAAACAAGCTTCTGTCCAAGTTTTGGTACAAATCCAAGATAGTTTAAGAAAGTTGTTAAAGTTTTAAAAACTTTAACCACAGAGTGAATGTAATGTTAACTAGCAGAAAAACTAAGTCCATTTATAAGTAAAATACTGAAACTAGAGGCTCTAAAGAGCCTGTGTCGCTCACCTTGGTCTATGTGAATATTAAATAAAGGACGCAGATGGATTCATGACAAAATTGTGTTTTGGTGATGGTGATGTGTTTGTACATCTTAATTTACTGAACATTTTTCCTGCTTACAATTATCTCTATCTATAAATAACTTGGCCCAGTAGTTTCAGAGGAGAAGATTTTTGTAAAAGAATACTAAGATTTACGAAAAACTGTTAAAAATTGACTATAAAGGGCAATAACTCCTAAAGGGGTCAACTGACAATTTCGGTCATGTTGACTTATTTGTAGATCTTACTTTGCCGACATTTATTGTTTTTTACAGTTTATCTCTATCTATAATAATATTCAAGATAATAACCAAAAACAGCAAAATTTCCTTAAAATTACCAATTCAGGGGCAGCAACCCAACAACGGGTTGTCCGATTCATCTGAAAATTTCAGGGCAGATAGATCTTGACCTGATAAACAATTTTACCTCATGTCAGATTTGCTCTAAATGCTTTGGTTTTTGAGTTATAAGCCAAAAACTGCATTTTACCCCTATGTATTATTTTTAGCTGTGGCCGCCATCTTGGTTGGTTGGCCGGGTCACGCCACACATTTTTTAAACTAGATACCCCAATGATGATTGTGGCCAAGTTTGGTTTAGTTTGGCCCAGTTGTTTCAGAGGAGAAGATTTTTGTAAAAGATAACTAAGATTTACGAAAAATGGTTAAAAATTGACTATAAAGGGCAATTACTCCTAAAGGGGTCAACTGACCATTTCGGTTATATTGACTTATTTGTAAATCTTACTTTGCTGAACATTATTGCTGTTTACAGTTTATCTCTATCTATAATAATATTCAAGATAATAACCAAAAACAGCAAAATTTCCTTAAAATTACCAATTCACGGGCAGCAACCCAATAACGGGTGGTCCGATTCATCTGAAAATTTCAGGGCAGATAGATCTTGACCTGATGAACAATTTTACCCCATGTCAGATTTGCTCTTAATGCTTTGGTTTTTGAGTTATAAGCCAAAAACTGCATTTTACCCCTATGTTCTATTTTTAGCCGTGGCGGCCATCTTGGTTGGTTGACCAGGTCACGCCACACATTTTTAAAACTAGATACCCCAATGATGATTGTGGCCAAGTATGGTTAAATTTGGCCCAGTAGTTTCAGAGGAGAAGATTTTTGTAAAAGTTTACGGACGACGGACGACGGACGACGGACGCAAAGTGATGAGAAAAGCTCACTTGACCTTTCAGGTCAGGTGAGCTAAAAAAGTGCCTTCTAACCCCTCATATTTTTTTTCTGGAATAGCCCTCATTTAAAAGGATTAATTACTTCCAAACCTAAAATTTTTATTTGATTAAGTAGGCTTGGCTTGGCACCCTGAAAATATTTTATATTTGATAAAGTTACTAAGGAATTCAAAAGGATAACTTTGGAGCATTACATTTTATATGATTCGCTTATGAAAGGCCTTAATTTTTTGTAAATTATCTCTTCTTTCCTTCTGAATTTCTTTAAAAAAATTGTAGTGATAAGCATAAGCTACACATGTGGAGCAGTATCTGCTTACCCTTCCAGAACACACGAGATCACCCACAGTTTTTGGTGGGGTTTGTGTTGCTCAGTCTTAAGTTTTCTATGTTGTGTTTTATGTACTGTTGATTGTCTTTTGGTCTTTTTTTGTTTTTGCCATGGTGGTGTCAGTTTATTTTCGACTTATAAGTTTGAATGTACCTTTGGTATCTTTTGTCTCTCTTTTACTGTAAATTCAGAAATTATTGCAATTTTTAAGGAATGGACAAAAATGCAAGAGTATTTAATGAGATTTCAGAAACATCTCCATAAAGATATATGTATTAGATTTCAAAATGTGTGTTCTTATTATTGCGATTCTCACCCAATCGCATTATTCCCATTACCGGTAATAAAAACCTCATGATAGTTTCTGAATTTACAGTATCTTATAAGGCCTGTCTTAAGGCAGTTATCCGTAAAATGCCTGCTATCAGTAGCCAGTGAAATTGTATTTGATACTAAACCAACTTAACTAACGTAAAGATGAATTTTTCTAAGCTGTTTTGCATTGTTCTTTACTTCTAATAGTCCCAAAGAGTATCACCAGCCTAAATATAGCTAGAAGCTAGTTCTTCAGTACTAGCATGAAAATAGGGATATTGTTCTATCTAAATTTGCTATTATACAATTTCAAAATCATTTTAAATTGAGGAAGGTATTTCCTTCATGCATAGCTCTATTTCTTTGTCTGGGATTTGGCTATAATTTTGGTCCTTTTGGGTTGTATCAGCACTTCAAAGTTGTAAATGCGGAAATTATTGCTTGCATTTATTATGACTATTTTTGAAGAATGAACAAAAATGTGAGATTAGTTATTGCAATTTCAATAAAATCTGCATACAGATATATGTACTGTAAATTCAGAAATTATTGTGTGCATTTATTATTGCGATTTTTGAAGAATGAACAAAAATAATTTTTCGCAATAATAAAAACCTTCCAATAATTTCTGAATTTACAGGTGCAAGTTTTTATTATTGTGATAATCACCAAGTTGCATTATTCCCATTAACAAAATCCTAGTAATAATTTCAGAATTTACAGTAATGAAAATATGTACCTTTAAGTTAGCTGCTGGTTGAATATACAGCTTCTGGAAATACCATTGATTCCCCTGTGAGGCGGACCTTGTAAATATTGTCTGATTTGAAAATGGTGTTGAAAGTATCACATCTAATCTTCCAATACTAGCGCCATACATGTGATAATAGAATGACAAACACATCTGTGTATCTGTAAAACAAATATTCTGGGTACATAATTATGTTTTATCTTGGTAAGTTCTGTGGATTCATAATTATTCCTTTGATACCAATTTTTGTGGATTTCGTGGTTATAAGTGAATCATGAATAAAAATGTTTAAGGAGTAGAAATTTCCTACAGGCTTTTATGAAGACTTAGGCAAAACCATGAAATCAAATATCCACGATAACACAATTTTTCCTCAATTCACGAAAATTGCTACCCATGAAAAATAAATGAATCCACAGTAGTCAAGTCATTTTAACAGTGCTTTGAGCAGTTTTCAATATTCATATGTTTTATTTATCTTAACATTATAATGTGTGAAGGCCATCAACAAATTATTTGCATTTAACTAAAAACTGTAAAAAGTAGCCTCATTGCAAGATTTTGTCATCATATAAATTATGAAAAAAAAAACAACAATCAAACCTTAAATATATTTTGATACAAGATGTTGAAAATTCAACAATCCTTAAATATGATTAATGATTTGATAAAAGTAATGAACTAACCTGGATTCAGAACACTAGAGGTCAAGTTAGCATACTGCCCTGTTGCCATGTTAGATGTTTCTATATACATGTAATAACTACCCATCACAGCACTATCTGGTCCTGTGTCTGTTGAAGATGTTCCACCCTGTTAAGCAAACATAACTTTCCAGTAAATGATTAGTCCATCTAGGCATAGGGTCATTATTGCAATAAACTTAGCAAAACATTAGTTGATGGTTGTATAATGATCTTCACTTTAAATTGTCAATAGTTTATATTTGTAAATCCACTTCTTTTTGGGAAACAATTTGTGTTTAGCCCTTTTTAGCCAACTTTTCCAGTTTATTTTAATATAATTTTTTTTAGACTTTGTATATATTACTCATATTATAAAGGAACCAAGTTTGAAATACTGACTTTATTTTATGTTCATTATGTTTTACTATTGAAGAATGTCATGCATATAACCATTCAAATTTGTTTTAATATTTTCTGTAAGAAAAAGTTCCTATAAGACACAATGCCTTGCTCCCACTTTTAAATTTCCATGTTCAGAGAACTATGGAATTTGGGTTAAAACACTGATTTTGTATATATTTTAAAAAGTTTAAATCACAATGAGCAGAAATCATACATTTGAAGTTGTTGTGACCAAAATTTCTAAGATAACTGGTAAAACAAGGTAAAACTGACCATTTACTACCATAAGCATAAAAATAAGTAACAAGGATTTATAATGAATCAATACTTGAGTTAAGAAATGTACATACTAGATGCCTTATCCAGCCAGCATTGCCTTGACTCTGGTTATTGTAGAAGAGACAAAATGGTTCTGTTGCTATTTCAAATGTACATGCACTCAACACATCTATAACATAAAATAATTGTATAAGTTGGAAATATAGGACATTTTATATAAAGAAGATCGAAAGAAAAAAGTTATGAAAAAGAATAAATAACAGGAGTCAAGATTTAAAAAAAAAGGGAGATGAAAAAGAGGAACTATCCTTGTACAATGTATAACAAATTAATATTCATAGTCGAAGAAATAAGAGAAGAAGAAAAAATAACCAAGGAGAAAAAAAAAAAAAAAAAAAAAAAACAAGGGACACTTTCCTATCCCCTTTAACCTACAATTATCCATAAAGGCTGAATGCATTTAGCCAACCCTGTACATGATTTTCTGTGATTTTCATTGCAATTTTAAAATTGATCAGAATTAAGAAATAATTCTGGCAATGGTGGCTTGTCCTGTTTTTCTGTTGAATGGGATTAAATGCGGACCACAAAAGCATTATTCAACAAGAGTTTAGTAGTCTTCACAGTTTCAAACTTTTAAGAAATACTATAAGTCTGACTTACTTGTGGAATTTCTTGTGGAGTTTGAACTGTCGTCTGTGTCAGTTTTCAAAGCTAAATTAAAAAAAATAAATAACTAAGTTGATCTAACAGTTTTAATACACTACATGCAAAGCAGAGAAAAAGAAATGATTGATTGGTTGTTATTTAAAGTCACTCTCAGCACACTTAGCTATTTCACGGTGGCAAGTTCTTATTGATGGAAGTGGCCGGAATGCCCAGAGAGATCCATCAATAGGAAGTTACAAACTCATATTCTCAGTGTAGACAGGCTAAAAACCCTGCCACAATCTGTATGTGCCTGTCCCAAGTCAGGAGCCTGTAATTCAGTGGTTGTCCTTTGTTGCTGTATATCATATTTGTTTTTCATTCATTATTATGTACATAAATCAGGCCGTTAGTTTTCTCGTTTTACATGTCATTTCGGGTCCTTTTATAGCTGCTCATTGTTGAAGGCTGTACGGTGACCATATAGTTGTTAATTTCTGTGTCATTTGGTCTCTTGTGGAGAGATGTCTCATTGGCAACCATACCACATCTCCTTTTTTTTTATAATGGTTACTATAAAGGAACTACTTGGACCAGTTGGCAACAGAGGCCCCATAAAATAAGCAAAAATAATTTTTATATGACTTACTTGTCTTACTTGCAGATGTATTTTGATGTCTAATCACCAAAATCTATCAGTTAAGTGCTTTTGTTTCAAATGATTTTTTTTATAATTTTTCTCAGTATCTTTAGTTTTTCAATAATTCAAGAAATAAAAGAAACCATTGTGTTTAAATATTAACATAATTATTTAACAATGCAACATGCTTTATGTGATTGTACATTGACAAAACTCACCCTTTGAACGTTCTGTAAATTCAGAAATTATTGCGAGGTTTTTATCAATGCGAAAAATGCGACTGGGAAAGTATCACAATAATAAGAACTCACATTATAATATCTGATCCATTTATCTTAAGGCAGATTTTCCCGAAATCGCAATCATTAATATCGTCTTTTTGTCCATTTCTTAAAAATCGCAATAATAAATGCACGCAATAATTTTTGAATTTACAGTAAAAGAAAAAAAAAAACCCAAAAATCAAGCATCATAAATTACAACTAAACAATACTAACAGACATAAAGTATTATGTATAATGGATATATATATATATATATATCTGTACAAAAAATACAATATAGCACATAGAGTAAACATAAGGAGATATAATTAGGCCATTCCCGCCAACAAAAAAAAATATTTTGCAAAATTACTATCTTTTAATGTGGTTTTATTGACTTTAAAAAAAGGCTTATATTCACTGAGGTCAATTATATCCTTAAAAGGTGTGATGGAAAGAGAGACAAATAGAAAGATGAAAGAAAGTCACAGACCAGTATACCTTGTTTAGGAATGTTTTATCTGCCAGTATATTCTATATAAATAATGTAATAACAATGAAATAAAATATCAGATTTTCTAACCTCTCAACCTGTAAAAAAAATTGAATATATAAATAATCAAATTGATTTAAAAAATAATCTAACCTTCATCAGATCCATCCAAACAATCATGATAGCCATCTCTGACAAGGAATTCTGGGATACATACTCCTGAACTCTTACAGGAAAATGTATTTATACTGTTTTCACAGCCTAAAATTGAAATAATACACATTTATTATATACAATGCCATCCTAGATAAAAATTTTTAATTACAAAATTTCCTTTTTAAGAACTATTTTGTCAAGATTGTATATATCCCTGCCCTATAAAGGTCATTGAAACAAAAAAAAAAGAATATATGAATACAGTAGGTATCTTTAAATAATCCAAGCAAAAAGTAAAATCACAAAAATACTGAACTCCGAGGAAAATTCAAAAAGGAAAGTCCCTAATCAAATGGCAAAATCAAAAGCTCAAACACATCAAACAAATGGATAACAACTGTCATATTCCTGACTTGGTACAGGCATTTTCTTACGTAGAAAATGGTGGATTGAACCTGGTTTTATAGCTAGCTAAACCTCTCACTTGTATGACAGTCGCATCAAATTCCATTATATTGACAACTATGCGTGAACAAAACAAACAGATACAATAGGTAAAAATGTCAAAAATAGGGGTACAGCAGTCAACATTGTGTTATCATCTGTTATCAAACCAGTATAGGCTCTTACGCCTAATTGCCTCGTGTATCATAGAAAAGTAGCAACTGTATGCTAGTTTCATAAGTTTGGATTAAATAACATTGAGTTTCAAAAACTTTCTTTTGGATATATGTAATTGAATTTTTTTTTTCTTTTTTTCTTCAAATTGAAAAAGATTGTTTGTCCTGAGAAAAATACCCTCCCCATTCTAGAGAAGATGAATTGAATGTCTCACCACTTTCAAAAAAAAAACTTTATTCATTGATTGTAACTATTGTTGTTTATTTTAAAGCATGGACTTGTTATTGTGGTTTAGGAGAAAATAAGTAAATAAACTGGATTATCTCCCATTCAACTTGATTCATTTATTGTTTAGTTAAAGTTTATTTTGCTCAAAATCTTGGGTCTGCTTTTAAACAGAGCTTTCAGCAAAAGAGATGATATTCTCAAAAAGATAATATGTAATTTAAAATTTTGATGATTTTGTGCTAATTGAAAAAAAATCTAAATCTTCATGAACTTCAATTATTATAGTTTAAAATCATATATAACACTGCAATATCTATAGTTGAGATTAAGCATAGGTTATGAAATGATTTTTTGGTATACTGAATAACAATCATGGCAAAAATAACTGTAAGATCTCCTAGAGTAATTTGGTAGGTTCCTTATAAATTAAACAATCAGATTTAATGATTTAAAATGTAACTGGGTTAAATTTTGTTTGGACTTCAAATGCATTTGTAGTGTGAAATATGTGCAGTCACCCCAAAGGGTAAAAAGTTTTTAAAAATAAAACCAAACCTGTGAACATTGGTATACATTTGACGATTTTGCAAATGGTTCATCATAACAAACACATGTGAATCTGAAAGTCAATAATATATGTAATCTGTACTTACTAGGATTTGGACAACTCTGTCCTTCTATCAAGGTTACATCATCAATAGCAACAATTGCAGGTGCCAAAAAGGAAGTGTCACCATAGGCAACAAACTCAATAGTTGTCTCCCCTGCAGGAAGTTCAAAAGATCCTTCCAACCATTCATCAGTCTCCACATAGATTCCATTGGCATAAAACACCAGCTGCTTTGTTCCATCTTTATTTGTATAAACTTTCAATTCTGCTGATACGCCTCCTTCCATGTTGTAATAGAATTTAACACAGCCTCCAGGTGTCGTCAGATAAGGGGGAGAGGTCAAAGTTGCTGTTCGTGTGGTGTCATATGTGTAAAACATGTAGTGACCTGAAAAAATCATGAACATCTGTCATATCACAACCATTGACACGTTCTAACTCATATAATTTCATAATACACTCAAACTCATATATTAAGGTCACCCTCAGGACCAAACAACTGTGAGCTTATTAGAGGGGTGATCTTTGAAGTCAGGTTGAAAATGCATAGGTATAACAACAGCAGGACAAGAAAAAGGTGACATGGCAAGACAGGTTTTTGTTTAAAAAAGTTTTATTGTATTTCCAAAATCAATAGGGATCTTCCTCTCATCATATGTATAACAATATACATTAAGTATGGTTGCAATACCATATGTAGTGTTTGACTTAGCATCCAGAAACTATTTCTTGCACAAATTTCAGTCTATTTTCAGTAACTATGATGACATTGATCTTCGACACAGCGACCTCAAAATCAATAGGGATGATTCCCCTAATTATATATGAGCATATATTTTTTAGTGAGGTTGCAATCCAATATGAGGTATTTGATTTAGCATTTATAACTTTTCTATACTTTTCTATACCATTTTCTGTCTACTTTAGGTGTACAGGTATATGAACCTGAACTTTGAGGTATATGAACCAGACCTTTGAGGTATTGACCAGAAAATCAATTTGGATCTTCCTCTCATTCTGTATGACCATATATTCAAATAATATTGCAATCCCATATGAGGTATTTGAGTTCGTCTTACAACTGACTGACTGATGGAAAGTTCAACTACATACCCCCCTTTAACTTTGTAGCGAGAGGCATAATAAATTAGCTTTAACATCTAAAGAAGGTACTTTTTGGCCCCTCGAATTTTGTAAAACAATCAAATAATACTTTATATAGGTGATGCCTTCATTTCATGCAATCTTATAATATACTGAAAGGGAGCTAACTCCCTTTCAGTATATTATAAGATTGCAAATCTAAATGTAATCACAATTTTAGATTAATTTCAAAATAAATCTTACTTATATTCCTCTAAATAAACTGAGAAAAAAAAATATCAAGTAACACATAATTCATGCATAAATATGTGTTGTTCTACATAATGTTGAAATAGAAAAATCCATTACCTTTATATCATTGATTTTTAAAAATTCCCAACCACCTACAATTTGTATAAATAAAAATTTATGAGAAATGGTACAACTTAATAAGGTGGATTTATTATATTTTATTCCTTCGATACCAATTTTTGTGGATTTCCTTTTGGGTTAAAGGGGAACCACAAATTTTAATATTTAATGAATTGCAAATTTAAATAGGAATGTATGCAGACTTTGTCAAAACCATGAAATCAAATATCAATAAATATGCAAATTTTTCTCAAACCTCAAAATCAGAATCCATGAAAATAAGTTAATCCACAGTACACATTTTATTGCCCTATTATAATCCATGTTAAAAGCATCCTTTGCAACCCCAAGGAGGACATAATATTTTTTTTAACTTCTCCTATAATGCGGGTGTTTGTTTATTGTTGAAATCCACAAATTGACCTGTAAGTGTTGTGTTTTAATCCAAAATCCTCTGATTAAAAAATCAAATATCCAGGAAAATGCAATTGTTCCTCAATCTCTAAACAACAACTATGAACTATATTTTATTACCTGTGTGATTATCAGCACCCATGGTGTGATCAACTGCTGGCAAATGGTGAACAAAAGCATCTCTCCAAATATAGCTACCAAACAAATATCCACATCCGTAAGGCTGTTCAAAGTCACAGCTTATGCTAATGGCTGAAATAGTAAATATTTAGCTGATCACAAAATCTGGTCAAGTCTGATTTAGCATATATTTTTAAAAGTTCACATCATAATGGTCATGAATAACTGGTTTAAAGTTGATATGACTTCAAGTTCATGGTAAACTACCTTATAACATACTTTAACCTAATATGGAACAGATGAAGACACACACAGACCAGAAAACTTAATGTCCCCCCTATCAATTCTATCTATTATTGTAGGCAGGGGATTAAATTTCATCAACACTTAGTACAAAACCATTTTGCTTGTGTAGGAATCAAAACTTCTGAAACAGATTTATAAATGTATAAACTTTTTGGTAACCATGACACTCACCAATAAAATAAGACTTAGCATACAACAATTGAATTATTAACAAATGTTATTTTTCATAAATTATTGCAATGTTTTTTTACTGATGCAAAAAATCCGACAGTATTGGCAATCACATTAATTAAATTTCGCATTTTTGCTAGAGGTCAAGGATTCGCAGCAATAAATGCACTAATTTATTTCTCAATTTACAGTAATTCATATGAACTTACGACAGTCTGCTTCATCTTCACCAGAGGGACACTGGGAAATCTTGTCACATTCTATCTTCTCCTTAATACATATACCATCTTTATGGCAGGGAGCCAGACCAGTTGGACAAACTGCAATGAAAGAGAAAGAAACAAATTTGTCATTACACACGATAAATAAATCATCTGTAAATGCAATACTGTAAAACTGCTTTTGAAAGTTATTTATAAACAATTGAATTATGAATAACATCACCTACAAATGTATATAGATTATATAATTTGTAAATAATGAATTTATTTTGTCTTTACTCCAACTTAATAATGTAGAGGTCAATGTCATCACTCTACAGAGGTCATGCATGATTATCTATTCCAAACTTAGCTTTAATAATACAAGATGGATAAAAATTTTCAATGCGGACATAACTTCAAAATCTTTACCCATAGTGTAGAGGTTAATGTCCTCATTCTACAGTTGCCAATGTCAGTACTAAACAGAGGCCAATAGATATAAGAAGATGTGGTATGAGTGCCAATGAGACAACTCTCCATCCAAGTCAAAATTTACAAAAGTGGACCAATATAGGTCAAAGTATGGTCTTCAACACAGAGCCTAGGCTTGCACCGAACAGCAAGCTATAACAAAGGGCCCCAAAAATTACTAGTGTAAAACCATTCAAATGGGAAAACCAACGGTCTAATCTATATAAAAAACGAGAAACACTTATGAACCACATCAACAAACGACAACTACTGAACATCAGATTCAATGTATAATTATCTATTCCAAACTTACTCAATGGACAACACTCTTCAGAGTGGATGTAATTAAGTCTTCACTCCAAACTTATAGTGTACAGGTCAATGTCATCTCTATATTGAGGCCAATATCATCACTATACAGAAGTCAATGTATATTTATCTATTAATAACTTACAGGATGGATAACACTTTTTAATTTAGACAAAACTTCATCTTTACTCCAAACTTATAGTGTAGAAGTCAATATCATCACTATACAGAGGTCAATGTCAAAACTAAACAGATGCCAATATATAATTATCTATTGCAAACTTACCCAATGGAGGACAATCTCCAGGGATTATATTAACATCATCTATTCCAAAGTATTTCACATCATAGGCATAATCATATAAATGAAAGCTGATTTCAATCCTTCCAGGTTCAATGGCCCTCTGAAAATAAAGAATTCAAAGTAAATACTTGGTAGACCAAAAGCCTAGTAAAATGTGTTTATATAGCAATTATACATTAGTATATATCGTGGGTTGTTACCAAGGATCCGGAAATTTTCCCAAGTCATTTCGGTCATTTTTTTTTGTGATGTAATAATATCGTGATGCACAATAATGCATTTTTCTGAGGGTGACAAGTCTTGCACATGGACAAGTAAAGTCCTTTTTTGTGAAGTATTGGGTCAAACAAGTGTAACTGTACCCTGATCTAACAGTAACAGTGATGTCTCTGAGTTAGAAACTACACGAGGAGACGTTTTGTTGTTGTGTATTGCATCACTGAGGTCGTATGCATAACCCTTTAAATTTGCATAAATTAAAAGAGGAATAATTACGGCATGTTTCATCATTTTGAAATAAAGTTATGTAAACCAATTAATAAACTGTGTTGAGTTTCTTATTGCATGTACAAGATATCGTTTGTATTGTTCAAATTGCTGCTGTTTGGATGAGTGTAAGTGATTACCTAATACACAACAAGATAATGTGTATTCACCTGGTTTACGATAAGAGGATCAAAAAGGGGAAACTATGATTCAACTTTTCTTTGAATAAATAACTCAAGTCTGGTATAGTGATAACAATTGAATTTAATAATAAAATTCATGATTTTAAATAAATAAATAATTTATCTGAACAGAAGTTTGTACACAATTACAACAGTTCAATGAAAAACAATTGCATTGTAATACAGTCCAGAGAGAATGTATGGCTTCACTTGGGTAAAAAACGGAAGTTTAGCCAGGAAAACAAAAGAAAGGATAACGCCCATTAAATTCTGTGAGTAAGATGGTTTCAAAAAATCGGAAGTGCAAAAAAAACAAAAAGAAATCGAGATTGTTCATTCGCTGAGTATATTTCTTAAATAGGCTGTATGGCTTCAAATCTAAATTACGTTATTTAGTTTTAATTCCTTTTTTAAACATTTTTTTTTAATTCTGCATTCCTATAAATTATACGCTTTACCACTTTTGTAAATCTATTAATATCTTTATCTGCCATTTCCTACCGAAAAGTTAACAGTAAAATCGATCTTTCAAATAAGATCATCAATTAACCCATGTTGATCCCCATTTTCCATGCGCAAACTCAGTAAACATAAATCTATATTTAACAAACGTTGACCAAATCAGCTGATCGATTATAAATGGATTATATGTTTTATTTGGATAAAAATGGACAGATTCTCGAGTCAACAGTGTTATTTGACTTCTTTAATGAATAAAATAATATCTTTTTGGGAAAATCTAGGTCAGAATGGTTAAAACGTTAAATTTGATGCACAGCAAATCGCCATATTGTTTTTATTGCTTAACAGGTGTTTACAGGTGAGATTTGTGTACATGGCCTTTATGGCTTTAATCAAGACAATAACGACACCCAAGCCGAATTCAAACTTCCTGGACATTGATTACTATCCTCAAGTGGTGATAATTACTATGTAAACAAACCTAGTGGCTTGAACCCAGACTTACCCCACGCTGTGACTCGACAGAGTCCTGTACATTGTTTTCACTTACATTATAGAATAAACAACAGACTAATGATAAATATTATTAAATCACTACCACAATTCAATAAAATTTTTATTTTGTCTAAAACAAATCTATTTTTCTTGATGACCTGAAAACAAAAATAAGTTCAAAATGGCGACCGATAAAACCCTGATCTCAATGAAATGACCGAAATTATTTCTGTAAAAAAAAAAAAAAAGACCTAAATCCCAATAAATCATTTCGGTCTTTTCAGTTTCCAAATCGGTCATGTCTGGCATATATGACCGTTTCCGGACCCTTGGTTGTTACACATACAGCATACAAAACAAAAAATACTGTGGGTTATAAATGTTTTCAAAAAAATCAAATACAAGTTTAAGACCAATTAGAGAAATTTTGTTTCAACCTTTGAACTCAATATCATCCTGTTCAAACTTTTGCAAAAAGTACATTAAATTCGTTAGTTTGATGCACTACTCTGTAAATTTTATCATTCTAGCATTTTTCAAAATAATCAGAAACAGATTTTCTATTTACTGTTGTTGGTTTTGTTGCCTCATTGACATTAACCCATGTTCCTATATATATAAATATTAAGTGTAACTCATTTCAGATTTCTTAACACAAAACCAAACTTTCTTATATGATATATAACAGACTATAGATTGATTGATTAATTGTTGGTTGCTTAATGTCCAGTGGTAAATATTTCATGCCAGACTATATAAAAACAGGCAAATTGTTAGGTAGCAATGATAGTTATTTTTTACTGATCCTAAAAACTCTCTAGGGTTTTAATTTCTCCAAGAGATATTTGAAGTAATTTCGTCTCATGAAAGTTTACTGTGGCTTCATTATTATTCATTAGATACCAATTGTCCTGGATTTTGTGTGTAAAGGGATACCACAAATTTTAAAGTTCCACAAAAGACAAATTTTCTATTAGCAGAAATGCAGACTTTGGCAAAACCACTATATCAAAATCGACAAATATACAATTTTTATTCAATCCATGAATATTGGTATCCATGAAATTAAATGAAAAATAGAATTTATCTTTTTAAAAGGAAAGTTTTCATAATAATATTCCTGTATAAAAGTAATGATTTGAAATTAAATAAACTGTTATCACAGAGATATGTCTCGCTTTTTTGTAATTTTGATAATGCAAATGTTGAAATTAAAATAGCAACACTATAACATATAAGTTATGCAAATATTCAAAGTCAATGAACCATGACTCAAGGTACATGGCTAAAAAATATCCATGGAAATGAGATGTGCCAGTGCTAATACAACTGCATACCAAATACCATTGACTTTTCATAAGTAGTTCCCTTTAAACAAACCTAAACACAAACTAATACATGTAAACTAAGCAAAATTTCAAGGTCAATAAACCATAACTGAGGGGGCGGGGTCAAATAATCTCCATGGAAATGAGATGTGCTAATGCTAATACAACTGCATACCAAATATCATTGACCTACCACTAGTGGTTCCCCATAAACTGACCTAATCATAAACTAATACCTGAAAACTAAGCAAAAGTTTCTAAGTCAATAGACTTTTCATAAGTAGTTCCCTTTAAACAAACCTAAACACAAACTAATACATGTAAACTAAGCAAAATTTCAAGGTCAATAGACCATGACTGAGGGGGCGGGGCCAAATAGTCTCCATTGAAATGAGATATGCCAATGCTTATGCAACTGCATACCAATTATCATTAACTTACCACTAGTGGTTCCCCATAAACTGACCTAATCACAAACTAATACATGAAAAATAAGCAAAAATTTCAAAGTCAATAGACCATTACTGAGGGGTTGGGGCCAAATAGTCATCATAAAAATGAGATATGCCAATGCTTATAAAACTGCATACCAATTATCATTAACTTATCAGTAGTGGTTCCTCATAAACTGACCTAATCCCAAACTAATACATGAAAAATAAGCAAAATTTCAAAGTCAATAGACCATAACTGAGGGGGCGGGGCCAAATAATCTCCATGGTAATGAGATGTGCCAATACTAATACAACTGCATACCAAATATCTTTGACTTACCACTTGTGGTTCACCATGAACTAGACCCAATCACAAACTAATACATTGTTGACGCTGCCGGAAACAGCATACCTATGTCTCACTTTTTGACTCCGTCGAGCGAGACAAAAAATAAACAGTTTCTATGTCTTCCAGATATTCTAACAAAAAATATGCTTCCAACATATTATCCCATTATCCAAGGAAGCTAACTCTTACCTGAGCTGGTTTCCAAACATTGGACAAATTTGTCAAAGTAGAATCAGCAAACATTGTGCTGTTGGAAGTGCTGTTGGATGTTCTATTTCTGGATATGACCCCAAGGTCAAGGTATTTAACCTCAAAAGTAAATAAATTTACATGGCCTATATAATATAGTGATAGACATGAGGGGACTGTAATGTCTTCTGCTGGAGAGTTGAAGTTGAAATTGCTGCCTGCATAACTGACAATTCCATAAAATGTGCCTGAAAGTATAAAAAAATGTTTAAAAATTCAATGTATATTGTACATGTATTTAATATAACAAGGCAGTTCAATATTAGATAATTTTTACTCTAGAAAAGCTTAAGACACCAAAGGTTGTATATAATTTATGCACTTTTTGTCAGATGCATTCTAATTTCAACATATATGCAAGCTTGTGTTTGTTTATTCTACAATGGCTAGAGGTATAGGGGGAGGGTTGAGATCTCACAATGCATGTTTAACCCTGCCACATTTTTGTGCCTGTCCCAAGTCAGGAACCTATGGCCTTTGTTAGTCTTGTAGGTTTTTAAAGTTTTGGTTCATTTATATGTTTCAGAGTTTAGTGTGACTTCCGTTTTCGCTGAACTAGTGCACAGTTTTGTTTAGGGACCAGCTGAATCCAGCCTCTGGTTGCGTGATTTCCTCCCTGTGATGAAGACCCATTGGTAGCCTTGGGCTATTTTCTGCTCTTTGGTTGGGTTTTGTCTCTTTGACTCATTCCCCGTTTCCAATCTCAATTTCATTTTATGCTTGAAAAATAATAGCTGTTGAAAACAAAATTGTTCATAAAACATTGAAACTCAAATAATTTAAATCATATATAAATTTTCTTAAAAATAAGGGGTCTCCAGAGTGTTAGAGTGCTTAAAGTAGCATATTCCACAGAGATCATTAATACTCAATGTCAATTCTGATGTAAATAATAATTTTTCAATCAAATCTGATCAAATTAGAATACACCTGACAAATGGCAACAAAAATAAATATCATACCGGAGGATTTCCATACAAATACATAAAATACATGTGAATAGTGATAGTAATTGGGTTTAATACTAAAATTTCCATTCTGATATCTCCTGGATACCTCATGTGACACCTCGACACTTTGATAGTATAGTCTCTTTTAAATCTATTCACAACTTGTATGAGACACTAGACATTCAAAGCTTGACAAATTGAATAGTCACCTGTCTATTGTTTAAACTGTAAGTAGACCCTTAGATGTCTTGTTTTTTATGTGGTTGAGTTGCTGTCTCATTTATGTATAACCCATATCCCATTTCATACATATCATATGAAATCTAATTAAAAAAGTTTTAACTTTTAAAAAAAAACATTGAATATTTAGTAATTTTTGTCTAATTTCTTTAATAAGTTTCTTCTTTTGCTACAGTCTATAATTATCTCAACCACAGTTATCTCCCCTCTCTCACCTGCTTTATTGCCGTATGTATGATCATAGATAAATTCTTGATAGATAACTTGTTTTGACTCCATTACATTATCACTGCTGTAATATCCACACCGGAACTTGTCTTCAAAGTCACAACTTATGGTTCTATCTGTAATGAGAAAGACAGTTTCTTATGGAATACATTTATTTTGGCATCCATTTGATATGGCAATCAGTAAGGGCTGCTCCTAAATCTATCAGTATTGGGAATGGGAGGCTATGGATAATTGAATTTCTTTAGAATTATAAGTAAAATGAAAATTTTTGTTTTATGTGAGGTCATGGTCTTAAAAAAGTGCCATTTATGCCGGTCATATGTTTATTTCTGAAAATTTAACAAATCGGCTTTCTACAGATAACTTTTTATTCATTGACTAAAGCCATGCATAATCCATATACTACATGTCTTATTTCGCCAATACTTAGAATATCATAATTTCAATATTTCTGTGAATAATAAGTTAACAATATTATATTATTGTGCCTGCATCTTCAAATTCCACTAAATTTGTTTCTATCTATAATAGCATTAATTTCTTTAAGTAGTATATGATTTATTTCCTCAACTGATTATATATATATATATATATATATATTTTACCACTGCATTGAGAGTGATACAATATTTCTCTGTTGAGACAGTTAAATTTTCAAATATTTTAATTGAACTGTCCAGAATGGATCAATATTGTATTGCACGAGATTCATCGGTGGTGTAATCTGTTTCTTTAAAGATTTTAGATGATTTTTTGGTAAACCTTATCAATCTTTTTTCAATAATCTGAAAATTGATGTGCTCTTTTTAATTACAGTGTAAATTTCCAACATGGTGACAAAAGGGACATAACTTTTGATCACAATGCATCAATCGAAACTTATCTATAAATTTTTTTAATCGAATCTTAATAAACAGCTTACTACACAATGTTGTTTCATCTGAATGATCGTCACAGTCAAAATTGAGATCACAAACTTTACTCAGATCTATACAATAGTCACCACAACTAAACTGTCCTGGACATGCTGAAAAAATAAAGCATTATTTATACATATATATGATGAACGGAAAAAGAGGCAATAATTAGTGACTCATGCTTTTTTACATATAATATATAATACTAGTATAGTTATATAAACATGATTTTATATTTTCATTATCAATTCATACTAAGCAGCCAACCTCTCAGCTGTGGTCAGACTGTATATAAAAATAAGGAGACTTGCTATGATTGCCAATGAGACAACTAGCTACCCAAGTTTAAATGAAGTGGATGTAAGCAATTATAGGCAACCGTACGGCCTTCAATGATGAGAAAAAACCCATACCGTATAAACTATATAAGGCCCCCACATGAAAAATATGAAACAATTCAATTGAGAAAACTTACGGCTTAATTTATATGACAAAACAATTTACGAAAAACAAATATGACAGACATGAATCAATGACAACAACTGAATAACAAACTCCTAACTTGGGACAGGCACATACAGAATGTGGCAGGGTTAAACATGTTTGTGAGTGCTCATATAAGCGTGTTTTGGCTATATATTTGAGGAGTATTCTCCAAGATTTGACATTATTTTTGTGTATCCAAAGTTTTTGTAGTGTTTCGTAGTGTTGTGGATCACAATTCTATATTGGATTCTATATCAATAAATTAATTATTATTTTAACATTCTAACAAAACTTTCCTGGACATTCTAATGATAAAGCATTGGTAATACTTCAGTAGCCATATGAAAACTAATCTTATAATCATTGAAAATGAAAGAAAAAAAAACAATACGTACTGAACAAAAACATTCATTAATAATTAAGTGGACTGTAATTATCATTGATTGGTGTTTAAGGCCACTTTCAGCACTATTGGCTATTTTGTGGAGGTCAGCTTTTTTTCAGGAGGAAGCCAGAGTGCCTGTAGACAAACACTGACTTACCATGATACATTAACATCTTAAAGAACTATGAAAAAGAGTGAAAACTTTATTTTGGAATATATTTAAAGAAGTCCACAAAATAATAAACATGTGTACTTAGTTTGAATGTGATGTGACCACAACTTTATGATTAACATGTCACTGGACGTTAAGCAGGCAACAGACAATGCTAGTCAACTACATATTTTAGTCTTAGATACATGATCCTTTATTTATTTTTGGCTTTGAACTAGCTCTCAGTAACTGCGAGTACTCTTTGTGTCTTTTTTTTTTTTTTTTGGTGCTTTGTATCGATCTGCTGAGTTAAGTCCTTTTCAACCAATTCTAATAGTTTGTTCTTAAATGTTGTGCTGTTCCATCACTGGCCAAGGTTAGGGGGAAGGTTGGGTGCCTGCAAACAAGATTAATCTTGCCACATTTTGTATGTGCCTGTCCCAAGTCAGGAGCCAGCAATTCACTGGATGTTGTTTGTTGCTGTATATCATTTTTTTTTTCCTTTCTTATTTGGTTCATAAATCAGGCAGTTAGTTTTCTTTTTGAATTGTTTTACATTTGTCATTTTGGGGCCTTTTATAACTTGATATTTAGTATTGGTTTTGCTCTTTGTTGAAGACCATTCTGTGACCTATAGTTGCTAACTTCTACACCATTTGGTTTCTGGTGAAGAGTTGTCTAATTGGAAATCATACCACATCTTCTTATTCAAATACCTAATCCAAAAACTTTCACCTAATGTGAAATGGATGAACAGTGAACAGAATCATGGGATGGATGGAAAGAGGTGAGCGGACGAACAGACTAGGTTAGGGGGAGGGCTTGGGCGCCTGCTAACATGTTTAACCCCGCCACATTTTGTATGTGCCTGTCCCAAGTCAGGAGCCTGTAATTCAGTGGTTGTCTATTGTTTGTGTGTATCATATTTGTTTTTTGTTCATTATTTTGTACATAAATTAGGCCGTTAGTTTTCTCGTTTGAATTGTTTTGCATTTGTTATTTCAGGGCCTTTTATAGCTGACTATGAAGTATGGGTTTCGCTCATTGTTGAAGGATGTACGGTGACCTATAGTTGTTAATTTCTAAGTCATTAGATCTCTTGTGGAGAGTTGCTTCATTCGCAATCATACCACATCTTCTTATTTTTATAGAAAATATAATGGTCCCATTACTTTTGTAGGCAGGGCAGGAAAAATACCAAATCTAAATGCCATTATCTGGGAAGTTTTGTATACAGAATCTCTGTTAATATCGACTTAAATCTAGTTAAAATAAAAGTACACTTACATATCTCTTGACAATCCCCTGGTACGATATTGACATTGTCAATTCCAGCCTGTCCAAGTTGCATGTCAATGATTAATGAGGCATCTGTTAAATTTCCTGTATATTCAAACTGTCCTATATTCCAAGCTGTCCCTGAGTCACTTCTCATACTCCAGGTAGGTGTAAAGAGAAATTTTCCAAAATGGTAGGACATCATATATACAGATAATGAAGCATTATATCCAGTCAGAAACTTTGTATAGTAATCAAAACTTATACAGGATTTCTCAGTTATCGATAAAATTGGTGATAATAGACTGCATCCGTCTTGGGCCATACTTGAATCACAATATAAAAACCTTCCTACAAACAAAAAACAAACCCAAAAACATGATAAATACTAAACAACGATACCTCAGGCTTATAATTTGTCATGCTAAATGCACTTTTCATCAACAAAAGACTCTTCAAATGGTTTTTGTGAACTGAAGCTGTGCAATCAACTTATCTGAATTTTGAACCATGCAAATTACATCATTCTACAAATTAAATTAATGTTTTGAAAACTTCACTAATCAGCCATTGTTGTTTAATCTTTTAACTCTATGAATACATTAAACTAAGAAAATCTCATTCTTATACACAATATTTATTACAGCAGAATATTCTACTTTGACAGGTTTGGCATAATGACCTCTTGACCCAGATTACAAATATAATATTGTCAAGTTAGCAATACAGGCAATGCCTTTAAAAATCTCCCTACTACTAGCGAAAAAGTTGCTTAATAAAAATTTGCAACATAATTTAAAATATTTTCATTTTCTAGTATGGATATTTGATTAAATTTCTTGTTATGAGATCATGGGAACTATTATTATAATTAATTTACACCAACAGGAATTGGCCATGACCTTTCATTACTAACTGACAGCACGCTACTGATCCATATATTTCCTATCATTTTGTAAGTATCCCAGGGCTGTTCAATTTATGGTTTAAGAATGCAGAGAATGATTAATAACAAGAGGCTCTCAAGAGCCTGAATCGCTCACCTGTGTATCACAGATGAGAAGATTTGTAAATGTTAGCAAACTTGATGAACAAATTGTGTAAAATTGTCTTTAAAGGGCAATAACTCCTTAAGGGGTCAATTGACAATTTTGCAAAATTTTGTTAAAACTACCAATTCGGTGGCAGCAACCCAACAATGGGTTGTTCGATTCGTTTGATAATTTCAGGGTCGATACATCTTGACCAATTAAACAATTTTACCCCTGTCACATTTGCTCTAAAAGATGTAGTTTTTGAGATATAAGCCAAAAACTGCATTTGACCCTTATATTCTATTTTTAGCCATGGCAGCCATGTTTGTCAATGGATACAAACTTCGGATACAATTTATAAACAAGATATCCTAAGGAACATTTAGTTAAAGTTTGAAGGTAATTGGCCCAGTAGTTTCAGAGGAGAAGATTTTTAAATGTTAGCAAACTTGATGAACAAATTGTGTAAAATTGTCTTTAAAGGGCAATAACTCCTTAAGGGGTCAATTGACAATTATGGTCATATTAAATTTTTGTAGATCTTACTTTGCTGAACATTATTGCTGCTTACAGTTTATATATATCTATGATAATATTCAAAATAATAACAAAAAACTGCAAAATTTTGTTAAAACTACCAATTTGGTGGCAGCAACCCAACTATGGGTTGTTCGATTCGTCTGGAAATTTCAGGGGCGATAGATCTTGACCAATTAAACAATTTTATCCCATGTCACATTTGCTCTAAAAGATGTAGGTTTTGAGATATAAGCCAAAAACTGCATTTGACCCTTATGTTCTATTTTTAGCCATGGTGGCCATGTTTGTCGATGGATACAAACTTCGGATACAATTTATAAACAAGATACCCTAAGGAACATTTAGTTAAAGTTTGAAGGTAATTGGTCCAGTAGTTTCAGAGGAAAAGATTTTTAAATGTAAGCAAACTTGATGAACAAATTGTGTAAAATTGTCTTTAAAGGGCAATAACTCCTTAAGGGGTCAATTGACAATTATGGTCATATTAACTTTTTTGTAGATCTTACTTTGCTGAACATAATTGCTGCTTACAGTTTATATATATCTATAATAATATTCAAAATAATAACAAAAAACTGCAAAATTTTGTTAAAACTACCAACTCGGTGGCAGCAACCCAACAATGGGTAGTTCAATTCGTCCGAAAATTTCAGAGCTGATAGATCTTGACCAATTAAACAATTTTACCCCTGTCACATTTGCTCTAAAAGATGTAGTTTTTGAGATATAAGCCAAAAACTGCATTTGACCCTTATATTCTATTTTTAGCCATGGCAGCCATGTTTGTCGATGGATACAAACTTCGGATACAATTTATAAACAAGATACCATAAGGAACATTTAGTTAAAGTTTGAAGGTAATTGGCCCAGTAGTTTCAGAGGAGAAGATTTTTAAATGTTAGCAAACTTGATGAACAAATTGTGTAAAATTGTCTTTAAAGGGCAATAACTCCTTAAGGGGTCAATTGACAATTATGGTCATATTAACTTTTTTGTAGATCTTACTTTGCTGAACATTATTGCTGCTTACAGTTTATATATATCTATGATAATATTCAAAATAATAACAAAAAACTGCAAAATTTTGTTAAAACTACCAATTCGGTGGCAGCAACCCAACAATGGGTTGTTCGATTCGTCTGGAAATTTCAGGGGCGATAGATCTTGACCAATTAAACAATTTTATCCCATTTCACATTTGCTCTAAAAGATGTAGTTTTTGAAATATAAGCCAAAAACTGCATTTGACCCTTATGTTCTATTTTTAGCCATGGTGGCCATGTTTGTCGATGGATACAAACTTCGGATACAATTTATAAACAAGATACCCTAAGGAACATTTAGTTAAAGTTTGAAGGTAATTGGTCCAGTAGTTTCAGAGGAGAAGATTTTTAAATGTTAGCAAACTTGATGAACAAATTGTTTAAAATTGTCTTTAAAGGGCAATAACTCCTTAAGGGGTCAATTGACAATTATGGTCATATTAACTTTTTTGTAGATCTTACTTTGCTGAACATAATTGCTGCTTACAGTTTATATATATCTATAATAATATTCAAAATAATAACAAAAAACTGCAAAATTTTGTTAAAACTACCAACTCGGTGGCAGCAACCCAACAATGGGTAGTTCTATTCGTCTGAAAATTTCAGAGCTGATAGATCTTGACCAATGGAACAATTTTACCCCATGTCACATTTGCTCTAAAAGCTTTAGTTTTTGAGATATAAGCCAAAAACTGCATTTGACCCCTATGTTCTATTTTTAGCCATGGCGGCCATGTTTGTCGATGGATCAAAACTTCGGATACAATTTATAAACTAGATACCCTAAGGAACATTTAGTTAAAGTTTGAAGGTATTTGGCCCAGTAGTTTCAGAGGAGAAGATTTTTGAAATAGTTTACGACGACAGACGACGACGACAGACGACGGATGACGACGGACGCCAATTGATGGCATAAGCTCACATGGGTCCCGAAGACGGTGAGCTAAAAATGGTAGATTTTTACTTAGCTTGTCAATAAGATAAACATACCAGTATCTGAACTAGCTGCCGCAGCCATATTATCTGAATCATATGATACAGATTTCCAACCACCATCCTCTAACAGATTTGTGTTATTTCTGTAACCACATAGGAAAGTCTTATCCTCAAAATCACATGGCACATTGGTCTCTGCAAAATAAAAAAATAAATACACAGAAATAAAATAGCGATCTTCAAGTCTATTTAAATCAAGGATCAGATTCTGTCCAGATTCAAAAGGAAAGAAATTTGTTAATTTTTGTTTGCACCACTGTTCCAGGTTAGGGGAGAGTTGGGTACTCGCTAAAATGGTTAACCCCACCACCTTCTATATCAGCAGCCTGTCATCCAGTGATTGTCATTGGTTGCTGTATATCATATTTGATTTGTTTATTGTTTCAGCATAAATCAGTTTCTCTTCTGAATTGTTTTGTACTTTGTAATGTTGGATCCTTTTAAAGCTAACTATAATGTGAAGGTTTTTCATTGTTGAAGGCCATACAGTGGGGGGCGGGGGTGGCACTTCAATACTTAATTGATAGGGGGTGCTGCTGGGGTTCTGTTACCCCACTCTTTTCATATAATTTCAATTTTTAAAAATGTATATCTTTTTATATATTGCGTAGGTCAAAATCAATCTAAAAATTTAGGCATCAGGGGAGATAAGTATTGTACTAACTGATTTTACCCTCTTTAAATAAAGTATTTATTATTATTGTCATATCATTATTTTATATATTATAACCTTTTTCCCCTATTGATTGGATTTTAAGTGGTGTGTTGGAAAAATGGAATACCAGAGTGTCAAAAGAGGGAAAATTTTTGGATAAAAACACAACTTGGAACACCAACAAAGATGAAAGACGAAGAATTAACAAATAATATAAGTAATGGGAACTTTATTGACCTTATTATATATTTCTGATAGTTTCCCCCACCTATTTTCAAGCTGTAAAATATGACCTATTCCAGCGGCACATCCTATCACTTTGTATATAGGAAGTGGACCCCCCAAGGTGTTAGGGCTTCAGGCCAGGTCACCTTTTTTCCCGTGACGTAACAATTAAAATCAGAGGTCAGGGAAAAAAAATTACATCATGTGGATTCACTATTTTCCGTGGGATACCAATTTTCATGGATCTCATTGGTATAGGTGAGTACAAATTTTTTATAAGCTTGTATGCAAACTTTGGCAAAACCAGGAAATCAAATATCAACAAAAGTACATTTTTCCTCAATCCACAAAAACTGGTGACCACAAAAATAAAATGAATCCACAGTAACTGAATCAAACAAATTTCACATTGATTATCAAAATATAATCAATCAGTCAAGGAAAGCGTAAATAGACTAAGAATTAGAGAGAAAACATTTATCAAATGTTGAAAGTATAAAAGAGAGGTGAAAGATACCAAAGGGACATTTAAACTCATAAGTTAAAAATAAACTGACAACGCCATGGCTAAAAAAGAAAAAGACCAACAGACAAACAACAGTAAACAAAACACAACATAGAAAATTAAAGATTGAGCAACACGAACCCCACCAAAAACTGGGGATGATCTCAGGTGCTCCGGCAGGGTAAGCAGATCCTGCTCCACATGTGTCACCCGTCATATTGCTCATGTTACTAAGTACAAAGCTGGTAATAAGTTTAATTCTGTAGGTCACATTCAGGGAAAGGAGGACGGGATTGTAGTTACAACAATAGAAAAATATCCGCTATCATTTGTGAACCGGATATTAAATAACAGTCAACCAACTCGTGATGGCGTCCATAAAATTAATGAAGGGATGACTTCAACTTCACCACTATGAAACCATAATTTGCCCTACATTTGATATATTTACACTTATATGCAAATTTGTCCACCATTATTTAAATTAAGTCATGCAAGTTCTAGCAAAATTTTTCGTCACAATTTAAACATTTGATCTCATAATTAAAACATGATTGTTGCATGACGCCAGAAGGTTATTCTGAGACAGATCTGGGGTAATTCAGAGCAAATTCAGCCAAATACCCAAAAGTGTAAAATATGTCTATAAGAAAAATATCTTTATTTTATTACCTGGGCAACTACCATCCATAACAAAAATATTATCTACTGCAATATCTCCCTTAAATCCTGAAGCTTTGGTCGCCACAAAATAAATATTCTGCTCAGTGTCAGTTGGTAAGGTGACACATCCTTTAATCCATGACATATCCTGCTCCCCTGTTTTTGTCCAAAGCTGAGTAACAGTTGATGTACCAGTGTTCTGTGACATGATGTCCAATGTACCAATATCCTCTCCCAACATGTGATAGGAGAAATATAAACTACTGGGATTATTACTGGTGAATGATGGGAAGGATAAGTAGGTTGTATCGCCTGGTTGTCCATGGGAACTCTCAACATACATAAAATGTCCTGTATATGAAAAACATTGAAATTATCCCTTTAATGATAATGACAATTACAATAATGTCTCTTGGTAATTTATGACTGATAAAAAATTGAAAAGTATAAATATATAAGAAAAACAATGAAGAATTTACTTACAATCTGCTTATACACTTCTACTAAATATGTACTGAATAGTTAGAAATAGACATTTTAAGCCTGTCCCAATATAGGAACCTCATTTGCTTGTCTGTTGTTAAAAGTTTTTTTCACTTACCATGCTTACTGTAAACAGGCTTATTTTTGCAGATCCTTTTTTTGTGTTGAGCCCTTTTTAGCCAAATTCGCCCTGATTTATTTTTGTGAATTTCTGATTTCCTTGATATATTTATATATTGAAAGGAAAGATCTAAGTTTACATATTTGTGATGATTTATATTCTTGTTATTTTTCTACTTGCAAAAATTAGCTGGTTTACAATACATAATTGTGTTTTGATAGCAGATCTCTGATGGTCCATTAAATTTATTCAAATTTTGTTCAGATTCTGGTGATTTAGAGAAAGATATATTATATATACTGTCTATTGTTGAAGGTTGTATGTTGCTCTTATCTTTTTGTATAGATAGGTTACTGTCTCATTGACATTTACCCCACATCTCTTTTCGTTTATAATTTCCACTACTGAAACAATAAAATATGTAATTTTACAAATAAAATTAAAAGTATTAATAGCAGTAGAGTTCCATTTATATCTGGCTATTTTCCAGTATGGCATGGGAGAAAGTTGGCCATCAAGGAACTGAAATAAAATTGATTGTACAGATTTTGCCAAATTTGTAGTTAACATTGTGTATAAATTACCTCCAAGACTCCCATAAGCATCACCATATGGTCCTGTGTTGTCTGATGGAGTCTTACTTTGCTGTCTGGACCATTGATATTTAGACCCTATGGTACAATTGGAGGAGTACTGGCAAGTGTTGGTCCCCTCAAAGTTACATGTTACTTCATTCAGACGTTCTGCAAATACAATCATATACATGTACAAACAAATTTTCCTCAAATTTAAAAGCATGCTTTAGAAAACTGAACCAATTAATGAGGACCAAATGTGTTTTACAGAATAGAGAATAATGGGTGAATATTACAGAAAAATAAGCAACACAAAAAAAATGAGAAAAATAGGCTAGAAAATAAAGAATAAAGAACAATGGGGTGTGAAAATATAAAAAAAAAAAGAGAATAATGGGCCAAATTTATAAAGAATAGAGAAAACTAGCTTTAAAAATTGAAGGATACAGAATTGAAAGACCACCCATCTATACTTTCATTCATTACAGGCTGTTTCAAATATTCTGAAATAATCATAGATATTGACGTGACACAGTGGACATAACCACCTGCTGAACTTTTCAATCTATACTTATACTAAAGACTGGAATTTTTACAACTTGAACTTCTAAAATTGGCAGTGTGAAAAAGTTAAGTAAAAAAGAAAGTGGATTTAAAAAGATCATAAATGAAAATATGAAAACTTTACAAATTTGGAAATACATTTTTCATGGTTTAAGAACTTAATTTTGTGATGTTAATTATTCAACATAGAAAATGTGATACTTACCTTTACACATTCCCTCGGAAATCACCACATCATCTACAGCAAATACAGAATCACATCCGTCACCCAAAACAGCCGAAAATGTCACTGTTGCATTACCAGATGGTAGATTCACGCAGGAATAATACCATTCATCACTCTGACTACCAGCCATTGAAAATACCATGGATGATTGGACAACAGAATTACTGTGTTGGTTTACGTAAACTTTGAATGTGCCCATGTTGAGTCCATTCATGTGGTAATAGAAAGACGCCTTCATTGGTTTGGATGACTGCACCTCAAACGGAAGGGTGGTAAGACTAGCAATGTTTCCTTCATTTGTGTTGGGCAAACATGTTGAAGTATACATGTAACCTCCTACAAGATTTAGGGAATCAATTGTATTATTAATATTTTATTTTAAATGTCTTCGAAAAACAATACATTTAGGGAACAGTTTTTTTTCTGTCTTCCAAAATAAATCAAGTATGGAAAAATTGTAACAAGAAGACATGTCACCCTACCCCACCACATTGTTCTGACATCGAGCAGACCAGTCTTTGCTCTTACTCCTAAATGTAATATGCAGCAAATACCAATTTTCAAGTCTTTGGTCTGAGGTGGTCAGGGATCGAACACACAACCTCCTTAACTCAAGGCAAGCCACTACCACGAGATGAGACCATTGTTAAAATATAGAAGTTTATAATATCATGATTGCATAGGTTGTGTTCATTATCAAGGACCTATGTGAACAACAGGATCTTTAGTAATAACATTTTATTTACTGATTTGATCTATATACATAAAGGTATTGGAAGAAATACTTTTTTATACTTCCAACTTCCAATTTCCTATACGATTGAAATCAATCAAGATTTTACATCACTGGTACTTTATGAATGCATAACTATATTGTTTTTCAGCTTGAGTAAAAACAAAAACTCAAATCAGGGATCCAGTAAAGACTTACCTGAACTGGTACCTTCTGTATGATCTACTCTTGGTGCATACTGTCTCAGAGAATAGTCTTGCATCAGATTGTATGTTCCCCAATTCCATGCAAATCTTGACTCTGATGTTCTGGTGTAATGACAGAATGTTGCAGACTGGAAATCACAAGAAGCAAAATCTAAAAGAGAAAGATTTTTGATTAAAAAGATGTAGTATGAGATACTGCTCGCTAAATTATACCCCTGATCTTCCTTTGAGGGAAAGGAAACACAATACAAAAAATAATATAGGAAGCAGAAACTGTAAATTCGGAAATTTTTGTGGCGAAAATTGCGACAGGATAGGTTTCTCAAACTCCCATAATACACCTTATTGCTATTTGTTCGCCATTACTGGAAATCAAAAAGGTTCCCGTAGAATTTTGACGTCACAATAGAAAATATCTGACGCCACAATGGAAAAGTGATGGATGTATGACGTCAATAGTTCAAGAGGCGCAGATTCGCGGGTCAAGCAATGCAGATTTCCAAATAGCGCTAAGATCTATTTTAAATATTGATGGCATTGTTTGTATGCAGTATTTTGCAATAGTTAATCTCAAATTTTTATCATTAAAAAAAAAAAAAAAGTCGCAATAATAAATACAAGGAAAAATTTCTGAACTTACAGAAACAGAAAGAAGATATTTAAAAATAACACAGTTAAGCTTGGTATCAAATATCAAGAAGCTATGATTTGTAACTGATAATATGACAAAAATTTCTTGTAAGTGTATCAATGTGAAGACATAACTGCATGCAGCAAACAGGAAGTGGATCAGTAACATACTATGTGTGGATTCATTATTATTCGTGGAATACCAATTTTCGTGGATTTTGTGGTTACAGTTGAATCACAAATTGAAATGTTCAACGAACTACAAGTTTATAAGATTGTACTACAGACTTTGGCAAAACCCTGTAATAAAATATCCACCAAAATGCAAGATTGCTTTAATCAGCGAATATTGGTACCCATGAAAAGAAACGAATCCTGAAAATGTGTAACATAACATAGATAACCAGTATGAAGAATTGTACCAAAGGAGCTCTGGGCTGATATGCATAAAACCACTGAAGTTAAAATATCCAATCATAGTACTAATCTATCATAGGACATGTAGAAAAATCAGTCTGTCTGAAACAAATCTTAAATTAAGGGGGTGCAGAACACCTAAGGGAGTTAACTATTTAAAAATCAACTGAACGTTTTAATCACATTCTATTAGTAAAGAGAAATCAAGCTTCGCAATGATCAAATTTAGTGTTTTTCAAACTGCTACATATCCAATGAAATTATTCCTGTAAATTGTGTGGTTCAAATTTCAAATTTTTTTTATATTTTTGTCAACAGGTCAAAGTAAATATTTTGTCAAACTTTCATGAAAATTAAACGAGCCAAATCTATTTTAGTCAAAGTGTTGGGTATACCCCCTTAAATAGTTATATGCATATCAGCCCTGATTCTTAGTGCTGAAAAAGATCAGCAGAGACATGTTACAGGCAGACAGACAGAAGGACAAACAGAGGTAAACTTGTGTAAAACAAGTATGTTGGGTAGAGTGAGAGTATGATGGAGTGTGCTGTGTTAAAAATATATTCATTTATCCTGTTATCTCATTTTAATGTTATCAAAATTAAAGTATATTGAAAACCAACTTATTTTTGCCAATAAACAATGTTCTAATTCCAATAAAGCATGGGGTGAACATGTGTGAAGTCTCAAACAAAATTGCAAAGTTAGTTGTTTTTTTAAGGACTTGGATTTTTTTTATATACATTTCTGTTTGTGATGCTTGCTAGGATATTAAATAATAACATTATAAAAAAAGGTCTACATGTATTTGTTTTTTTAGAAAGCTTTTGTTTCATCTGATCAAAATGACTGTTCTTTGAATATGTTTAACTGGTCTGCTTCAAAGTACGAAATTTATAATTTTTTCCTATTAGAATAAAAAGAATGACTTCATTTTAACAGAAAATCAGTCATTATCTGAAAAATAATTCCATGTGTTTTAAATTTATTTGATTTATTGATGTGTGTCGGGTTTTTGGTTGATTTTTATTGTCAATTTAATGTAAACAAAGTAATTTTCACAGATACTTTATTTCTTGTTTAGCCCTTTCTAGCCAACTTTGCAACGATTTATATTCACCATTTTCTAATTATATAAGGGTAGATCGAAGATTAACATATTCACATTATTTTTCTTCTCGCGAAAGAAGCGAAAATAAGTTGGTTTACATTATTTGTTTGTCTGTATTAGAAATAAACTTACGTGGACATTCATTTCCTATCAGTTTGTCCGTTTTAGAAGTATAAACTTACGTGGACATTCATTTCCTATCAGTTCAACGTCATCTACTTCTATATCATCAGAATATGAGGTTCCTCTAGTGGCAACAAATTCTAGTTCAGCATTGATTATCTCCCCTGCTGTGAACTTTGACATTGGCACACAAGCTGATTCCCATGATCCAAAGGTGTCCAAATGATCTTTCATAAATATTTGTTTTGTTACTCCATTGTGGTTCAAATTAACCTTGAATAAAATAAACATGATCTTTGGAATATATTTAAATAAAAAGGCTTTCTAACACATCATGTTGTGAAAATCAAATGTACCAATTCAGACTATATGGACCCTGTTGTTGGTCTATGACTATAGGTCTTTTTTTAAAGGAGCTGAGTGTTGGTGTGACATGTTGTACTGTGCATTATTTTTGGCAATTCCTGTGATCTCTTTTTTTATGTGTTTTTCAAACATGATGTCTTTTTTAGGTTTTGTGTTGTTGGGTTGATGACTGCATATGAATAATTATAAACAGTTCCCATTGTATAAACTAGTATGAATAAAATTCTAAAATTTCCCCTTATCAAATTTTCAAATAAAAGTGCCTTAATAGATCTATACGTAATTTTGAAGTCCTATAAATAAGTACCATTTTACCTCATTTAGACAAAAAAGTTCAAAATCAACCGCTCAGAGTGGGGATGGTGGTGGATGTATTTCATTATCTAATAATTAGTTTGTTCTCAAAAGTATTTATATAACATATTCCAAATCATGTACCATTGATCCTCATGTTTCTTTGCTGATTGTAGTGGCATATATGAGAGTCTGGATGGGGCCCTTCAATCATGCATCCTTTAATTTTTAAGCCATTATTCTCTATTCTTTATAAAGTATGCCCATTATTCTCAATTTTTTATATTAAAACAAACAATTATTTTCTGTTCTTTATTTTTTTAGGTCTATTTTTCTACATTCTATTTTTTTTTCATTCCCATTTATCTGTACTATTGGCCTATTATTCTCTATCCTGGAAACCCCATTCAGACCCTCATATATTGCTATGCAATGTCCTTCATTCTTTTAAGTGATTTTTTTTTAATTCACTGAATACCATCTAAACTTCTTTGACTTGCTCTTAATACTCAAATACCTCTAAAGATCCAGAGCTATCATTTCTGCTGCCAGTATTTCTATATTTAACTTTCAGGTTATGGCTGGTTGTGGCATTGAGTGGTAATGTAAATTTGGCCTTGTCACCAAGTCTTCCAAATGATGCATCTGCTGTTAGATATATACCAGCATCTACGTGGAGTAAAAAAGGATTTGTTACAACATAGTGTAAAAAAACACACCCCAAAACAATAAGATTAAGTGAATTTGAAAACAGTGAAATCAAACTGCAGCAAAATGGCCTATAAAGGGCTAAACATGAAATAAAGAATCATCGAAGATAAATTGGTTTATAGTAATCTGGACACTGTGCTGTGATTAACTTTTATTATACAGAGCACCAGAACTAAGTAGACTAAAATGAGTGTATAGGAGATTGTGCAAGTAAGTAAATAATGGGATTCATCCTAAAAAAGGTTACACATTTTTATTTTTGATACAACATGTATTTTCTATTATTATCAAACTGTGTACATGAAACGAATAACTATTCTACTCATACTGTCTGGTCATGAAATAAACTGACTTAATCAAAAAAGAAATGTACTGCGACTGAAAATTAATTGACTTGATATTTACAATATTTAAAATAAAATATACAAAAGGTTATGGAGTTATCTCCCATATTAATATTGGAATGTACTGCAGGTTATAAAGTTATCTCCCATATTTATAAAAGAATGTACTGCAGGTTATGGAGTTATCTCCCATATTTACAATGGAATGTACTACAGGTTTTCGAGTTATCTCCCATATTTATATTGGAATGTACTGCAGGTTATAAAGTTATCTCCCATATCTATAAAAGAATGTACTGCAGGTTATAAAGTTATCTCCCATATCTATAAAAAAAATGTACTGCAGGTTATGGAGTTATCTCCCATATTTACAATGGAATGTACTTCAGGTTATGTAGTTATCTCCCATATTAAAAGAAATGCATTACAGGTTATGAAGTTATCTTCCCTTTTATAATTTTTATTTGGTATTTCATAACTCAAATCTATTATGACTATAAAAGGTAAAAGACATGATGGGTAGTTTATGCACATTTGCATTCTAGACATATGATCAAAAATAAAAATGTGTAGGCTTTCAAACAGAGTTTCCAAAAAAATATTTGCAGTTGAACAGTTTTTTCTTCTTCCAATGTTAATCCCTTCAGATTTAGTAATAAAAGGCAATCATGGTAATCATTTGGCTTCATAACAATGATTGGCATATAAAAGATATCAAACTTCAAACTTTTGATATAAAATTGATGTTGTGAAGTACACTGATACATTGACAGTGCATCATTCGAAGTGTTTAACATCAGTTTACAATGAATCTCTTTTTGCATGCTTCTTAGGTACAGAGTGTCTTAAATATTTTTACATTATATAACCATATATTACCTAAAATAATAAAAATTACCTGACAAAGAAGTGTTATAACCTGTCCAAACCCATTGGAATGGTATTGGATCAGCTATTCTTGTAGAGCATTCTATGTCCCATGGACACTTTTTATCAAATTCACATACACTATAGGGGAAAGGCTCTGTAAAAAAATTTATATATAAGCATATAAAAACATTTTGTTTTCCATATTATATACATGTAAGTTTGCACATAAACACATTTATTTAAAACCAGTTTTTGGCATGATATGGGTTATGATCTTCTCATATATTTTATGATGGTATGATACTAAACCCCTAACGGGAGGGATTGTGCTTGATTTTCATATGATGAAGATATAATCTTTCAATCAGTTTAATTGAGGTCTAGAGCTGGTATGTCAGTAACTGCTAGTAGTCCTTTGTTAATTTATGTATCATTGTCATTTTGCTTAGTTTCTTCTGTTACCTATTCTGACATCGGACTCAGACTTCTTTTAAACTGAGTTTTACTGTGCGTATTGCTGTGTTTTTGTTTATTCTATAAGGGCTAGAGGTATAGGGGGAGGGTTGAGATCTCACACAACATGTTTAACCCTGCCGCATTTTTGCGCCTGTCCCAAGTAAGGAGCCTCTGGCCTTTGTTAGTCTTGTATGAATTTTGGTCAGGTTGTTGTCTCTTTGACACATTCCCCATTTTCATTCTCAATTTTATATATAAAACTGATTCAGAATTTTTGAAATGTGTTACTGTATATTCAGAAATTTTTGCAAGGTTTTTATTAATGCGAATATTGTGACTGGATGCATATCACAATAATAAGAAGTCGCATTATGATATCCGATACAAATGTCTGTATGCATCTTTTTCCAAAATCACAATAATTAATCTCATATTTTTGTCCATTCTTCAAAATTTGCAATAATAAATGCACGCAATAATTTCAGAATTTACTGTTACAGTATACTTTTACTAATGAGAAAAATGCAACATGATAGATATCACAAAAATCAAACCTCTCATTTCTTATTTTCTTAGCAATATTTGTATGCACGGATTTCTGAAATCACATTCATTAATCTCGTCAATTGTTTAACAATGGCAATAAACAAATGCAAGCGGTTCCCCTTAAACTGACCTAATCACAAACTGATATATTGTACCCACTGCTGCCAGCAACAGTGTGCCTTAATAGTCTCATCTATTTTTTATTCCACAAAGCATGACAGAAAGCTGGTCTATATAGTAGTACATACAAGGTAAAAAGGGAGTATGGTATAGGAGGGGTACTGTTTTGGGGTAGAACAGTTCACATCAATATTTCTTAAATCTCCATTTTATGTTTAAGTCATTTTAATGCAGTTAACAAAAATCTAGGTTTCAAACTTCATAGATTTCCTAATCAATTGTAATTTGCTTACTTTTGAATCATGTTAATTTCAATGATTTTACAGAGGAGTAGTTACGGTAAGTCCCTAAAATGGCCCCTATTTCTTACTTTAATTTCAAATTTGGATTCATTGACCAATATCACAATGAATCATAGTTAATACATTGACTAAATAGGGATTATGTCTCTTGGTTGAAAATTTACATACTTCCATTCTATTCATGATGTCACAAATACATATAGCACGCATTTTGATTTTCCACTATAATTGAATGAAAACAGCTAAACCTACTGGTACATTGGATGTGAAAATCAACAATATAAAATAAAACTTAGACAAAAATAGTTCTGTTTACCATCTCACATGTCTTTTCATCAACTTAAACATTCTTTATCTTGAAACATTGAACTGAATAATCGAGCCAAATATATCCCTTACCGAACTTACTCCTTTGATATATATGATCCTTTGTATTTAAGGTACACAAAGCTTTTATATCTTTAGACAAGTAAAATATCAATAGCTAAAGTACATGACATAAATGAAAAGTACTCACTTGGACATATTTCTTGCTGGTTAACTTTTATCTCATAAACATATGCAACCGTATAAGATCGGTAAAAAGAATAAGTAGTTTTTCCTGTTATAACCAAGTTACCACGTACTGATGACGGTAAATCAAAACAAGCACTTAAATCTCCATGTTCTGTATATCCAAGGTCATAGGTCATATCCACTGTCTTAAGTTGGACATGTAACTGTACTGACTGATCTTCAATTGTCAAATTTAGGAATACACTTCCACTAGATGGAGTTGTGAACATGTTGGATATTAATTTTGATGATACATTTCCATTGTAAGAATATAAGACAAAAGCTGTGAAATAAACAGATAATTATTTTCTCTATCATTGAGCAACTTGCAAATCTGGCCCAACCCTCCAAACAAAGTTTTTTTTATGATTTATATTTTTATCTTTGTTATAGCAACATGAAGGGTGCCATTTGTGGAACAGGAATTGCATACTTTTCCAAAGCATCTGGATTCACCACCGTTTTTTGACATGGTTTCCACTTGGCTCAGTTGTTAAGTTTTCTATAGTGTTTTGTGATTTATCTTAATTTTCTGGGAACTAACCTAAAATATTACTTTATTGTATGGGAAAAGAAAAATGGATATTCAAAAACTTGAGATTGATGTGATTATAAAATGCTTTTGAATTGTAGCTTCAGATCTATTATAGAAATTGTCAATATATGCCCCTAGCATATACGTCCCCATGGAAAGTACACTTTGATTGAATAGACTTATTGCATTAGAAAGGATACATATGGTTGTGTATAGACTGGTCTATTGGTAATGACTGTGTATTGACTACTACATTTCTTTTGTATACCCAATATCATCTGTTACTGTAAATTCAGAAATTATTGCAATTTTTGAAGAAAGGACATAATCGCGAGATTAATGATTGCGATTTTCTGTAAATCTGCATACAGATATATGAGTTGTATATCAGAATACGAGTTCTTATCATCGCAATACTCACCAGTCACATTGTTTGCAATAATAAAAACCCTGCATTAATTTCTGAATTTACAGTTTTCCTACAAAATGAATCACAGGTCCTGAATCTAATATAAAACAACCTAAGTATCTTCTTGTTGTTGTTATTGGTTTTGGTAGGCGGCTTACTTATATATTGTAATTGCACCTTAAATTCATATAACATAAATATTATGTATATTCACTCATTCCTTAATATATTTTTAGTTTTACATTTTGGCAAGTAATTATATAAAACTATATGAAACTGTGAAGAATAGGATTGACTGTGTTACAATACATATACATATGTATATAAAAAAAAAAACACATACCATAATTTTGATGTGACCATCCAGTGCCGACATTATTGACTGTGTAGGAACAGGTTCCCTGATTGTTCCAACCAAACTTACAGTCTATTGCACCAGTCTGAACAGCATCAACTAAATCATCAATATAAAAAATTATACATTTCTTTAATAGAAAAGAAAGGATATGGGTATTCATCTATGACACAAAATCAGTGCATGCACAGCAAAAAAACACCCAAAAAGCAAAGGAAGAGCACTTTTATTGCCTTTCTTCATCTCAAAGTCATAGTCTTCAACACAGAACAAAAACTCTCACCTCACTGCAAGTTTAAGATAGCCCCTAGTACTGGTTTCTTTGCCTGTTTTGGTCTGTCATGTATTTATATTACTGAATGTTTGTGTCATTCTTCAATGCAAATGGTAAGGGTTATTTACCTGCGTACCCTTCCGGAGCACCTGAGATCACCACCAGTTTTTGGTGGGGTTTGTGTTGCTCAGTCTTTAGTTTTCTATGTTGTGTTTTGTGTAATATTGTTTGTCTGTTTGTCTTTCTCATTTTTACCCATGGCTTTGTCAGTTTATTTTGGACTTATGAGTAATGTCCCTTTGGTATCTTTCGCCTCTCTTTACCCATGGCTTTTTCAGTTTATTTTGGACTTATGAGTAATGTCCCTTTGGTATCTTTCGCCTCTCTTTACCTATGGCTTTGTCAGTTTATTTTGGACTTATGAGTAATGTTCCTTTGGTATCTTTCGCCTTTCTTTACCTATGGCTTTGTCAGTTTATTTTGGACTAATGAGTAATGTTCCTTTGGTATCTTTCGCCTTTCTTTACCCATGGCTTTGTCAGTTTATTTTGGACTTATGAGTAATGTTCCTTATGTATCTTTCGCCTCTCTTTTACCTGCAATTTGTATACAGGGTTTATTTCAAATGTTTTTGTGCAAAAATAATTTAGAACACAATTTATAGACTTACCACATCTTATTCCAGTTATATAATAATTACTCGTTCGATAAATGGTACAGTCAGAGAGATGCTTTGACGTCGATGAACATTGTACAAGCTGTTTTGGAATATCGTATTCAGAATAACTTCCTACTACTGATCCAGCCCTAAAAATAGAAAACTACTAAGCATAAAATTAAGAAGTGGTAGGATTGTCAATGAGACAATAATCAGAGTCCAAATGACGAAGATGTAAGCAACTAGAGGTCACAATACTGCCTTCAACAGTAAGAAAAAAAAAACATATGCTATAGAAAACTATAAAAGGCCCTGACATGACAAATAGTGAAACTATTCAAATGATATAACCAATGGCCTGATTCATGTACAAAACAATAAACAAAAAATAAATATGATAGGCAGCAACTAAAGACAACCAGTGAATTGCAGGCTCACGAGAGGACCTAACCTGGGACAGTAGTATAACAACACAAAATGAGAACAAACTAAAAATCAGTTGATTTAATGAATTCTGAGGTCTATTAAAAGGAGTTAAGAAATTTGAAACTTTACTGAGGATTTTATTTCTTAATTTTTCTTTCCTCTGAAACCCCTTTGTAACGTGTTCTTCATATGTTAAGGTAATACAAATAGCTTACTTTGCAGTTTTGTGAGTAAAAACATTTATTCCCATCTTTTAGAAAATCATTTTTTTACTCAGGTAAATTAATCAATGAGTGATGGATTTCTCTTAGAAGAAATTTAATGGTCCCAGTGAATAAACTACACAGTCCAATAGCTATTGTATTTACTCAATGGGACAACAGAAGTGACAAAAGTTTAAATAGATTGACCAATAGATGACTCTGTGGAAAACTTTCATTTGGTTCACAATAACAATTTACAAAAAATTAATTGTAACAATATATAAAGTCGTTAAATGATATTGGATAATAGGCCCTTTACCAATTATTGCAGCCATATTGAACAGGGGGCAGATTTTCATAATGGAGGTGAAAGTGCTTTGAAAAACATGGGGAAACATCATTGAAATAGAACAATTGCTTAGAAACATGCATAGGTTTTTCTATACTTTCTTACTATTTCCACCTATATGCAAAAATTCTGTCCTTTATTCAATATGGCTGCAATAACTGAAGTGGCCTATTGGACTTACGAATATCCTAGATACTGACAGACTAGAGATGGACAGTATGTTGTCTCATAACAGTACACATAACCAAACTGTCCGTTGATAACAATTTCCACGATCCCTTGAATACCGGAAGTCATATTAGTTATTGGTAGTATATCCATATGGGATATCTTTGCTATAAAAAACAAACAAAATTGGAATCAATACATCATTATAAATGTATTTGTCCCCATTATACAATAATAAATGGAGAATGTGTCAATGGGACATAGATGATGCCTCCGCTTGCATATAACATTATAAAGGGACATAGCTAGAGAACTGTAAAAGTGACGCCACCCAAATTCAGACTTGATCTGCGTTTTATGGGTAATAAGCATATATTGTGTATAAATTTCATAACATTTGGTTGAGGCAAACTAAAATTAGAGAACGGAAACTAATTTTGTGACAAACATTACTTAAATTTTAGATGCTAACATATCATTGTATTTTCTTACACTTACATGTTATCTACAAAAACAAGATCGTAATCATATAAATATACAAATGATATTGTCAATACTTACTTGTTCCAAAGGTAGTAGTTCTAGGTGTTGTACTAGTTGAATTAGTTGTTGATTGACTAGATACTGTACTACTATTTCCTACATAGTCTGAAATAAAATCAATATTACACTCAAATCAAAATTTTAATAAAAAATATTCAAGAATTCGATTTCTGCATTAATATTGTAATAAAAATTTACTCTTAACATTTGAGAACTAGATATTTTCTTTTAAACATTTTAATTTTGCATATCTAAAAAAAGTAGAATATCTAAAACCACATACATAAAATCCAAACTATCATACCAGGCCTTGTCGTCATAAAAATGTTGAGTACGATAATTGTACTCAGACTTAGAATTAAAGAAAATCTAAATGCTAGATTTGGTGTTTTCTGAGTGAAGTTTTATGACTGAGACCTCTGGGCCTTTTATAACTTAATTAGTTTAATTACTACCTGTATATGACATGAGCTTTGATCATTGTTGAATGCCGTGCAATGACCTCTATTAATATTATCCTTCTCATCTTTGTCCGTTTGGCTTTATGGGTAGCCGTCTCATTGGCAATCATACTATATTTCCCTTTTTATATCTGACACAAGAATCAGGTGAAAAAATGCTTCCACAATTTATCCATCAAAGTGTCAGAGATGAAATTGCTGGTTGAAAAAAAGTAGAGCCTGTCAGTCATTTACTATGTGTAATATAAAAATATGTGATCAGTTTCACAAAAATTTGACGACTTAGGTTGATCCTAAGTCATGAATAATTCAGTATACTTACAATCAACTTTAGATGTAAGATCGTCTGTGAAACTGATCACAGATATTCAAAGTTAGTTGTCTACTGGAAACAAATTTTGATGAAAGTAAAATATTTTTGAAAATTTTTTGAAAGAACAGGATTACAAACATGGCGTAAATGAGATTAGGACTTTCAAATCTCATTAATCAAACTTTGATGTCAAGGACATTCCAAAAATGGTCAAACATTGTTTCATATAGTTAAACCTGAATATACAGGTCTTTCTAAATAAGGATAAAAGAAAACTGACCTTTTATCAAAGAGATGTGACCTATTGATTGAGGTTAAAATGCATAGGTATTACTACAGCGTGATAAGAAGAGACTGACGTTATCAAACATGTTTTTCTTAATAGATGTGACCTTTATGGCAAGTTCGACTACTGTGAATTCATTATTTTTCATTGGATAATGATTGTCATGGATATGGGAAACAATGAATTGGAATGTTAAAAAAATTACATAAACATCTATTGATAAGTATGCAGACTTTAGCAAAACCATGAAATCGAATATCCATGAAAATACAAGTTTATCTCAATCCACGAAAATGTGTACCAATGAATATCAATCCACAGTACTATATAGAGAATATCATATGGCTTTTTCAATATCACATCCGTATCAACCCGAGACACCAATATAATCCCAAGAGCTCTGCTCGAGGGTTTATATTGGTTGAGGGTTGATACGGTGTGTGATATTGAAAAAGCCATATCATATACACTTTATTATATACATATACCTCATGTAGATATATAGATTATACCACTGCATCGAGTGTGATACGATATTTATCCACTCGAGACAGTTAAATTTTCAAATTTAAAACGCGAGGCTCGCCGAGCGTTTTAAATATGTAAAATTTAACTGTCGAGAGTGGATAAATATCGTATTACACGAGATTTGGTGGTGGAATCTGTTTCTCTAATGATTTTCAAACAATACGCAGGCAAATTTATTCCTTCTTTTCGAATGATCTGCAAAAAGATGTGTTCTTTCTATGTGACGTCATCAGGCATGGTCGCCTTTTTTCATGCCGTCACAATAGGAAATTCAGAGGAAAGCAAGAAAATTCGACGTCATAATCGGATTTTAACCAATGAAGAACTGAGATCAAATGAACCACACGTTGATTAAATTTTTTTTATACAATGGGTGCAGAAAGGAATAAATTGACGAAGAATTAGAGAAATTTATTTATGTGACATGACGTCATACAGATAAGGAGGTTTGAAATGACGTCATACAGATTATAGGTTTGACATGACGTCATACAGATTAGGGGTTTGATAAAGCCTTTGCAACAGTGACTGCAATCGATGACGTGACGTCATACAGATTAAATGTGTGATAAAGCCTTTGCAACCGTGCTGATATCGATATCATCACGGGTGGCTGATACAGCACGCTTGCCAATGATTGTATTACATATACAATTTATCTGTATTTAATACTAAGTATATAATATATATCTATAAATAAGGAGATGTGGAATGATTGCCAATGAGATAACTATCCATTAGAGTTCAAATGAAGTGGATGTAAGCAATAATAGGCATCTATACAGCCTTTAACAATTTGAAAAATCAGTGCTATATATATAGTCTTCTACCAAAGGACCCGCACTTTAAAAAGGTAAAAGAAGAGAACAAGAAAACTAAAAGCCTAATTTATAACATAAAAATAATTTACAAAAAATAAATATGACAGGCATGAACCACTAACAACCACTGAACTACAGGCTCCTAACTTGAGACAGGCACTTAAAGAATGTGGCGGAGTTAAACATAATTGTAAGCGATCAACCTTCACCCTAAGCTGGGACAGTGGTATAACAGTACAACATAACCATATTATAAACCAATGGGGTAACACACCTGGTAACTTTATACAATCATCATCGTCCTGTAACAGATTACAGTAGTAAACCAGATTGTAATTGTTCGATATCTGGTGGTGACTACACACTCCAAAATGTAAGATGTGGAAGGCATCTAAAAATAGTCAATAAAACATTCATTCAAATAACAAACAAAAAATAATATCAATTTGCATCTGAGCTACGTCAGATAAAAAATCGCAAATAAATTTCAATACATCTGTTAGCTATTTTTTGGGGTTGAGAAAATCTCTATGCAAAGTCTGTAACTGTTTGAAAATTTAGTTGATACAAGAACCCTACAAAAAATTCATCTTTTGTTTTATATTTGAATGTTCCAAAAATCAAACGAAGTTTTTGTTAAACAAATTCTAAATGTATATGTGTATTATTGATTTCAATAAATAACAATCCATGTATGAGGGTCTGGATTGGGGGTCCTTCATTTCTCTATTCTTTATTTATTTTGGGCTTATTTTTCTCTATTCTTCATTTTTTACCAGTTATTCTGCATTTTTCGGTAATTATTCTCTATTTTATAAACTCCCTCCAGACCCTCGTGTATAAGTTTGCTAGTTAACACATGGAGGATATTGGTTGTAACATTTGTTAGTTTTAATACATACCTAGGCAACTTTGTCGACATATCTGTTGAGTTGTACCATTCTGACAGGTTGGAAATAATAAAGCACACATTGTGTGTGAGTACACCATACTACAGGAATCGTAGGGGTAATAAGCCCAAGTGTACCATTGATTTAATGCTTCAAAGTGATCCTTCTGACCAAAAACATTTGGGTATGATGTAAAGTTCATTCCAAATTCACTAGAGCATATGTATGTGTTATGGATGAGACATCCATCTGAAAGATATAAATCAGTATAAGGTTTTACTGTAAATTCACTAGAACATATGTATGTATTATGGGTGAGACATCCATCTGAAAGAAAGTTTTACAGTAAATTCACTAGAACATATGAATGTGTTATGGGTGAGACATCCATCTGAAAGATATAAGGTTTTACTGTAAATTCACCAGAACATATGTATGTGTTATGGTTGAGACATCCATCTGAAAGATATAAGTCAGTTTAAGGTTTTACTGTAAATTAAGAAATGTAAGGATGTTTTTATCTATTGTCAAAATTGAAACAGGATAGGTTTTGCTAAATAAAAACATGCTTTTTTTTTAATATCATTATTTGTATTTCCAGAAAACACAATAGTTAATCTCCCATTTTTTGTCAATTTTTCACCAATCACAATAATAAAGACATGAAGTAAAAGAAGAATGTGTCGGAGGACACGAATGCCCCCGTTCAAGCTTCAAACAAACAAAAATGGGATGGATGGACGGACGGAAAGATGGACGGTCAAGGGTAAGACTTAATGCCCCCGTGCCTACGGCAGGGGCATAAAAATTCTAAATCTACAGTATTGAAATAATTAATATGAATGCTTAAATAGTTTATAATTTGTCTGCACATTTAAGGTAGAATATCACTTAAAAGCAGAAAATGATGGACAATAGAGTTCAAATTGGAACTTCAACTGTGCTATAATTAACATCATTAAAATAAAAAGGATAAAAAGGATGAATCACAGCAGTGGCTGTTTGCAACCTACAAGTAATGGCCTTAAATAAAACTTTAAATAAAATCCCATAACTCTGAAATGACAAACCAGAGAATTTTGTAGAAATTTTATCCAAGCATATACTAGAGATAGTGTGTGACATACAAAAAATATCCTTATATATCATGGTTAAGTCCCATAACTGGAATGACAAATCGAAAAAATTTCAAAATCAACAGTATCTTACTTTAACCAATTCAAACAATTATATACAATTTTCAGTAAATGGATCAAAGCATACTCAAGTTATATGCTACAACATGTGAAAAATCAAAGTGAAATATGACGATTAAAGTCCTGTAACTCTTGAATGACAAACCAGAAAATTGGAGCTTCCTTTTATTAATCCTGGACCAACAACAGTGTATAGTTTTTAAAGAAATCTATTCACACATGCTGGAAGTAGGGCGCAATGTGTGACAAATTGCCTCAAATCTGACAGTTAAAGTCTTGTTACTCTGGATAAAAAAAAATCAAAATAGTATGGGAGCTTTCTTCCCATTCCAATAAAGTTTCATGTTATTTGATCAATACATTATCAGGGTAGTTTTTGTATGACATGTGAACTGATGTTTACCATAGTACGTCCTGTCGATGACAGACATAAACAAATTGTGTAGTTCATGTCGCAGGCAAGACAGACAAAGGACAGGATTGACACAGGACATGGATATGCTGAATCTAATGTTTTTGATTTTTTCAAGCTAATAAATCTTTTATGTCACCTTACCTTGAAATGATGATTTTGACACTGAGGCTGTTGTTCCAAATTCTGTTGTTGGTCTATATTCTAATAGAGTAGTTGGTCTGTATTCTAATAGAGTAGTTGGTCCATGTTCAGGTTCAGATATAGTAGTTGTCATGTGTTCTGATTCAGGAGTTGGTCCATTTTCTGGTTCTGATTCAGGAGTTGGTCCATTTTCTGGTTCTGATTCAGGAGTTGGTCCATTCTCTGGTTCTGATTCAGGAGTTGGTCCATTTTCTGGTTCTGATTCAGGAGTTGGTCCATTTTCTGGTTCTGATTCAGGAGTTGGTCCATTTTCTGGTTCTGATTCAGGAGTTGGTCCATTTTCTGGTTCTGATTCAGGAGTTGGTCCATGTTGATTTTCAGCAGTCGTTTCTAGTCCTGCCTCTGTGGTGTGCCATACATCTGGAGTTGTGAAATCTACCTCTGCATTTAAAATGAATGAAAATTATGTCTTCTTTTCATGTCTAAGCACAAATGATTTTATTCAATAAACTATCAAGCAAACCAGAACTAAATATCTTTAAAATAGAAGTGGAATAAAAAAAAGTTTACAGACACCTACACAACCATACATAAAAATTTCGAATATTTTAAAATAAATTGATCAAAGCAAATTTGAATTGGCATGCAATTTCAAACTATCTTTATATTTATCTATTTGCTATTTAACAGCAAAAAATGACAGAAAGTAAAAAAAAAATTTATAAAAAATGACTTTTAAAAAATCAATTCTATTTGACTCAAGGATTGATTGATTGATTGTTGGTTGCTTAACGTCTAGTGGCAAATATTTCATGCAAGTTCAGGACAAGTTGACTCAAGGATGCTCAATAATAATATCACTTGCGATATAGTCAAACCTATATATAAAGGTCAAAATTGGGACAAGAGATAACTGACCTTATAAGAGATTTTTTGAATTGAGATTCAAAATGCATAGGTATTACTCCAGCGGAAAAGAAGAGATTGACCAGACATGACAGGTTTTCAATAAGGAATCCAGCTGTTCTTAATGGAACATGATAATGACTGTTACATAAATTGTTCAGAAGAGCTGAGCATCCTACGAATAAATCTATGATCCCTTAATATAATACAGGTGAACATAAAAGGTTTGACTGTATAATTAGTTTTTAAGCCAATTCTGCCCAAACATGTACCTTCGCCTCAGATTCATGTTGATATAAAATACAAAGTAATACTAACCTGCACAACTTCCATTATATAACAGAACATCGTCAATAGCTACCACTGACCTATGACCTCCAGCAGTAAACCTCAAACTAAACACACCGGCAGCTACAGGGAATTCCCCTCTATGCCACTGTAGGTTAACATCTGTCCTATATTCAACCAATGAAAAGACTTCATTGTTCATGTTAGAAGTGTTCTGATGAACTGTCAAAATTACTGATGAATATTCATGAGGTCGGATAACAATATAGAAAAATTCTACACACATTGGCGTATTGGTTTGGAGGTAGGGAGAAGTCATTTCTTTGTCATAGTATAATCCATCCAAATCACCAGTGTAAATAAAGGATCCTAAAACAAAAAAAACATCTTGCTTACCAACTTTTAATATTTTTGTTATACATGTACTGCATTTCAATCAAGTACCGTATGGTTTTTTTTTCTTTGTCTCAGAATACAGATAAAAAAATTTAACCTACTTCAACGCTATTTTACCCATACTGTGATTGATGAAATAATGATATGCATAAACTAACTTTCCCGATAAAGTGTTCAGTCAGTTTTTCCGTAACTAGGGTTTTTTCTTTTTTTTTTCCTCTTGGGTCTTTTCAGTATCAATTTTTTTTTTTTAAGAATGGTAATATAGAGTTGTCTCATCATATCGATGATACCACATCTCCTTATTTTCAAATTTAGAAATTATTCATTACCTTCATGAGAAGAATTGTGAAAGGTGTGATCCTCCAGGTAAAATTCTGGATAAATTACGCCGGATCTCTTTCTCCATGAACCAGTGTTGTATTCACATAAATGGTCTTCCTCAAAATTACAACTTATACTATAGTCTGAAAAGAAAGTTCAAATGATTTTAAGTTAACATAATAGAAAAATCAAAGCACCTGTTGGTCATAAACTATTTAGACAAAAGAGTTTTATGTTTTTCAAACGTAATTCGTAAAATCAGTAATTTCAACAATAAAAAAATTAAAATTCTTTTTTTTTTTAAATCATGAAAGTTTCTATAATTATTAGATATTGTAATGTGTAATTATTTTTGTAATATATTTAACAAATATTACTAATTATATATACTAATTTGTGATATAAAAAAATAAAGGTCATATTTAATCAATTCTAAAAAACTCAAGGTAAAAAAATGTTCATATAAATGTTCAGAAGAAACAACATTATAGTTTTATTTTACAGTTAATCAAGTTTTATAAAGAAATATCAGTGCAAAGTATTCATCTTACAAATTTGAATAAAAAAATAAGGAAAATGTTGAAAATTAGGTGACTTTATATTTTGTCTATATGGCTTGATAAATTAACTGGTAAATATAACTTTTTTTTCATTTTATTGTCACTAGCTAAAATAAGGAATGTTCATTTCCCAAATCCTGCTTTTTTGTAATTTTCACCCACTTTCCACTTTTTATAACCCTTAATACTCACACACCCTTTTTTTACCGCCTATATCTCGCATCCAAAAGCTGGTCATCTCCCGGTAAAATGTTCCTTACAAATCTGTTATCTTACCACAGTTTTGTTCATCCTGCCCATCAGAGCATGCCAACTGTCTATCACACACATACTCCTGACTTACCACAGTTTTGTTCATCCTGTCCATCAGAGCATGCCCACTGTCTATCACATACATACTCCTGACTTACCACAGTTTTGTTCATCCTGTCCATCTGAGCATGCCCACTGTCTATCACACACATACTCCTGACTTACCACAGTTTTGTTCATCCTGTCCATCTGAGCATGCCCACTGTCTATCACATACATACTTCTGACTTACCACAGTTTTGTTCATCCTGTCGATCAAAGCATGCCCACTGTCTATCACAAACATAATTCTAACTTACCACAGTTTTGTTCATCCTGTCCATCAGAGCATGCCCACTGTCTATCACATACATACTCCTGACTTACCACAGTTTTGTTCATCCTGTCCATTAGAGCATGCCCACTGTCTATCACATACATACTCCTGACTTACCACAGTTTTGTTCATCCTGTCCATCAGAGCATGCCCATTGTCTATCACATACATACTCCTGAGGTATACACAGGTTATCTACGGAGCAGGAAAAATATCTCACCACAGTTTTGTTCATCCTGTCCATCTGAGCATGCCCACTGTCTATCACATACATACTCCTGACTTACCACAGTTTTGTTCATCCTGCCCATCAGAGCATGCCCACTGTCTATCACAGACATACTCCTGACTTACCACAGTTTTGTGCATCCTGCCCATCAGAGCATGCCCACTGTCTATCACAGACATACTCTTGACTTACCACAGTTTTGTTCATCCTGCACATCAGAGCATGCCCACTGTCTATCACAGACATACTCCTGACTTACCACAGTTTTGTTCATCCTGCCCATCAGAGCATGCCCACTGTCTATCACAGACATACTCCTGACTTACCACAGTTTTGTTCATCCTGTCCATCAGAGCATGCCCACTGTCTATCACATACATACTCCTGAATTACCAGTTTTGTTCATCCTGTCCATCAGAGCATGCCCATTGTCTATCACATACATACTCCTGAGGTATACACAGGTTATCTACAGAGCAGTAAAAATATCTTACCACAGTTTTGTTCATCCTGCCCATCAGAGCATGACCACTGTCTATCACATACATACTCCTGAGGTATACACAGGTTATCCACTGAACAGTTAAAATATCCATCACCACAACCTGCAATTACAGAAATATAACTATTTTATTTCAGGCTGCATGCCAGTTTTAAAACAAATAATACAACTTTTTTATACTTTGCAAAAATGTAGTATTTATCTCAAAATAAAAAAATGTATGTCCAACCTCTAAATATTCCTGCGTTCGGAATCAATTAAACAGACTACAATAAAACACTGATTAGCTCCCTGAACAAGTAAATTGCTGCAGAGTAAAAAAATATTTTCATGAAATCTAAACTTTATATCCTCTTTTGCTAACATCTTACCTTCCATACTTTCCCCTGGCTGTAAAACAACATCCTTCCTTTCCTAACAACTTACCTTCCATACGTTCCCCTGGCTGTAAAACAACATTCTTCCTTTCCTAACAACTTACCTTCCATACGTTCCCCTGGCTGTAAAACAACATCCTTCCTTTCCTAACATCTTACCTTCCATACATTCCCCTGGCTGTAAAACAATATCATCAATTCGTAAACCTCCCCAATTGTTAGATGGGAAGAACATCTCAAATATCACACTGAAATTTCCACTTGGAACAGTTGTCTTGTACTTTATCCAGAATGCAGTTCTAATCATTCTATCGATCATATACAATGGTGTGACAAGACCGTCTGTATCTTGGAGTGCCAGTCTCAAGTGACCATAAGTAAAGGGATAGGACTGAGTCAAGAATGACAGACAAGACACGGTAGGAATATTTTCCATTTGAGAGCGAAGTAAGTGGAAACCAGCCATGGAGACATATATGTGATGATTGCCATCTGAAAATATAAATAAGGATAGGTTAATTAAATTTTTTCATTATTTTATAAACCCAGTTTGAATACTGTACATTCAGAAGTTTTAACATGCATTAATTTATTTTTGCAATTCTCGAAAAGTGAGATTAATTATAATGATTTCTTGTTTAGAAATTCCAGAAGGGAAAACATATTTTTTTGTGTTATACATTTATATATATGTATAAATCAGTACATGTATATATTTACTTTGTGATATTTTTTGAAGCAGTGATGCTGAATTCATTGTCTGTGGGCCATTAATCCTTTTCTAAAATCAGTGATCTCCTCAGGCCCTTAAAGGACCGCGGGCCCACGATGTATAATTTTTTACCGTGGTGGTATCGTTCTTACCGCGATGTATAATTTTTCTCCGTGGTGCTAAAATTTTCAGTTAAAAAATCGTAAATTGGTAAAGTTTTAAACGACTTGTTAAATCTTTTCCGTGCGGTATAAAATTCCAGGTGAAATTTGACCAGTTCAAACCAGTTCAACAGAGATTTGTTTACGTCACGTGATCGATTTACCTTATGAGGTTAACCTTGTTGATTGGATTTAATCGATGTAATTAACACTTGTAACATGATTCTTTTGTGTTTTAATTAAGAGTTCACAACTTTATGATCACAGATAACTATTTTATGGCTTCACTCTCCACCCAAGCACTGACCTGTGATAACCTGTGACAAGTCCGCAAATACTTTGTACACAAACAGTCGTCTTGACCCAATAGGTACATTTTTTGTACATCATAAAGGTGGCTCATTACATATAATGGACAACTATACATTTCCCAATTCTTATATTATAGTATTATATGTCTCTGATTAAAACCATGGCCAATATCATCTTTAATTATGACATAGTAATTGCATGATAGTCTGGTTTCAAACTGTAGTATCTGTCTGTACTTATCACATGACCCAGTTAGTTCACGTAGAATATTCAAGTTTATAATTAATTGCAATCTATTATATTTTATAAATAAAATGCATGACTGTACCTTCAAACTGGATATCTATATCCATAATTAATGAATAACAGAAGTAATCTTGCAAATTTTATCCATAAGCACATGTTAAATCTATTTATATCTACTTCCTGTCATTTAAGCGGGAAAATAGGGAGACTTAGTTGTTGACATTGAATATGGTTACTTATAGATCTATAGACCAAAGAAAAATTTATAGATTTAGGAATTCTTTTTAAATGGTTCATGACAAATAAAGATTTAGATTTCAGGGCAGTATTAAGTCAGTATCTATGTTTGATTATCACCAAAGACAAGAAAGGTTAATATTTCCATGAAATCTATGGCAAAATGTTCTAAAATTTATGAAAAATTTCTTTTTATTAAAATCTAAGATAGAAACTGGTTCAAATAATAAAACAATCTTGTTAATTTTATATCTTCTTATGACAGGAATCCTTTCACATACAACAACTCTTTTTCTAGAAACTAGAAAGTTTTTTAAATTGAACATTTTTGTTCTCTTTTGAATGATATTTTATTTTTATTGATTTTGGATTTTATAAAAGATTTAATTACTTTAAATTCAGATGAATATTTTATTATGAATCATAATTTATTTATTTTAAAAAAATATTAAAGTATACAAACTGTTTTTTGATTTACTTCCTTTTTACCAATAATTTTCTGAATCAATGTCTACATAACACAGTACCACAGTATTAAAACAAAACAAGAGACATAAAAGCTAAGCAATGCGACGCGACACAACTGATTGCATGAAATATTTCACCAAGAAGTCCACACGCGTTACCCTGGTGCTATCCAAAAATCCTGGGGAGAACACTGCTAAAATTGTTTGGCCTTTTGAATTTTCTTTATTACAAGTCATTACAATTTTCTGAAAACACTATCATAACATCTGAAAACTGCCACAATAAAACCAGATTTAATCCACCATTTTCTACATAAGAAAATGCCTGTACGGGAATATGAAAGTTGTTTTCCATTCATTTGATGTGCGAGCTATTGATTTTGCCATTTGGTAAGGGTCTTTCCGTTTTGAATTTCCAATGGTCTTCGGTATCTCTGTTTTTTATCTTTTTATCACTAGAAAAATGATGCCCCCATTCAAGTTTGCTTTTCAAATGAAAATGGGACGGACAGACAGACAGACGGACAGACGGAAGGACAGTTGGACAGACAGAAGGGCGGTCAAGGGTAACATTTAATGCCCCTTTCGCCTTGTGGCTGGGGCATAAAAATCAAGAATCAAAATAACTGAAATAACTCATAAAAATCAGATCTAAATAAACTTCTATAGCTGTCTTTAGATTATTTGCATTCCTTGGTTCCTGTTTTATTAATGTATAAATAAGGGGGAACAATAGTTTATTGGGGTTCTAATGATTTTATTCAACTTGGTATATACAAACAGAGTGAAAACATGAAATTGCATGAACTCCAAAAAGAGAAATACTGGGTATGCAGACACAGTGAATCATTTCTTCATTTATTCATACTTACATGACTAGAGATACATTTAGTTTATGTACTATGTATTAAAAAGGGTTAATATGCAGTCTTTTTTTTTTATAGAGGATAAGTTATTTATTCATTTATTTTTAATGTAATATATCTCAAAATAACTGTATATAATTAATACTATATAATAAAGTATTGATATTTCTACTTACTTGAGTCATTGACCCTGCTGATGTAATTGCCTGTTATGTTGTATTCACAAGCCCTGACAGACTCAAAATCACAAGAGATGGAGGAATCTAAAATTATAAAAATTACATAGGGTAAGAATTAAAGGGGAGACAATTTAGTTTCAAGGGATATAACTGTCAACACATAATAAATGTTCAATGTCCTAATGTTGTTAGCTTTCGTTATAACATTTTAAAAACAGAATTAAACCAGCTATAGCAAGGTGCTAGGCAGTTTTTCCAAGCAATTTAAAACCTTACGTCTTGATCACTGTAAAATATTGGTGCTGAAAATTAATTCTCTAGAATCTATAAAAAAAACTTCAGGTTCAAATTTTTTCCACTCTTTGACATGTTGATGTAGATAAAGTATTATCTCTATTTTACGAAATTTTCCTTTGATCTTACTGACTGATAATTTCCTTTCTCAAGACAGTAGAGTGATATGAAAAATTATCGCTAGAAACTAAGGGCGCACATGCCGATGTCAATGAAATTAACAATGTCGTCATAGGTAATATAGCGATAAACAGATTATCATTGGTCATCTCAACTCTATTGCTTTTCTCACTTTCGCCGTACCGGCTTAAGCGAGAAAATCAATCTCATTGAGATGACCAACGATAATCTATAATTATTTACATGCAACTCCTTGACAACACTTATTATTGTATCATGCTAGAGAAGTGAAAGTACAGGTTTTATTTACATGTGAAATATCTGTTTTTTATTATTTCTAGAAAATTATTGCATTTCATTCCAAACGATGTAATAAATGGAAATATAACTCACCGCAAGATTTCTCATCACTGCCATCATTACAGTTTTGTATACCATCACAAACTGAAGATTGTGGAATACATTGGAGCCTAGAGGCACATCTATGTTCATCAGCATCGCAATCTGTAAAACAAGAATGTGTCCATAGTACACGGATGCCCCACCCACACTATCATTTTCTAAGTTCAGTTGACCGTGAAATTGGGGTCAAAACTCTAATTTGGCATTTAAATTAGAAAGATCATCAGCCGGTTGTACGAACATGTCATTAGTCTAATGAGTCATTACGTCTTCATTAGCCTAATGCATCATAAAGGCTTAATGAAGAATTAATGAACCATTAGGCTAATGCCACGTTCGTACAACCGGCTGCAGATCATAGGGAACATGTGTACTAAGTCTCATGTTAACTGGACTTCACCTTCATCAAAAACTACCTAGACCAAAGACTTTAACCTGAAGCGGGACAGACGGACGGACGAACGAAAAACATAATGCCCCTAGGTGGGGCATAAAAATTGTTTTTATTTATCATATTTTCTGAACATTTTTTTTTTCTTTTTTATAATTGCTTCAGATGATGTAGAAGTGAATATAGTGACCTAAGAATTTTACAGGATTGTTTCATTTCTTAAAATAAGTGATAAAAGTCTTTCTGATAAATGTAACTGCCAGTGAGTAATATCAACTGTGGATTCATTTATTTTCGTGGGTATTAATTCTCGTGTATTAAGGAAAACTTACATGTTCGTGGATATTTAATTTCGTGATTTTGCCAAAGTCTGCATACAAGCCTATATAAAATTTGTCATTCTTTGAACATTTAAATTCGTGGTTCACCTGTAACAACGAAATCCATGAAAATTGATATCCAAAGAAAAATAATGAATCCACAGTATATACGTATGCTTATCTGTTCAAATTCTCCCTGTTTAGCAAAAGCTTTGAAATAAGTTTTAATTATGACTTATGATTTTGGGACAGGATCTCAGGAACTCACAGATGATGATCAATGGTTTGTGGTTAACACAAAGTCATTTACTATAAAACCAACTACGTAAGTGACCTATAGCTGCTAACTGCTACGTCATTTGGTCTCTGGTGGAGAGTTGTCTCATTGGCAGTCATACCACATCATCTTATTTTTAAATAGTTTTTGCAAGCAATTTTCAATTGTCTTTTGCAAGTGAAAAAGTAACGCAAATATAAATTGTGGGAAAAAATGTTTCATGAAAAATAAACTATGTGAGGTCAGATAGATAAGATGTTCTAAATGTGAAAAAACTAACTTTAAAATAAATGTGTATACTGTTATCACCAAATTTTGACAGTGTACTGTAGGATCTCTAGTGTGCATCTTTAATACTGTAAATTCTGAAATTTTTACGATATTTTTATTATTTCAAAATTTGCCAAGGGACAAGTTTTGGAAAAATTAAAACTTGAATTTTAAATTTTCATAGCATTATTTGTATGGATCTTTTTCTGCAATCACAATAATACATGCACTCAAAAATTTTGGATTAACTGCAATTGCAAAAAAAATAGAAGGGCGAATTGAGCTCAATTAAACAAGTAATTATGATTTTTGGGAAATAACACTGTTCTTATCAGCTTTCATGTAACTCACCAATAGGGGGACAAATTCCTGGTGATACAGATATATTATCAACTCCAGCTGTTTCAATACCGAATGAACTCCTTGAAAATGGAGCTAGATCAAAATTAATGAAATCAAACTGTTCCACTGTCTGGTACTGGAAGCTTTTCCATGTACTGGTTCCCTGTAAGATGACTCTAGTAGATTCTGAGTTTTCTCTATTGAGTATCAATGTAAGATGAGCATTTGAACTTCCTGTGAACGTGTAATTGAACTGTAAACACTGGGTATTACTTGAGTCAAGGTGGTTTGGTGAAACTAACGAGGATCTTTTGTAACTGGTTGCTGTGACTGACATGTAAAAATCTGTAATATCAATGTTATAGAGTTTGTTCTACTTCAATTTATACCAAATACATGAAAATATTAAAGTTAATTACCGCTATGGCTGAATTTTTTTATCTAAATTTACCTATTAGTTCAATATTATACAATTATTGACTTTTGATTAGGTTGATACAATGATTTATAAACCCAGGAGATATGGTATTTACCAAGGCCAATGGCCAAGGGGGAATGTCATATCCCTGGCGTTGATAAATCATTGTATCAACTTATATCAAACAGTCAACGATTGTTTTATTATATGACTATTTTATTCATCTTTCATTTTTTAGTACTGCTCTTGACGATCGATATCTAACTTCTCCATGTTGTATTTATACTAACTATATATTATCTGCTTTGGCAGTTGCTAACTTTTTTAAGTTGAAATTCTAGTATACAATAAAATTTACCAAAAAAATATTTTAACACCTTATAATGTCATGCAGACCTACGATATTAACATTGCCCTGGAAAATAACTATTTAGGTACACATTAGCTGTTCTAAATCTTATATTAACCTCTCATGATTTTTTCCCACTGTGAATATAATGTTTTATCAAAGAAGATTCCCTATACTTTTAGCCAATGAGAAAAGAGAAATTGCATAGTCATATAATAATAAATTTTAACACATATTTAAAAAAAATAGGGTTTGACTTTCTTAAAGAAAGCAATTTTATCACAAAATGTACGGTTAGTCAAACTACATTCAATCTAAGGACTGTTTCATGAAAACATACATGGGACACAGGAAAGGCACTTCAAAATTTCAAATATAGGTGAGTGTAAACTATTTCATTTACAGTAAGAATGTAAGTGACGTTATGGTTTGTTTCTATATATAGATGGTTCCCCATTTTCAAAGTCCCTTCCCATGGTATCATATATAAGTTTTTATTGAACAGCCATAACAATAATAATTTTGTGGGTTAAATAATGATTGTTAAATGAAATTATAAACATTTAGAAAGGAGTATACTGTAAACCAACATATTTTCGCAGATACTTTATTTCGTGTTTAGCACTTACTAACCCATTTTGAGATTTTCAAATTTGCTTGATGTACGTAGTTATAAAGGGAAAGATCCAAGTTTTACATATTCGCGACGATTTATATTCACTTTATTTTTCTACTCGCGAAAGTTGCAAAAAAAAATCTCTCGCGAAAATTAGTTGGTTTACAGTAATTGCAGACTAAATTAAGAACCTGCATTCAGTTTACCTCCTTTCTTGTTGGCATGCTCTTTTCTCTTCCAGGAATCAGACATGTAGTATCCACATAGCGCTGAGTCATCAAAATCACAGGTCAAGGATTTAACTGTAAATATTTTTGTAGGGTTATTAAAATATATTCATATCAATTTGGGTTCCTACACTAAAATTTAAAATTTGACTACCTTTGAAACTCATAGGACTAGAATTTGGTGTAAATAGACCTCTTGACAGGCAATGAACAGCGCCACCTAGTAATTATTCTCTGCCTCTGAAGAAAGTCTGTGAAGGACAAAAACCTGTTACTGGTAAATCTATGAATCCTCACCTGGCACGGTTAGTTGTATGTTTTGGCATTACCAACTTTTTATTTGTTATAATTTTTTATCATAGACACATATTTAATATGCCTCCACTAACATAAGTTCCTCTTTGGGTTACTCATCATAGACACATATTTAATATGCCTCCACTAACATAAGTTCCTCTTTGGGTTAATCATCATAGACACATATTTAATATGCCTCCACTAACATAAGTTCCTCTTTGGGTACACTCAGCAACCAGATACACTGAAACCAATATGTAAAAGTAATACACTTCAGAATTCCGTAAAATTATCATAATCCCACAAAATCAGACTGGATAATTTCTTCAAACAAAAAAATAACTGCATCAACAATTATCTATCATAGATAATTAATTGATCCAAATCATTATCACAAGCCACAAAATAAGGCTGAATAATCTAAGGGTCGAACAATTGTATGGGCAATTATCCTTAATTGATAATCTACCATTTAATTTTTCTGAATAAGTTATCATAAGCCTCAAAATAAGACTAGTGTTGTTGTATATCATATTTGTTTTTTCGTTTATTGTTTTGTAAATAAATAAGGCCTTTAGTCTTCTTGTTTGAATTGTTTAACATTTGTCTTTAAAGGGCCTATTATAGCTTACTATGCAGTATGGGTTTTGATCATTGTTGAAGGCCGTGTTGTAACTATGTCATTTGGTCTCTGGTAAAGAGTTGTCTCATTGGCAATCATACCACTTAATCTTATTTTAAAAGATATAATTTCTTCAAACAGAATAACTGGATCATTTAATTATCCAACATGGATAATTAATTTTTATCACAAGCTTAATAATCACTCATAGACTGGATAATTATTGTAACATAATAAACAATGGGGTAAGTTATTTTAACCCATTGGAGCTATTGTGTTTTAGAGACTTCTTTAGATCAGTTTTCTCTCTATCTTAAAATACTACTTAGTCTTTAGGAAATTTAAGCGTGTATCGTTAATTTTTGATATAGACATTTAACTGTGAAATTTACCCTACTTGAACATTTTAAACTTAATTCAAATGCATTGTAAAAGGCAATGAAATTTGAATAATGAACAAAGCGAAGATTTTATTGTCCCATCTAAGTCCAAACAGCAAACAAAACCTGACAAGAAAATTAACCTGATATACAGTAATAACTTACTTGGACAGCTTTTAGCTGACAACACAACATCATCCACATATACATCTGTATGGTTATTCATTTGAGTTTTGTCAGCCTTAAATCTCAGAGTAACCTCCCTTGGAGATGAAACCCTAACACAGTATGTCTGCCATGCAGCTAGAATTGACTTAGTTGTCATCACTGACGTAAAACTGTCGTCTTTACTGATGGAATACATCAGGTTTTGAGCACTGTTCCAATTGCTTATCATATATTTGAAATGAAGGTACATTCTGGATGATATTGAGATATTCGGAAATTCTATCAATGCTGTATCCCCTTCCTCTCCTAGTAATCCATTGGCAATCAAAAAACTATCTGAAATCAAATCACAATGAGTTTTAAATTCAACTATGCATCATTTGGTCTCTGGTGGAGAGTTGTCTCATTGGTAATCATATACATCTTCTTATTTTTATATTTTTATATATTGAAGACTAACTGATTTTCCAGAATTGTTAAGTCAATTTTCAGACTCTTCTCCATAAATCAGCTTTCAACAGATTGTTCAATAACATTTTGATCAGTCAAACCAAATAAACTAGATATCATTGAGATGGGAGCCGTCTCTGTGGGCCCCCTGTGAATAATGTGTGGTAAAAAATTTGTATCTTTATCATTGGACATAGGGGTGTCAACTGAAATCAAAGTTTTTGACCTTGACCTTTGACCTAGGAAGTTGTACATAAATTATGACACACCCTCTGGTGTTGGTTTATATACATGTCAAGTATAAGTTTTGAAATCATAACGGTTCTCAAGATATAGAGCAGACATGATCTTTACCATAGGACATGGGGAACGGTTCTCAAGATATAGAGCAGACACGATCTTTACCATAGGACATGGGGTTGTCAACTAAAAACAAAGTTTTTGACCTTGACCTTTGACCTAGGAAGTTGTACATACATTATGACACACCCTCTGGTGTTGGTTAATATACATGTCAAGTATAAACTTTGAAATCATAACGGTTCTCTAGATATAGAGCGGACACAATTTGTTACGGACGGATGGACTGATCACTATAGGGCGTCCTCCATTTGGCAGGGCCCTAATGATCACAGCTTTCAAACCCTATGCTTCATCATTCTTGAAACCACTGAACACTTTAATAGAAAGTTTTTTGTATTGATATAAGAACTTTCTTCAGATTTTTAGTTTAAATAATAAAAGATATCTTATAAACTTTCTTATAAGAAATAATTAAGGGGCGACACAAAGGTACTAATTTCCAAAATCATGCTTTTTTTGTACAACCAACCCCCTCTTCCCACTTTTTTAACTTTTTTCCCCAGATCCTACTTTTTTAACACCCCTATATCCCACTTCACCACTTTTTTACCCTTTTTATCCAACATCACCACTTTTTCACACCATATATCCCACATCCACCACTATTTTACCCCCTATATCCCAAATCCACCACTATTTTACCCCCTGTATCCCACATCACCACTTTTTTACCCCCTATATCCCACATCATGACTTTTTTACCCCCTATATCCCACATCACCACCTTTTTACCCCCAAATCCCACATCACCACTTTTGTATCACCTATATCCCACATCCCCACTTTTGTATCACCTATATCCCACATCCCCACTTTTGTATCCCCTTCATCCCACATCACCACTTTTTTACCGCCTACATCCCACATCACCACTTTTTTACCCCTTATATGCCACATCACCACTTTTTTATGACCTTTATTCCACATCCCCATAATGATTCATCACAGTGATAAAAGTATGTCTGAGCACCAACCCACAGGAAATTTAATCTCCTTGAAAATGAACCATTTAGGCCTTTGAAAATTAAATGTTCAAGGCCTGGTTTCCCCTAACACAAGATAATACTAAATGGTCAGCAGGCAGGAAACACTTTTTATTTTATTTTATTTTTTGAGCAAAATAATCAAATGAGGCACATGCAGTAAGTCTTAGGCTCTACAGAGAATTCAATCTTAAACCACTAACAGGAAATTCTTGAAAAAAAGAAATTGTTTCACATTATATCTTGATCTATATTGTGATAATATAAGCTATTTTAAACCTTACAGAATGACAAATGAAACTGTTTAAAAGAAATCATCAGACATTTAAAGCCTCATTGATAATTGTCTTAAAAGAGAGTCTATGTCTGTTTTTTTCATCTATTAAAAAAAAAAAATTGACCCAGAGGTTAAAACCAGACCCGGAAGGGTAAGGGGAACCAACAATCTTGTTTTCATGGCCTTAACAGTATTAATTTTGATAGCCATGCATTGTTGGATTTGGAGTCATTTAATACAGTGATACTTTTATTTTGATCACAGCTTTCAAACCCTGTATTGAATGCTTCATCATTCTTGAAACCACTGAACACTTTCATAGAAAGTTTTTTGTATTGATATAAGAACTTTCTTCAGATTTTTAGTTTAAATAATAAAATATATCTTATAAACTTTCTTATAAGAAATAATTAAGTGGCAACACAAAGGTGCTAATTTCACCATGCATTGTTGGATTTGAAGTCATTTAATACAGTGATAAAAGTGTTTTTGAACTTGTTAGAACATCTTCTTATTACTCCTAGATATTCATGCATCGTTAGATTCCTTAATCATTTACATTTAGCTTTTCAGTCATGAAAATGATGATGATGATGGATGGCTGCTTAATGTCCATCAGCAACTTAAATACATATTCGGGATTAGAACATGTTAATGTAATATGGATATTTACCCCGATTTGTACAAAACCAGCACACTGAGCCAGATTTTTAATGTGCTAGTTCCCAAGGCAACAGTCCGCAGGAAGACATGTCACCCTACCTGAACACATTATTATGACTCCGAGACAATCAGTCTTTGCTCTTACTCATTAATGCTGTGTGCTTAGCGGAGCAGCAGAAAATATAAATTATAAAGTCTTTGGTGTGACATGGCCAGGGTTCAAACCCACAACCTCCCTCATTTGTCGCGAACACTCAACCACGAGGCCAATGAGGCGGTGTCATGAAAATGCACCATTTCTGTATTTTAGATACTGTCATAAAAAATTGCTACATAAATGCTTTTTATCTGAATTTATCCTAAAAAATTTTTATATTATTAAACAACTATTCCATAACTATAGTCACAGACTGGCCGGAGTTCCACTTAAGTAAAACCCCACCTTCCCCAACATAAAATTTTTTATAATTCCATAATCCATAACAAAAGTGTCAAGTTTGGGTCCACTTTAGTAAATCCCAAAACACAATATAAAAATGTTATATTTCAATAATCCATAACAAAAGTGTCAAGTTGGGGTTCACTTTAGTAAAACCCCAACCGAACACCCACAATATAAAAGTTTTATATTTCTATATTCAATAACAAAATTGTCAAACACCAAACACCCACCATATGAAAATCTTGTAACTCTATATAATTCTAATACCTTTCATGAGTACGCAATCACACACCAACTACTTATCATCAAAGTCTTCTGTCGCCACCCACCAAACAGGTTGGGAACAAATCCCCTACATGGTGCTGTATAGAGTGATTACCCTTCTATAGAGGGATATATTTGTTTAGACTGGATATAAAGCAGAACATGGCAAATGTGCATTTTCTACTTAGGGAGCTACCATTTGATTTTTATTTGGGGGGGGTAGGATGAAATTTGAAAAAAAAGGCAGGACAGGAGTTTTGAGTAAAAAAAAAGGCAGGATGAAAATTAACGTAAAAAAGGTCAGGATAAACTAATAAAATAAAAGGCAGGACCAAATAGAGTGAAAAATAAAAATGCAGGACAAAGATTATAACTAAAAAAAAATGCAGGACAAAAGTTTTCATCCTAGCCCCCCCCATAAAAATCAAATGGTAGCTCCCTTATTATGGCAGTAACCTACAACATTGGATGCACCAATTGATGAACTTAATTTAATATGCACACATCTAGTTTACTGCTAAACTGACTTAAACTGGGCATAGGACATTTGAGCGAAAATAAAAAATGCACATAGGGTCATTTTAGCGCCGACATCATAGGACAATTTAGCGCCGGAATATTTACCTTACCTGGATTTTCAAATAGGACGTTTGAGCAAAATTTCCAGTGATACTCTATATGAATTAAGAAAATATTTTTCGAAAGTAAAAAATAGAGTAAGTTTTTAAAATAAATATATTTTATTTTATTTTACACCTGAGTAATTCGACCGGTTCTGGGTTGTTAATGGTAGTGTAGTCCTGAGTTGATTACTTGACTGAAACTTACATCACAGACGAATCGTTGTATTCCCCGTATCTCCAGGCTGCAGTTCCATCTATGTCAAAACGTACAAACAATGGACCCAAATCATTTCATGCCCATTAAAATGAGCAATTTTATCATAGTCACTCATCAATTTATTCTTTTGTTGACACCATTGTCAAATTACAATCTGTGACTTACATCAAAATTCGGAATTTCAATATTGATGCACTTCAGAGCAGGACAGACAAGGAGAAGGAACAGAATCTCCTGGACTTGCATTCACGGTACTGCAAGCAGGAATTAACGAGGGATTTTTTTATGCCAAAAGCCTAGGATATAAATTTCAAGCCCGAACTGACTTGTAAATAATGCCATTGCCGAGTTTTAAGTTTTATGACAGTGCTTTGTTTTTAACAATTACAAGATGTTTTAAACTATGTCTGTTATAAACTCAACTATATCCTGCTCGAAATCCTATTTCCACCTCCCCGTGGTGAGCAGGGGTAATAGATTTTATCTGGTGAATGGAAGAGATACACCTGCATCATTCTTAATTTTTTCGCTCATTTAATGTCCTAAAATTTCGGCGCTCTAATGTCCATTGTCGCTTAAACTGACTGAATATACAATCTATTGTTCATCATAATTTAAAGCTGTGATCATCAGGTAAATTCCACTCAGTTATGCCTCAATAAACAGATTTCTATGGTTAGATTTAACATAAAATTTAAAGGTCAACTGTCCCTATTGCTGTTGATCAGGTGTTCAGATAGGTACACAATAGATTACAAGTTCTGTCTCTTTAGCAGAAAACTGGGATTCCCAATTTTGAGTAAAGTGCAATAATTGATACATATAATGCTATAGATTACAGCCAATATAACTAAAAAATGCACTTTTGCCATCTTCCTGCTTTAAATCCAGTCTTAACAAATATATCCCTCTACAGAAGGATAATTTTATCCCTCTATAGAAGGGTATTATTGCCATATAGGGGGTTTGGTCTCAACCTGTTAAACAGATCCGATAGCCTAAAGTACTATATAAGGTACAACGATTCTTTTTTAACAGATATGTCCCATTCATACTTACTGCCATTAGTGTTGTTAACAGTCCATCTGTATGTGTATACTGTAGGACAGTTATCTGGTGTCACAATGTTATATCCACACAAATCAGAGGGATCAAATCCACATGTGGATTCATAGATACCATCTACAATAAAAACATTAGATGAATGTTTGTAAATAGAGAGAATTTCACTGTTTTAAAAAATACAATGCTTGATTTTTACTTACAACATATATTGCATTTTGTCAATTTCTTCATGTTCATGAAGGCATGAAACATTTGCCACTAGACGTTAAACAACCAATAATCAATTAATTAATCATATTCGTGTTTTGCCTTTGTTCAGATTTAAGGAAAGAGGTGAAATAAATATAGATTCCACCAATGAATCAAGTGTGTTATGATATTTCTCCACTTGAGACCGTTTAATTTGAAAATTTTAAACGTAAGCTAGGCTGGCCGAGCTTTTTAGATATTTAAAATTTAACTGTTGAGAGTGGTGGAATCTGTTTCTCTAATGATTTTTAGACGATATCTAAACAAAGTTTATCCTTCCTTTTCAAAGATTTGCTGAAAGTAGTGTTCTATATATGTGACGTCATCAGGCATGGTCGCCTTTTTCATGACGTCACAATAGGAACCAAGGCTTCCAAAACGGTCATATATTCCAGACATTTGTATAATGTCCGGTAAAAGTCCGGCTGGGCAAAGCATGAAACGGTCATCTACTTTTTAGTTTTCAAGGCTTTCTTAAGAGACGGTCATTTTAACATAATTCACGATCTTTTTAACCCAACCTTTTGCCTTTAACAGCCACACATTTCCGGTAATAAAAGTGACATGATCATTAAGTACTATCAAAACAAACCCTACTTTGATACCTTCTCATTTTAATCAAGGCTAATTAGTTGTCAAACAGCTGAAATTTACCTGTTCAGGTGACGGGTAAACTATTTTGAACTGGACATTGAGCGGTCTATTCAAAGTTATTTTCTTACATTTCAGCGGTTTGCATCTTATTAATTTAGTCAAAAAGATTTAAATTATCAGAAATACTTTTACAAATATGATTTGATGAAAAAATTAAAAAGGTGAAAATGAGAAATCGTCATAACCACGTTGTTTGAACTAGTACACTTGTGCGCACGTGCCCAGGTGTGAAATTTAATTATGCATCCTAATTTCTTCAAAAATGCTTAAATTGTCATTGATTCCTTTATCTCACGTTTATTTCGAATATTTTCTTGAAGAAATAACGTAGAAAGAGCTATTTAAACTCATTCATGCTTTGCAAACGTACACGGAATTTACGTATCCGTCTCTGGTCCATGTTTTACCATTGTCAAGATAACATCCGGTATTAGATTTAAAAACGAAAGTAATGTTTTTGACAACGTTATTTTGCACAAATAAAGAGTCTAAGGCAAATATAAGTACGCTGATGTTGCACACTTCGAATGATGCACTGCCAATTTAACAGTTTACGTCAGAACTTCGAATTTGAATCAAAGAAAGTTTAATATCGGTTTTTTTTTTATGTCAATCATTGGGATGCGAGCTCGGCAACTGATTACCATAATTGCTTTTTGTTTATTTAGTCTTAAGGGATTAAAATCGGGATAATATATAAAATGTCCGGCTGGCTAAAAATAATCTTGGAAGCCCTGATAGGAACTTCAGAAGAAATCAAGAAAATTCGACGTCATAATTAAATTTTGACCAATCAGTTGCTGAGAACAAAGTTTTCTCTAGAGATGAGAAATATTTTTCTCACACAGATCGAGAAATGTGAAAATAGCATGGAAATTAGAGAAAATATATTTCACAGGCTGTCTTTTATCTTTGCAAGTTCTTTTTCTCTTGTATTGTCTGTTATTTTTCAGAATATCATTCACATTGAAAATATCACCACAAATTCAATTACAGACAAAACTGTTGGTTTGCTAGCTAAGTATAATATCTAAAATCCAGTTTAAAATAAAGTTACTTGATTATAATATTGCAGGATCTGTTTTACCTCATTTATGCAACAAATAAATTCTATATCATAATGATCAGTATTTTTGAATTTATTTGTGTTCTAAAGTAAATAATTATGTTAAATATTGTTGATTGTTGCAAGCTCCAAACTTACCGTTACAACCATCTGTTGATACTTCAACATTATCCACAGCAGTTATCTGAGTGTTCCAAACAGTAGTTGTATGTACAAAAACTATTGCTATATTCCCGGTCACGACACCCAAATTTATACATTTCTTTGTCCACTGATCAGCTTGGCTAGTTGTTGTAAGTAAAATATTGATGTCACTATATTCTATGCTACTCATGGTAGTATTACCAGATTGTTCGTTAATCCATCCAACTTCAAACTTTGTATAACGAGAGTTCAAATAGTCAAATGTAACACTCTCTGTACCAAAAGCTTTGAAAAATTTTGTGAAAAGAAAAGTCTGACTACCTTCTTTCGAATTGTCACTTGTTGCATAAAAGTAGCTTCCTGAAATGAAAATATTTTTTTTTAAAAGTCTACTTATGATAAATACAATATTGGAAAGAACAAGAGTGTGTGTTTTAATTAACTTTGTCCCTATAAACTAATATCCAACTACTTTTGGTCAGCAATATATTCATGTAATCTTTGCAAGAAGAAGAACAATGTCAGTACAAATTGTCACAAACATGTCAAATCTTCTCAAATGCAAAAACATTAACACTATTAGAAAGTAAAAAAAAAAAAAATGTTTTTACATGAGTAATTTTTTGACAATCATATATAAATGTCATTATGTTTTACCTGCAATGTTGTTATTTGGAACATCATTAACTTGACCTCTGACCCACTTCACCCGGTAATCATTCCAGCTAACAAGATAACCACATGACCCATAGGAAAAGTCACATGATGCTAAATCTGAAATTACATAAAGAAACTGTATATTCATCAACTAACAAACTTTCATTACATTACCATCTATTCGTGAAAAATGTAAAATTTCACCATCATTCAAGTCAATTGAAATCAATTTATTTTAGTAAAAATACTTATTTCAACTGTCCTCCACCATTAAATGATATTTTACAAAAAAAAACTGCTTTTTGAAGCCAACATTATTTTCTTAAACTTTAAAGATTTCCATATAAACAGAATCAAGGTATCTTAAACATTCTAGTATTGATAATTATAGCTTTTGAGTATCCTCATTGTAATATATGATAATTAATTACAACGTAGATAAAAAAAAACACAATGACATACTGATCTGAAGAATCACAAGTAATCTGGTTTAAATAGAATATCAGGTATGTCTGTTTTAACTTTTTTAAATAATTATTCTAGCTGCATCGGATAGAATCGACCTTATGCAAGTGCATGTATATATGTACATTTACAAGACTTTGATTGATTTTGGAACATTCAAATATGAAATAAAGTATGAATTTTGGTCTGTTTTGTAGGTTTCTTATAACAAATCAATTTTCAAACAGTTACAGAGTTTCCGTGGAGATTTTTTCAACCCGAAATTAGTTAACAGATGTGTTGATATTCATTTGCATAAGGTAGATTTCTATCTGACACATCTCACTTCTTTACAATTAGTATGACAAGAAAAGATTTTAAATAATTTGCAAAACAAACTTACGGGGGCAGTCTTCTTCTGTAACTAGAACATCATCTATGGCAATGTCACCAAGGGGACCATCTCCATGGATTGCTACAAAACTTAACTCTACATCCGTGCCAGCTGGTATACTAAGGGGCATGCAAATCTGCTTCCATTCATTCACCTGGGGACCAGTTAAAGTCCAGACTATTGTTAGAGAATTATCTCCCTTATATTTGGCTTGAACCAATAATGTGCCTGTATCATTACCATGCATATGATATTTAAACTGAAGCTTCTGACTTCCTATTGCTTTGAATTCTGGGAAAGTTAAGGCTGTTGCATCACCAAGGTTACCATATGTTGCTTCAGCATACATATAATATCCTGAAAAAATTCATAAATGTTCAGCTAAACAAATTAACAAGATTAATTTTAATAGTTTTTTTCAATCCTTAATCTTAAACTTTGTTATACAAGGGGAGATAACTCAGATAATTGAGTTGAAATTTACCTATAATTTTTTGCTTTGTCACAAGAAGACCAGGACAGTTACTACAATTTTTCTTTGAATTTTCTAATATATTGTTTATACTACAATTAATTAACCGTTTTCAAAATGCAGCTAAGAATTTGTTCTCTGACTGTGTACAACTTAATTCTATATTGCAAGCAACAAACATTTAAGAAAATAATACATCAGATGGCAGCTACCCAATACACTGTAGAATTAAACAAACAAATACGAAAAGTTTTAAATTGTTTCAGTACATAAAAAATTATATCTATATATAGAAACAGAACATTTTAAGAATAATCATTAATACTGAGAATCTTTACATGTAAACCTCATTAAATCTGTTGCTAATCATGAAAATTTAAGATTAACTATACTATCACAGTCTGAGTACATAAATCTGAGCATTATTACATGTAGACCCCATTAATCTACTGTTAATCATGAAGAAAGAGTTAAGCTATGCTGCAATCAATATGAAAATAAATAAGATGAAGAATGATTGCCAATGACACAATTAACTCTCCCCCAGTGACCAAATGACACAATTAACTCTCCCCCAGTGACCAAATGACACAATTAACTCTCCCCCAGTGACCAAATGACGTAGAAGTTATATATCTGAGATATCAATCAGAGATTTTTTACATGTAGGCCCCATAAATCTTTTTCTAATCACTATAGAGATTTAAGGTATACTGTACCATCACTGTCTGAGTCCGGCCCAGTCTGTTTAGACATTGTTGGTCCAGTATGTCTGATCCACTTATAATTGTGTGATGGAAGTGTACAGGAACAGTTCACACTGTATCCACAGATAAATGGTTGGTCAAATCTACATTTTTCTTCTGATATTCCAACTGTAAATTATAATTAAAACATATGAAATAAATCTAGAGATTAACCTCAAACCAAGTTTTTAAATTAAAGTTGTCCAAAACAGAAAAAATGCAATCTTTCCTTTTGCTATACACTATAAATCAAAGTTATGAGTGCAAGAAATGAATTTGGAAAAAATCAAAAATGGACCTCTTCATCTGTGATTTTCACCACACACAATTCTCACTCTCAGTCAAACTGTATTTGCTCTTAATCCTAAATGCAACATCTGCATTTCAAAAAAAATCTTACAACTAAAATTGACCATAAGTCATGAACAATTCAGCATAATTAAGAATAATTTTAAGTTATAAGATTTTTTGTGAAATGCAGCTCCTGTATGAAATATTCCACACAGAATGTACACGGAATATAGTAGGAATATTGTATTGAATTCCTACCAGAAAAGAGAGATATTCTAGCTAGACAGTAGTAGGAATCTACACGGAAAATAGCCAAAATATTTAAATTAGCAGGAATTTCTTACCAGGAATATTTAAATTAGCAGGAATAATTTGGCAGGAAAATAAAATTCCTACTAGAAAACCTGGCAGGAATTTTTCAAAATTCCACATAGAAAAAAATATTTTCTAGTAGGAATCTAAAAATATACAAAATGTAAGTGTATATTCACAAATACACAACTGGGTCAATCATTTAAGTTTGAATCTCAACAACAAAAAACAAAGGAAATGCATGGAATATATTCATTTTTAAAAAAGTTGACTTTTGAAATGTATGAGGAAGCTGTGATATATCCAAACATATATGTAGATGGGCAAAAATGTTGATTCTAAGATGAAATTAAAAAGTTATGAAAAATTAATAAGTAAAATTATGAACTATTGTTGAATTAACTGATTACTAAATATATTGGCAAACAGATAAAAAATTTCATCTTAAAAGTATAAAATTTACCTTCAATCTACATGAGCCATATTTTCTCATATTTCAATATTGTAGTTGTTTAACCCTTGCAGCATATTGTGTTCCAACACGACTTTTCATTCTTCTACCCTCCATGTTTTGAATTTGTGAACTGGAACTTGTTTGCATTAATTTAACACAGCAAAATTTGTGTTATTAGCAAACACGAATCCAGTTTAAGATAATTAAAAAGATTCCATGTAGAAAGATTTTCTAGTAGGAATAAACTAATTGGTAGGAATCTTGTAGTAGGAAAATGAATAATTATATCATATTTTCTGTCCAAATTCCCACTTAAGATTTTCAAAACAGAAAAAAATCCATACAGACTTTTAAAATTCCAGCTAGATGGTAGGATTTTGCAAGTGGAGAAAATAAAAAATCCAGTCAGAATTTTGTTCATTTTCCATGTCCGCCTACTTTCTATATAGAATCTTTGATTCTAGGTGGATTCCTACTACATTCCTACTAGTGTCTAGGTGGAATCCTACTACTTATTTCAAACGGGCTGAGGCCTGGGGCTTGGTGGGGAAGCAATGTACACAAAATTTTCAAGCCTTTGAATTGCCCTAGCCAAGGATTGATCCCACAACATCACATATATTTGAGTCAAGGACCCTATGATGAGACCACCTAGTTGGTTTCCAAAGTGAAGATTTATTGATGTAAACTTTTATAAACTGAATTCATTACTACATATACAAGAATATTTTAGGGATGCACAACAATCTAATAACAAAAATGCACTCCCAGAAAATTATAACCATTCCTTAACATTGCATTTTAAATCTTTAGTAATTGTGACTTATAAACTTAGCCGAAATATAACCAGAATGTTTTATGTCATCATCATCATCATCAAAATAATTCTATGCCATAATAAGCTGATATATAATAATTTATGGATATAATCTTACAATGACATGGTTCATCTGAGACGGTCACATTATCAACAGCGATCACTGTTTCATCACCACTGCTACGCAATGCCACAAACTCTAGCGACAATTCTCCTTCCTGTGCAAGGGGGACACAGGACATAAGCCATCCTTCATCTTGTTCCCCCTCTCTTTTCCATAATAAAGATCTCTGACCATTGCCATTAATTTTGGAAACTTGTAGAGCACCAACATCACTGCCACCAAAGTATGCGTAAAACTGTAATGTTGACATAGACGATGATGTAAAGATTGGTGACAGGAGTCGTGAGGAATCTCCTTCATTTCCATTTTTATTCTGGTAGTAGAAATATCCTATACATAAAACAAAAATATTTTAACATAAAATATCTCATAACTGCTGGCAACAGATGGTCTGAAGAATTTGCTTGTTTTTATTTTTTATTCTAATAGATAAAATATTCTATTTGAAATGATACAAAAAAAATCTCTTATTAGTGTAAAAAAATAATGTTACTGGTAAATTACTAAATTTGTGGTCTATTTATTTACAATATTTTGCAGTAACTATAAAAATGCAATATAAAACAATACTCTCAATTTAAGGAATGACAGTACTGTAGTTGAAGAGTTGCTGGGCATCAATAAGCAATTTGACAGTCGCAAATGCATTTTACTGGCGATATGTAGCAGAGACAGGAAAATGGAAGTTGTGATTGTTACCGGTTATTACTAAATTAGAGGGTTCCTTCATACTGTTATTGCTGAGTTGAGCAATGATTTTATGTTATTACTCAATTGTTGTGTAATTTTATACTTGTATTGCTCAGTTGATGTGTAATTTTATACTGTTTTAAATTTCTATAGAGAACCACTCCTACTTACCAATAGATTTGCCGCTAACATTTCTTTAGAGAATCTCTCCTACTTACCAATAGATTTGCCGCTAACATTTCTATAGAGAATCTCTCCTACTTACCAATAGATTTGCCACTAACATTTCTATAGAGAATCTCTCCTACTTACCAATAGGTTTGCCACAAACAATTCTATAGAGAATCTCACCTACTTACCAATAGATTTGCCATTAACATTTCTATAGAGAATCTCTCCTACTTACCAATAGATTTGCCACTAACAATTTTATAGAGAATCTCTCCTACTTACCAATAGATTTGCCACTAACATTTCTATAGAGAATCTATCCTACTTACCAATAGATTTGCTACTAACATTTCTATAGAGAATCTCTCCTACTTACCAATAGATTTGCCACTAACATTTCTATAGAGAATCTCTCCTACTTACCAATAGATTTGCCACTAACATTTCTATAGAGAATCTCTCCTACTTAACAATAGATTTGCCACTAACATTTCTACAGAGAATCTCTCCTACTTACCAATAGATTTGCCACTAACATTTCTACAGAGAATCTCTCCTACTTACCAATAGTTTGCCACTAACAATTCTATAGAGAATCTCTCCTACTTACCAATAGATTTGCCACTAACATTTCTATAGAGAATCTCGCCTACTTACCAATAGATTTGCCACTAGCATCAGAGGAAGGTAAGTTCTGTTCTGATGAAGAGTAACTTTTATACTGCCATGTTGTAGCCCCTTCAATACTTTCAATGGTATAGTTGCATGCCTCTTTATTACTAAAAGTACAGTTAACCCCTGGTTCTTCTTCATCTGCTGGGCATACAAAGTCTGATATTGAATCTGTAAAACATATTCAGGTAATAAATCAGAATTCAAAATCAGTATTCCCTATTAATTAACACATGTATTTTGCAGTCTACTAATTTGCATGTTTTATGAAAAAATCTTTTTGTATTAGGATCCTACATTTAATCGCAATGGCATCTTCTATGGCATTATTTTTTTTATATATGAAAATTCTAACAAAAAATTTATTTTCTCTAATATCCAAATGAAAATAAAAAACTAAATTAGAGCTAATTTCCTAATTATATAATGCTTGTAGAGTGAGACTTGGGTTGGCTTGCTTGCTTTGTTTATATAAATCTTTGCTCAAGCATTATTATTAAGATTGACAAACAATATAAATAGGCAGAGTTAAACCTGTATACATTAAACTTAAATTTGATTGGATGTTATCATGGAGGTTAGGAATCCAAATATAAAGTATACAGGTTCAACTCCCCCTATTTATGTTGTTTGCAGATGTCAATCTTAATTACAATGCTTGAGCAAACGTTTATATAAACAAAGCAAGCAAGCCAACCAAAGTCTCACTCTACAAGCATTCTTCGAGTCTCGGGTCCAATACAGCTAACCTCGAATCTATAACAGGGCCAATACAGAAACATCCAGTTAATAACACTATATTATAAGATATGTATTGAACCAAATTTAGTGAAATATGTATGTGCACACACATAAAACACCATCTGTGACAACATGATTGCTCTCTTTTCACAGAGGTATCTGCGGTGAAAAGTTGTCCTGATGGAATTCAAATGTCAAAGATGATGAAATAGGAATAATACAAACAACACACCTTCTGTAGGATATAACCATATCTAAAGAAACAAAGTATATCTATTAACTCTTATATGTGTTTCGTAAATGAATAAATAAACACGTCATATATTTCACTTGAAAATGTCCTTTCGCGCAAAATCTCCCCCTCAGCTGTCATAGCTGAGAGGGAGATCTCCCTCTTTGAAGGTTTCAGAGGTTGGCAGGTATGTATTATTGCAAACCTGATACTGATGAATTTTTCGAATTGATAAAAGCATTGCAATTATTTCTGAATATACATTAATTAGGGACTAGAAAAAGCCAAAATTGTTGAATAACCTGAACATGCTTGGCTCTTGAAATTGCAAAATTTAAACTCCACAAAATGACTCAATTTTTAAGTCTGTTTAACATTCAAGTGATCTTACCCTTAAGATATTTGGCAAAAAACTTTATTCTTTAGAGATGTAAAAAGTTAACACCCTTGTAAATCTAAAAAAAAAAGTTTTGATGTTCCTAATGATAAAACATACCGCATGTTCCCCTCGTAAGCTTAATTTCATCCAGAGCAATATCTCCAGTGTATGAAGAACCCCTGATTCCAATAAACTGAATCTGAAAAAAAAACATATTAAAGGAGCATTAGCTACGAGATATACAGAAAAATAAAATATGATTTTTTTTTTTCAATCATTAATGAAAGTGATATAGTGAAATACTAATTTGCTTTTAGCTGCCGATTTAGTTCAATTTTGTCAAAATAAGATAAATAACATTGCTGATGAATTATTCACTTGCAAGTGAATAATTCTACCTCTGAATCTGTATTCATGTGACCTCTAATTTGACCCCTTAGCTGGAGATGTGTTACACATGTATTCAGCTATTAATAGAAAAAAAATGTCAACATTGAAAGCGAAACAAGGATGAATCATCTGGTTGACTGATTTGATCCACAAAAAAAGTCATTCTAACACAGGTAAAACTATGATTAACACACTTTTTAACCCACAATATGAAATCAAACAGACCTATAAAATCTATGTTTTCTATGTATTGTGTGCGATTTTGTCCCATGTACATTTACTCCATATCCTTTTATTTTCTATCAATTGCACGTGGTCGCTATCAGTTTATGCTTATATCGGGTTATATGACCGTTGGCAGTCTTCAGAGGTCATCTCGATGGTTAATTAGAAGACGTCCAGACAAAAATTGCATGAAATACTGATACATATTATCGAGTCCATGAATTATTAATTGCTTATTTTAGACTTTTTGTAATTTTTATATTCGTTTTAGTATGTCAGAAATCAAATATGACAATTTGAGTCAAATCGGTGAAGATGAATTTGACAGCTCATTAAATTTTTAAAAGAAAAAAAAGGAACTGCTTCACCAACACCTCCCAAATTTCGTGTTGTAAAAAGGATACCAATGGTATGCAAGGTTTTCAAATAAAAATAATTAAATAACTCAAAATTGACAACACCACCTAAGTAAACTGCAACTTTTATTCGATTCGATCAGGGTATTCAAGACAAGATATTTAGAATTTAGAATCCCTGAAGTACAGGGGAGTGGAATGAGTCTCTGAAGTGGTGTTTGCAGAATATAGAATAATGGGTCAAATCTACAGAAAAATGGACCAAAAAATAAAGAAAAGAGAAAAACAGGTAACAAAAAAAATAAAGAATAATGGGGATCTAAAATATAAAGGATAGAGAAAATAACCTTAAATAATAAAAGAATACAGAAATTAAAGACCCCTCTTCCCCATCCAGACCCTCATGTCATCAGGTATGTGATGTCATAATCATGTATTGTCTATTGTTCATGTTGTTATTGGATACTATATGTACATGTGTTTATGTAATTTTGTACAGCAAATGAATAAAATACAAGAGGCTCTCAAGAGCCTGAATCACTCACCTGTAATGTTTTGCTTAAATCTTTCATCGATGATTATTTTTGCTTTTCAATATATATTAATGAGTGGCTTAAAAATGCCATTTAAATGTTCTTTGTATCTGTCGTATTTTCTTCAAAAGCAAAAAAATGCACTTTACCCCTATGTTCTATTTTAACCATAGAGGCTATTTTTCTTGACGTACAAGGAAATTAAATAAAAAATTTATACTATATACTCTGAAACTCATTCAGCCAAAGTTTGGCTGATATTGATTCAGCAGTTGCAAAGGAGAAGATTTTGTAAAGGAAGCAATCTAGATGAACAAATTGAGAAAAATTCTCTTTAAAGGGCAATAACTCCTTACGGGGTCAATTGACAATTTTGGTCATATAAACTTATTAGTAGATCTTTAACTTTGATGAACATTTTTGCTGTTTACAGTTTATCTTTATCTATAATAATATTCAAGATAATAACCGAAAACTCCAAAATGTCCTTAGCTGATAGAACTTGACCTATGAACATTTTTACCCCATGTCATATTTGCTCTAAATGCTTTAGTTTTTGAGATGTAAGCCAAAAACTGCATTTTACCTCTTTGTTCTATTTTTAAATATGGCGGCCATGTTTTTTGACGAAACAGAAAATAAAACACAAACTTTATTCTAGATATATACCCTAAGGATCATTCAGCTAAAGTTTGGTTGGAATTTGTTCAGTAGTTTCAGAGGAGAAGAAGTTTGAAATAGTTTACACCGGACGGACCACGACGACAGACGACGACGGACGCCAATTGATGGCAAAAGCTCACATTTCCTTTGGAAAGGTGAGCTAATAATAGAATGCAATGAGAATAAAATTATTAAACTTCAGAGTTAATTTAATATTGTCAATATTCTTTATATTGAAAAATGTTGTAAATTTAACGTACATACCCTCAATACATAACTTCATATGTCAGTAGGATAGGAATACCTGCACCTCACGAAAAAAAGTCTGGACAAATGATGGATTTCAGAATGACAGACCTAAGGATGCCTGGATACAGGGACACCATTATTTGGGCCACTCAGTGGTGTGGGCATAAAAAAGTTAATTCCCAAACATTTGTGGCATGTATTGCTGTGATTTTTTTTCCAATTTCAATACAAAGAATCAAATAGTTCTCAATAATTTCTCAAATAAACTCAATATAGACCAGGATTAAAAATTTTTTTGCCAGATGGACATTTCCTCTACAAAAGACTCATCAGTGACGCTCTAATCAAGACGTTAAAAAGGCCAAATGATATGTAAGCCTAAATACCTGTAATGCTGAAACAGCTTGAATGTCAATACTGGCAGAATGCCAAATGTTTCCCTGATCATACTTCCTAGACCAAACAACGCTTCCACTCCAATCAGTACTACTTCTAACTTTAACCTGTAGCTCATTTATAGTATAACCATACATGTGGTAATAGAAAGAAAGGCATCTGGGAGTTGCTGCAAATAAATTAGAAAACCATACAAATTCTTCCAAGAAAAGTTTAAAGTAACTGTGAAATAATTTGTCAATTATCAAGTGTTATTGGTATCTATCATACTGTTCTTTTAGAGTTAATGCTTTTCCTGTACTGGTGTTATTTGTATATATAAAAATAAGATGTGGTATGATTGTCAACAAGACAACTCTCCACCAGAGATCAAATGATGTAGAAGTTAACTGCCTTCAACAATGAGAAAAACTCATACTGCATAGTAAGCTATAAAAGGCTTTTGTATGTACTTTTATATGTGCATTTTGCTCGTGATAAAATTAACTATAGGCACCAAAGAGCCTGTGTTGCTCACCTTGGTCTATATACATATTCAACAAAGGACACTCTCCAACATTGTAGACGAGAATAGAATTAATGACAAAAATTTCTGTTTTTTTTTTTTATCTTATATTGCTAATCATTGAAGCCTGTTTAGTTTCTCTCTATCTTATTTAGCTTTTGCTCCAAACACAAAAGAGGGTAAAAATAAAATTCCTAATTTAAGGGCAATAACTCCTATAAAGAGTAAGTTTACTAATTATATCAGCAAAATTTGACTTGTTAGTAGGTCTTGTCTTGCTCATCATTTTTGATTATTTAAGTTTTCTCTCTATCTATTATAATTTTAATCATATAAGGCAAGACGCAAAATAAAAATGGTAAAAATCTTCATTAAAGGGCAATAACTCCAATAAGGAGTCGTTGGACAATTTCAGCCATTAGTCTTAATTGTAGATCTTGTCCTGCTGATCATTTTTGTTTATTTAAGTTTCTTTCTATCTATTTTAACATGTATATGTTTTAAGATATCAGACAAAAGCACAAAAAAAATTTGTACAAATCGTCATCAAAGGGCAATAACTCTAATAAGAAGTCAACTGACAATTTCAACCATAAGACTTACTTGTAGAATTTGTCCTTCTGATCATTTTTATCAATTTTGCAATTTCAAGTTTCTCTCTATCTTATTATAGTTTTCAAGATAATAGGCAAAAAGCGAAAAAAAAGTGGTAAATTTGTCATTTAAGGGCAATAACTCCTACCGGAAATCGTCTACCAGTTTTGACGTATATGGAGAATTGGTAGAGCTCAACATTCTGAACAATTTCACCCTTTTTCAGATTTCCTCTATTTATAATGGTTATCAGAATAATGGCAAAACTTGCATTTTACCCCAAATGTTCTATTTCTAGCCAAGTCTGCCATCTTTGTTGGCAGGCAGGGTCATCCGACACATTTTTTAAACTCAATACCCTTATGATGATTGTGGCCAAGTTTGATTTTATTTGGCCAAGTAGTTTCAAAGTAATTAAAAAAAATTACGAAAAAATTGTTAAAAATTTACTATAAAGGGCAATAACTCCTAAAGGGGTCAATTGACCATATTGGTCAGGTTAACTTATTTGTAGATCTCACTTTGCTGAACATTGTTGCTGTTTACAGTTTATATCTATCTATAATAATATTCAAGATAATAACCAAAATCTGAAAAATTTCCTTCAAATTACCAATTCAGGGGCAGCAACCCAACAATGGGTTGTCTGATGAGTCTGAAAATAACAAGGCAGATAAAACTTAACCTGATAACATATTTACCAATTGTCAGATTTGCTCTAAATGCTTTAGTTTCAGGGATATAAGCCAAAAACTGCATTTTACCCCAATGTTCTATTTTTAGCCATGTCGGCCATCTTGGTCGTTGCAGGATCATCGGACACATTTTTAAAACTAAATACCCTTATGATGATTGTGGCCAAGTTTGATTTTATTTGGCCAAGTAGTTTCAAAGGAGAAGATTTTTGTAAAAGATAACAAAAATTTATGAAAAATTGTTAAAAATTGACTATAAAGGGCAATAACTCCTTAAGGGGTCAATTGACCATTTTGGTCATGTTGTCCTATTTGTAGATCTCACTTTGCTGTACATTATTGCTGTTTACAGTTTATCTCTATCTATAATGATTTTGAAGATAATAACCAAAAACTGCAAAATTTTCTTAAAATTACCAATTCAGGGGCAGCAACCCAACAACGGGTTGTCTGATTTGTCTGAAAATTTCATTCTATTTTTAGCCATGGCTGCCATCTTGGTTGGCGAGCTGGGTCGTCCGACACATTTTTAAAACTAATTACCCAAATGATGATTGTGGCAAAGTTTGATTTAATTTGGCCCAGTAGTTTCAGAGGAGAAGATTTTTGTAAAAGTTAACGATGACGGACGACGACGATGGACGACTGACGCCAAGTGATGAGAAAATCTCACTTGGCCCTTTTGGGCCATGTGAGCTAAAAAGGAGAAGGGTTGAGATCTAAAAAAAAATCTTACAATCAAAGGTAGCTGTTGTGTTCAGTGAAGCTGAGTTACCAGTTGACCCACTACTGGTTTCTAGGAATATATAATAACTTGAAGTGCTATTGTCATGATCAGTGCAGGGACCAGTAGCAGTGGATGGTGTACAACCCTGAAATATCATAAACATACATAGGTTTCTTCATAATTGAAACTATTTTTAAAATAATTTATTTCGCTAGTACATATTTCTGTTTAGGGGCCAGTTGAAGCCTAGAATTTTCTCGCTGTGATGAAGACCCATTGTGGCCATGGGCTGTTTTTTGTTCTTTGGTCTGGTTGTTGTCTCATTTGACACATTCCCTTTTTCAGTTCTCAATTCTATTTATGTTAAAACATCTATGTTTCTGATCTTAAGGATGTTTGCTACTCTTGTTTTTGACTTTTCATCAGATATTCGGAAATTTCTATTTTTTCCATATATTAATCAAAAGTGTAATTAAAATTTTGCCCACTAACCCCTACTTTTCTTTTCATAATTTTATTACATACAGTTTAAAAAAGCCATTTTAGAAAATCCTATAAAATCCTTGTTATTTTTCATAGAAAGTAAAACAGTGCCATAGTTAAATGTATGAAAAATCAAAAGAAAATCATTTCTGCCAAAATTTTCAATTAATAACATCTCAAAAACAAGGACATGGACTTTTCATTTCTTTCTGTTTTTTTAAGTTCCATTATTTATATTGTAATACTATTAAGTTATAATAATCTTTAAAATGCTTGTAAATTTGAAACAGTGGAGCAAACATTCTTAAAATATGTTTCATAAATGTACAGATTTTTTATTAATATTTAACTTGAATTCCATTGAATAGGGGCCTTGGTGGCCGAGTGGTCTAAGTAGTTGAACTGCTGTATCACTGGCCTGTCAACACTGAGGTTGTGAGTTCAAATCCCGCACGTGGCAGGTGCGCTAGACTCCAATCATAATTGACTAGGATTTAGTTTTCCTACTGAAGGTCGTGGTGCTCTCCATGCAGGCACTCAGGTTGTCCCCACAAATAAAAAGTGAATGCCACAAAATAGCACAATAGTGCTGAAAGTGGCAGTTAACACCAATCAATCAATCAATCAATCAATAATTCCATTGAAAAGTGGCAGCAACTGCATTGATTTATTTCATAAGAGACTATGCTTCAAATGTTCTTATTCTGTTGTATAGCAAGATTATGGAATCATTGATCCCCTAATCTAATTTCAATTTTTTTTAAATATTCAAATGTATTGTTCTAAGTAAAGTAGCAGTTTTTTGTTTTACTTGAAACACAGGACTTCCTGAGACAAAAGAGGCTGTATCTTGACATTAAGCAGCCATCATTCAATCGATTAATACTATATTCTACTTACAGAATACCTTCGCCAGTACACAGATGATGATGTAGTTGACAAAAACATACAATCAGAGTTGAATGAACAATAGAACTCAGATATACCTGAAAAAGATATATAATAGATTTATTATTAATATCTATATCAATCAACATTCATTTTCATTATTTTTTTTTTATCTATATGCATACTAGTAAATTGCACCCCTTCAGGTTAATGAGGGTTTTAAATTCAATTTTTGATTGCACATGGCTGCAAATGATTGGTCCAGATATTTACTAAATTATATAATTTATGTGTTTGACTTTTAAATTTAAATATTTATGTTTTTCGCTTATGGCAGCATCTTTTTTTAACAAAAAAATTAAAAGAATGGAAACAACAATTCAAAATTTTAAAACTTTCGATTTTTTTTAAGGGGAGATAACTCAGACAATTTAGTTTTATAAAACTTAAGCTGGAATGTTAAGTTTATCTAACTGTTTTATTATGTAGCACAAAAACAAGGGAGACGATCCTTGATCATTTTATATTCTCAAAACACATTATAAAATTAATCTTCTCATATCTTATTTTAGAATTCTATCGTTAAGTTTTCCTACTAATTACACAAACATGCTTTTTCATTGAATAATCCTTACATAAGTTGACAATTTTTCACAACCCGTAGTTTGAACAAAAAATCAGTGAACCATACTTTTTATCATATATTTGAAAATAATTTAAATTTGGATGTAACACATCTTCTGATTGACTGAAAGTTTTTTGTCTATCAGCTCATAGACATAATTTTGTCATGTGACTGTGACGTCATCAAAGTTTTTTCAAGATTTACTCCTTAAAAATGGAATTTAGAATTAAATTATAAGGAATGGCTGTAATATTTGTTCTGTCTATGCGAAATAACTTCAAAAATGTGGTGCACACTTTTAAATAACCAGCTACCCCGGTTATTCAGTGTGCACCACATTTTTATGTTATTTCTTAATAGACAGAAAAAATATTACAGTCATTCCTTAAATAGCATGATGTAAATAAAATTAGGAAATAAGTATGAATATATTCTATTATTTTCATTTAAAACACCCCCTCCTCCTTCTATCTTAAATCAGAAGTTAATTGCTACTAATGGACTTCTGCTAAAATCAAACATATTTTCAGTTGCTTTGATAAAATAAATTTCTTCAATACAGGAAAGCACATGTATCCTTTATTAAACCCATTTGTTTTTCTCAAAGCATCAAATTTGGTTCACACAATGTTTTAACTATAGGCCATCTTGAACTTGAAGTGAGAGCTTTTACGGTGTGTTTAAGGCTACATTGTGACTTTGAGATGAAGGACAGAAATTGAAAAGGTGTTTTTCTTTGCTTAAGGCTTGATTGTTTGATTGCTGGTTGCTTAATGTCCAGTGTCTTTGCTCAATGCAAGGACCTGTCAAGTTAGTCAGGAGGTTTGTCACAAACTTATTTATTACAATTTATTCCAATTTGAAAAGACTGTACTGCTCAAAATATATCCATAGGATAACAATTTTCATGGATTTCACGGGTATAAAAAAACAATGAATAAAAATGTTCAACGAGGTACAAATTTACTATGCAGATTTTGGAAAAACTACAAAATCAAATATCCACAAATCTACAACTTTTCTTAAAATCTATTTTTAGTAAATACAACCTTGACCATAGACATAGTGACCTCAACATTAATCATGATCTTCCACTTATTTTATGTAAGGTTTCAATCCCACATGTAGTATTTTATTAAGTATCCAGATACCACTTTTTAGCATAAAGCATTCTAGACAGTACTATTTTTCCTTCTTTCATGATACTGCTGATTTATTTTCATGGGAACAAATTTTCATGGATTGAGGAAAGCATGCATTTTTGTGGATACTTGATTTCTTGGTTTTACCAATGTCTGCATACAACCCTATAAAATATTTGTAATTCGTTGAACATTTAAATTCGTGGTTCACCTGTATCCATGAAACCCACAAAAAATTGGTATTCAACCAATTATAATGAATCCACAGTAATCATATCCACAAAAAATTGAATCCACATTATTTTGTGTGTGCATGCAGACATACCTGCTTGGCATCTCACACCCACATCATAGTAATGGCTTAGAACAGCATATTTTTGTTTGGAACAGTCCTCCAGCCTCGATTCAGTACCAGTACAATACAAATAGGTGTACCATATAGGTACTGTGCTATCTGCCTGTCCAAAATATCCATACTGATATGGTATTGCACCTTCTCCGCTAAAATAAAAATTGATGATTACATGTAGTACCTTTTTTATTGATTGATTGTTTGTATTTAATGCCACTTTGAGCTCCCCTGGCTAAATCATGGCAGCCAGTTTTTTATCGGTGGAGGAAGCTTGAGTGCTCGAAAGAAACACAGCATTTGGCGGGAAAACTTACAGTCCTAGTCCTAGTCCATTAAGATTGGAGTGGAACACACAACCTTCTTTAAACACTCAGCCACCAAGGCCCAAACTTTTTTTTAACAAATCAGAAATTAAGGGAAAAACTGGTAGAAAGTTGAGCAGAACATATTTGTTTATAGATGACACCTGCCTTTCTAAAAGTAATATCTAACCTGAAACCAACTGTTTACAGATGACACCAGCCTCTCTGACAGTAAGCTTTCACCTGAAATCAACTTTTCATGGATGACACCAGCCTCTCTGACAGTAAAATCCAACCTAAAACCAACTGTTTACAGATGACACCAGCCTCTCCGACAGTAAGCTTTCACCTGAAATCAACTTTTTATGGATGACACCAGCCTCTCTGACAGTAAAATCCAACCTAAAACCAACTGTTTATAGATGATGCTAGCCTTTCTGACATAAAAATCTCACCTGAATCCTAACTGTTGATAGATGACAGTAAGATCTCACCGGACATATATTCTTTTTACAGATGACACGACCTTTTCTGACAGTAGGATCTTACCTGAAAACAATTATTTATAGATGACACCTGTCTCCCTGACTGTAAGATCTCACCTGAAACCATCTTTTTACTGATGACACCAGCCTCTTGGACAGTAAGATCTAACCTGAAACCAACTATTTATAGATGACACTAACCTATTTGACAGTAAAACCTCACCTGAAACCAACTGTTTATAAATGACAAGAGACTCTCTGACAGTAAAAATCTAACCTGAAACCAACTTTTGTAGATGACACCAGCCTTTCTAACAGCAAAATCTCAACTGAAACCAACTGTTAATAGATGACACCAGCCCCTCTGACAGTAAAATCTAACCTGAAACCAACTTTTTGTAGATGACATTAGCCTCTCTGACAGTAAAATCTAACCTGAAACCAACTGTTTACAGATGACACCAGCTTCTCTGACAGTTCAATCTAACCTAAAGCCAACTGTTTATAGATGACACCTGTCTCCCTGACTGTAAGATCTCACATGAAACCATCTTTTTACTGATGACACCAGCCTCTAGGACAGAAAGATCTAACCTGAAACTAACAATTCAAAGATGACACTAAAACTTCACCTGAAACCAACTGTTTATAGATGATACTGGCATCTTTGACAGTAGAATCTCACCTGAAATTAATCTCTTTACAGATGACCCCAGCCACTCTGGCAGTAAGATCTCAGCTGAAACCAACTATTTATAGATAAAACCTGTTACCCTGATAGTAAGATCTCAGGGGAGCTAACCTTTCTGACAGCAAAATCTCATCTAAAACCAAATGATTACAGATGGCACTTATCTCCCTAACAGTAAAATCTAACCTAAAACCGACTATTTATAGATGGCACTCGTCTTTCTGACAGTAAGATCTCACCTGAAACCATCTTTTTACTGATAACACCAGCCTCTCGGACAGTTAGATTTCAGATGAAACCAACTATTTATAGATGGCACTTGTCTCCCTGACTGTAAGATCTCACCAGAAACAATCTTTTTACAAATGACACCAGCTTCTCGGACAGTAAAATCTTACCTGAAATCAACTATTTATAGATGACACTAGCCTGTTTGACACTAAAAACCTTACCTGAAACCAACTGTTTACAGATGACACCAGCTTCTCTGACAGTAAAATCTAACTTGAAACCAACTGATTATTAATGACACCAGCCTCACTGACAGTAAAATCGCACCTGAAACCAACTATTTATAGTTGACACTAGCCTGTTTGACACTAAAACCTCGCCTGAAACCAAAGGATGATAGATGACACCAGTCTCTCTGACAGTAAAAATGTTTAACCCTCACCTGAATCCTAATATTCTGCAGATGACGCCAGCTTCTCTGGTACTAAATGGTGCATTAGATGTCGATATAGTTCCCCATACTCCATTTATTTTGATTTCTACTCTTCCTTCCAAGCAGTTAGATCCATTAACAAGCCGCACTTCTAAGAAAAACAATGTTTACAACAAATTATACATTAAGTATCTCTTCTTGTGAAAGTGCAATTGTTTATGCGGACAAAATATATACAGCTTTTCCAGGCTGAATTTAAGTAAATTTATGGGAATAGTATATAATGAAATCTGATTTCCTTCTTAAACAGAATCTATTTAAGGTACATTAATTGTATTTGCCATCTTGGATTGTGAAACTGCAGTACACAATTGGTCTATTTTTTTGCTTTAATCTGCAAATTTTGAGCTAGATTGGCAATCAATGTGTAAATATAAAAATAAGAAGATGTGGTATGATTGCCAATGAGACAACTCTCCACCATAGACCAAATGACATAGAAGTGAAACTGTTTATTCAAATAAAGAAAAATAAGTGATCTATTGCATTATTTGGACTGTTTTAACAAATACCAAATATTTGTGTTAATTGGAATCTATTTTTCAACTAAGCCATTTAAGGGGAGATAACTCAATTAGTAAAAATTGTATAAAGGAATGTTAAAGAAATTTTCATTTTTTTCTTTAAGCAAGAAAACAAGCATATTAATTTATAAAACATATCTTCTCATATTTTCTTTCAAAATTCTATCTCACAGATTTCTTTTTATTTACAAAAGTGTTTTTTCATGAATAATCTATGCAAATTGGGCAATTTTGTTTTAATTGTAACTGGAAAAATAGCACTAGTTCAAAAAGAAATAAATGTTCTGCAATATTATTTCCACAATAAAGAAATATTAGTTATGTTCCCAACAGAATGAAGGGCATAGAACAGATATTATAGAATTGTTTAAAGCAATGTTTCAAGAGGAACTTCTGTTAAGAGGAACAAATATACATCGACAGCAGAAGTAAATATTTTTGTGTAATTACAGTGGTATCCTATGCTTTAATTTAGACAGACAGCCTTTTCTTACCTACTGTTGCTTCTTTTAATTTCATTGACACCAATTTTGGTGTATTGAGTAAAAATGCTATTTTTGTAGATATTTAATTTCATGCATGGTTATACAAAAGCAAATGTAAAATTAGAAATTATTGAGTGCCTTTATTACAATGAATCCTTGACCATTGGTAAAAACATGAAATCTAGTTAATGTGATTGCAAAACTTTCATGAAGGAAAACAAATTATGAAATTATGAATGAAAATTTTTATTATTGTGAACCAGATACTGTCGCATTATCAAAAACATCGCATTAATTTCTGAATTTACAGCAAGTATTTTGATATACAGTGGTATTCTATGTTTTAGACAGACTGCCTTACCTATGTTACTAGCGACAGGAGTAGTAGATATTCTTGTTGTAGTGGCATTGTGTGGCATCAGTGTGGTCATGGTGGTAGTATTAACTGATGGTGTACTTTGGGTGCTAGTTAGTATCGTATCTAAAATATTATTGCATTATTACATTATATTATTGCCAGGCATTATCCTTTTATAGTAGATAACTAAATATACAGTGAGGCCTACAAGCTGTAATGTGGACTTCATCCAATTGTATATTCCTAATATTTGCATAAGAAATCTAACCACAAACATTAACATTATGTCGTATAAAATTATTCTTTTAATTGAATAGGTGAAAACAGCAATTAAGAGCTAAAAAAAAACTACCGGTATAAAGCATGAATGCATTGTTGTCCTGAACATACAGGTCCCCACTCATAATTCAAAATGTTTTGGAAAGCAGGAAACTGTTGTCTGACAAAAGGGAAAAGCCCACACATATAAAACTCGTCACTATCAAACCTGCTGACCAAATATGAAGTCATTGTGTTTAGTAGTTTCTGACAATAGTGTGACTTAAATGGATAGATAAATGGACGCATAGACAAGAGCCTCCTCATGGGGTTTTTGATTATGTGATTACTTGGCCGTTTTTATAGTAATTAATTGATTACCAGACCAAATATTTCCTGATTATTTGATAATCTAGGACTGTATTTTTGATTATTTGATTATCTTGTTTAAAAAAATAATTAATGATTATGTGATTATATTGGCAAAAAAATTGTGATTATGTGATTACTTGGACACCCCCATGAGGGGCCTCAGACAAGGTGATTGCCTTATAGCCCTGCTCCTAGAGTAGTTTAACACCAACAGAATTAATGATATGCCTGTCCCATGTTAGGAAATCCTTATTTATATCTATATCACACTAATGTTTTTGTCTTGTGGGGAAGTTTGTGTATCAGAAGATCTTTGATAGTCCATGTTAATTTGATCCTAACTTGTCTGCACTCAAGGTAAGTTGATTTAGAGCTTGATACAATAAAGAAGTTTGTCTATTGTTGATGACCATATTTTGACTTCAAGATGACTTTAATGGTACTTTTAGTGTTGTTGGTGGGTTGCTGTTTCATCTACATATACAACACTACTTCTTTTATTTATACCATATCTGAGGGTCAGGATGATGGGTCTTGATTTCTGTATCCTTAAATTTTTTTGTCATTTTTCTCTTTTCATAATATTTTTTGTTCGTTATTCTCTATATCTTATACCTTTGGCCCATTTTTCTCTATTCTTTACCCCCCCCCCCCCCCCCCCCATTTTTATGTAATCTAGGCCCATAATTTTCTATTTTGTTATAAACCTCATATCTGTAAATAACTTACAGTTGAGACAATGCTGCTCGTCAAATCCATTAGCACAGTCTGGGTATCCATTACACAATTTATACACAGATACACAATCAGATGCATTTGTGGAGCATTGCACATGGTCTATAGCACAATCTGAAAGTAAATAACAAATCAGTCTCTTCCTATTCTTGTAGATGTTCCTTCAAAAAGAGGAGGTGCTCTTCAGGCTCTATTTGATGTAACAAAATTGATTAACAAATCGACAAAAAAGAACTTTTAAAATAATGTTTGTCATAACATTTTACACATCTGACTTGAATATCTAATTTTTCAAAGTCTTAGCTCTGTGTTTCCTAGGCTTAAATATAGTTAAAATCCAGAAGTTTTGTCAAATTTCACAAAAATCTCTATTTACGTCCTATTTGGGTTGTAAATTTCTATGCTTAAGAAGAAAAGCTGTACAAAACAAGAATGTGTCCATAGTACATGGATGCCCCACTCGCACTATCATTTTCTATGTTCAGTGGACCTTGAAATTGGGGTCAAAACTCTAATTTGGCATTAAAATTAGTAAGATCATATAATAGGGAACATGTGTATTAAATTCCAAGTTGATTGGACTTCAACTTCATCAAAAAGTACCTTGGCCAAAAACTTTAACCTGAATCGACCAAAAACTTTAACCTGAAGATGGACAGACGGACGCAAGGACGAAAGAACGGACGCAGACCGAAAAAAACATAATTCCCCTCTACTATCGTAGGTGGGGCATAAAAATTTCTATTTCACTTTCTTATGTGTCTATTCATCAAATTAAAACATTTTTTATCTTGAATAATGGACTTAATATTTGGGGGCAAACATGTCTCTTACTGAACTTATGAAAATAAAGAGATGTGATATGATTGCCAATGAGAAAACTATTTACCAGAGTTCAAATGAAATGAATGCAAGCAATTATAGGCAACCGTACGGCCTTCAACAATGAGAAAAACCAGTCAGCTTTAAAAGGCCCTAACATGAATAATGTGAAACAATTCAAATGAATTAAAAAACTAACGGCCTAATTTATAACAAAACAATTTACCAAAAACAAATACAACAGACATGAACCATGGACAACCACTGCACTACAGGCTCCTGACTTGTGAGTGCTCATCCTTCCCTAACCTGGGACAGTGGGGTAACAGCACAACATAAGAACAAACTGTTATAATCAGTAGCAATTTGATTAATTCAAAAGATCAGTACAAGGCACAAAAATACTAACATTAAAACACTGGACACAAAGCACAGAAATAAAAGTACTCTTTTAAAGGATCAATTTTCTATAGACTATTATGCATCCTTTGGTAAAACCAAGAAATCAAATATCCACAAAAATACAATTTTTCTACAATTCAAGAAAATTGCTCCTAACAAAAATAAATGAAACAACAGATCGATGCTATTAACACTGATAATACAAAGGGCATATATTTAAGTGAAACTATTTTTTAAAAAGGTCTTTTGAAAATTCATGAAATCTGCATGCTAATAACACATTAAAAAAGGACTGATTCTTTTCCCACTTACTCTCAAAGTCTGCTGTGTAAATGGCCCTGAAACCAGAATAAATGACGCTGCTATCAGAATGAAAGTAAACCAACATCTTGTTGGCTGTAGACTCTACTCTTCTTTGTGTACTCAAATCTCCTCTCAAGCTGACCAATAACAAATCAGTATTAGTTAGTCCATCATATACCTGTAAAACAAAGAAAACATTTCATTTTAGACAAAATTTACACTTAAGTATGATAGGAAAAATATGGTTAAGAACAATATTAATTTTTGAACTTTAATAAATTACTGTACTTTAAAAGAACAAAATATATTGCCCTAAAAACAAGATTCGTAGTGGAACTCATATGATTGATTGCTATAGCTATTAATCTATATAACAGAGTAGATTTTACTTATTTCCATAGCCTACTTGTTAGAAAAAATTATGTAATTCCTGGGGATTGCTTATGTTTGAAATCACAAGTTAGATAGTCAAAGAGCTGTTATTCACATGCACAAAAAAATAACAGAGTTCCAATGTCCCCCACGTTGCACATATTTTATCTATCCAAGGTACAAGGGCAACACTTAAAAATACACTTTTTTTTTTGTTCTTTAAAATTGTTTCATAAATATCTTAAGAAAAATGAATGCTTCAATGTGATTTCCATATAATTAATATTTCCAAGGGCATAACTCGTTAAAAATATTTAATGAGCAATTAGAAAGTGTCAAAGACATTGTTGATATAAACCTACAATATAATTTTCATAAAAATTTCTCAAGAATTGTACATGAGAGCGCTAACAATGCAATTTCGCATATATATATATATAATGAATGTTTCCAAGGGGCATAACTCTTTTAGAAATTGTTCATGGGCACCAAGTTTCGAACTCGTTCCAACATTGCTGATATAAACCTATAATATAAGTTTTATAAAAATCTGCAAAGAATTGTACAAGTGAGAGTGCTAACGGACGGACGCCTAGTATTTCTATTTCCCCCCAAAGTGATGCGCGGGCAACAATAAATAGGTAACCATTGACCCAATTTGAGTATCTTCTCTTTTGTCTCCATGTTGGAGGACTAAGTGTGAAAATTGCTTCATAAATCGGCCAAATTCAACTTGTTATACTGACCCCTAGACTTCAGGAAAAGGGTTTTTCTGAACAATTTTCATTTCTTTTAGCCTTGCACAACTCATCACTACCATCTAGCAGGGATTTCTAATATCAGACTTCTTAGTATTGTATGTGTCAATTTGGCAAGTCAAATAAGAAAATCAACTGTTTATCCCTCCAAAATCATGCGGCCAAGGGAAATAACTTAAATTTTGTCATTCGAAATCTATCTATCTATTTCAATAAAATATATGTGTCTGATATAATATTATTTTGTTTTAATTTTCTCAATAAAGATTATACACAAATATTGCTCTTTTTTTTGTGTACTGACACTTCCTTTACCTATGAAATAAAAATAGAACGTTTATTGATGTTACAAATAAATCAGTTTTCCGTGACACGTTTGTAAAATGAAACATCATACTGCTTTTTTTTTTTAAGGAAAACTGTACAACGATACTAGAGTTAATTATGTTTTTGATAATAAATGTGTCCTACTATAAGCCTTTGTCATGCCTGTAGTGTCAACACTAAACATCATGCAAAACCTAACAAACTATAATTCCTCTATTGAGATTGCTAAGATCTGGACCGTGCAAGCTAAAATTTAAACAGCTGGACAAAATTCTTTTGCGTGCTTAGTGTTGATCTAATAAGTCTTTAAGTGTCTGTCCCAAATCAGGAGCCTGTAATTCAGTGGTTGTTGTTGAATTGCTGTCTGCCATATTTGTTTTTCTTAAGTTTATTATTCTAGCATAAATCAGGCTGTTGGTTTATTTCTTTTGAATTCTTTCAGATTTTGTCATGCCAAGCTTTTAATAGTTTACTATAAGTTTTGCTCATTGTTGAAGGCCGTACAGTGTCCTATATCTATTTACATCCTCAGCCTTTGGTGTTTGGTGAATAGTTGTTACATTGGTAATCAAATCACATATCCTTATATTTCTATACACATTAAACTTTATTTTAAAATTGGCTTAAATTTTTCACCAGTTGATCAAAATGAATTCAAATTGCACTCAACAAGTAGTATTGTGAGCAAAACTCACAAAATGATACCAACCACCCCATATAAAGCGATGGCAAAGTCTATGATTTGCTTTAAGAGAAACCCTCAAAATCATTAAGAAAAAATAAAATAGTACAAGCACAATAGCATTATAAGGTTAATATTTTGAGAAAGTTTCATTAAATTCCAATGGATACCCTTCTTATAATAATAACCCTTGCAGATAAAAAGTGGGATGGAAGAATGGACACTCCCATTACCATATACTGTCTGCTTCAAAAAGCAGTGGGATATAAAAAGCAATCAACCCATTGGCAGTTTAAAGGCCATTTAGCTCTTGTTTTAGCATTGTAATACTTACATTCACATAATCACAGCAGTTTTCTGTTATGAAGTCAGTAAACGTCAGCACTATTGTATAACCAATTGGGACAACAATATAATAATTACAATTCTGATTATTTGGATAGCTTCCAGGATAATTTGGTGTTGTAAAACTTCCTGTAAGTCCAGTGTGATATCCACCACACGCTCCTACAATTAAACAGATGTTATTTACAAAATAGGATAATACATCGAACATGCCTTATATATATATGGACAGTTTTATATACATGCACATTTTTTTCTTTTGTCTATGGACTTTGTTATTAACGGACTATGTTTTCAATAGTCTATTTGCCAACTCTCAATTTGATTCTGTTATCACACACTTTTACATAGGTTGTTTCCCTTTGCCAATTATAGACTGGTTCTAAATCAGACAAAATAAGCTTCTCTCCATGCAAACTGTCTCAGGTAAAGGTGAAGGTTGGTGCCTGTTAAAACTTTTAAACCCACTGCATTTTTATGCACCTGTCCTAAGTCAGGAACCTGATGTTCAGTGGTTGTCATTTGTTGGTGTGGTTCATAGGTGTTTCTCGTTTCTCATTTTTTTTATAGATTAGATCGTTGGTTTTCCTGTTTGAATTGTTTTACACTAGTCATTTTGGGGCCCTTTATTATAGCTTGCTGTTCGGTGTGAGCCAAGGCTCCTTGTTGAAGGCTGTACTTTGACCTATAACTTTTTATACATTGTGACTTGGATGGAGAGTTGTCTCATTGGCACTCGTACCACATCGTCTTATTTTTAAAGCATGATAAGTTGAAAGTGACATGTAGGAATTTTAACCTGAATTTGGAATGAAAAATAACAGATAAATTTGCTCCATCAGGTAGCTCATCATTTTCAATGAAATTCATGTCCTTCCAAAGGGAAATAACTCTTAAAAAACGATTACTAATTACAGGGTCAATTACAGAATTGGAAGCTAGACTATTGCCTCAAGATGACATTATTTATTTAAGGAATGACTAATATTTTTTCTGTCTATGAAGAAATAATATCAAAAATGGAAGCACTCTGAATAACCCGCATAGTGGGTTATTTAAAAGTGTGCACCACGTTTTTGAGGTTATTTCTAATAGACAAAAAAAATATTAGTCATTCCTTATAATTTTATTCTAAATTCCATTTTTAAGGAGTAAATCATGAACAAAAGTTGAAGACGTCACAATCACATGACAAAATTATGTCTATGAGCTGATAGACAAAAAACTTTCAGCCAATCAGAAGATGTGTTATATTCAAAATTGAATTATATAACCATCAATTTCACAATAATGTGCATGGAAGGCATTTTTGCCATTATAACTCATGTCAGTTAATGACCTGAAAAATTTGCCAATTAATGCAGAGACATGTATAGTACATACGTCTCTGGTTAATGTTAGCTGCTGAAAAAAAGACAAAGAATTTGAAGCTCAAATTTGTTTGTCAAAATAAATGCTGGAAATTCAAGACAGTTTTTCTCTTTAAAAAAAACCAGGTTGATGGAAAAAGAAGCACTATGGAACCCTTCAATTCTTGAATACAAATTAAGCTATCCATACCTATATTGATTGTGTGATTTTTTTAAAGATCTGGATATTCAATGCAAAACAAACGTAAAGATTTTGGAATCTTTAATAATATTCCTGTAAAAAATTACTTAGGAGAATTTAAACAGATTATTATGGTTTCTATTACTCAAGATTGATTGATTGATTGATTGATTGGTTGTTGGTGTTTAAAGCCACTTTCAGCGGTATTCTTATATATTTAAGTGGACCATAAATTACAAAATACATGTTAAGTTCTGATGGCAATTGAACACTTGATGTTTTAAAAACAATATCCTTTAAATTGTTTGAAACATGTTGAATTTTAAGGTGTCTTGAGTGGAATGTTTGTGTATATGAGGAAAAGGTAATAGTCCTCACTTTTCTTTTTTTGACCTCTTTTTCATTATACTGTGGATTCATCAATATTCAGTGGATACTAGTTTTTGTGGATTTTGTGAGTGAAGATGTACAAGGAATTTAAATATTTAATGAAATAATAACTTCCGATAGGCTTGTATGTGGAATTTGCAAAATCCACAAAAATAAATATTATCAACAGTGGTTGTGAGTAACCTTACCTCCTGGTGATGTTGTTGTTGGTGTCCAAGGTGTTGTGAAATTGGCGTGACCTGTTGGTCTCCACGGTGTTGTGATATTGGTGTGAACTGAAAATAAAAATCTGGTATCAGTGATATGGTATAATGCCAGCAGTAATATTTCAGTCTAGAGGTTATCTTGTAATTTTTGACTGAATCATCACTAAATATGTCTCAAAAAAAGATATAGCTTTCTTTTACTTTGCAAATAATTTTGGCATATTGTTATATAGCTCATGCTTTTTGCTGATAGAATCCTTTTAGAATTTCAGGCAATTAAAGGAAATTAAGAGTTATCTTCCCTGAGTTTGCTGTTGACACCGGATCTTATAAGCACAAATAATTATTCAAATTGAAAACACACTCTTTTAATCCATTTCCAAAGGTTTGTGTGAATCATCCCACATCTTAATGAGATCTTACAATATTAAAGATAATTGAAATACTAATGAATTACCATATTTTTCATATAAAACAGTCATTCAAAAACTAGATGTGTTGATATAAAGAGTAAGTCCCTGCCTCCAGCTTAATTGTAAAATGTATATTTCTGGAAATTGAAATGGAAGTGACTCTAGGTGCATCATGGACATGTACTACCAACACTGTGCTCATGGGCTTATAGTGTGGCTAATATGGCGAAAGGCAATATGTGTTTGTTAAATGGGAATTTTTTTTCAACGGAAACAATACATGTTGATCTGTGAAATGAAATAATAAGCTGTAGACACAGAGATATGTCTCACCTTTATGTAAGTTTGGTAGTATAATGCAAATATTAAGTATGTTTGCTGCTATGTTTCAAAATAACAAGCTTTTTAAACAACTGTTATAAATTGATAGTAAATAAATAACAGAACTAAAAATGCAGATAAAAATGAAATGTCTGTATCCATGTTTTTGAGATACAATGTATAAGCCATTGAATATTTGGCGGGGAATGATTCTCTCTTGACTTTTCATACATTTAACTTTAGTACCTTTTTTTTTCAAAAATTCGGAAAAAATAACAAGGATTTCACAACATTTTCAAAAAATGGCTTTTAAAACTATCTGTAATAAAATTATGAAGAGAAAAGAAGGTATTCGGGGACAAAATTTTTAATGGCACTACATGGATAAAACCAGAGGATTCTGAAAAATATCTGACAATAGGTTAAAAACAAGATCAGCGAACATCCTTAAAATGGCAATACATTAACATGTTAACCAGGCAATTAATTCAAAGTCAATTAACCATGACTAAAGGTGAAGGGCCAAATAACCTCCCTTGAAATGAGAAATGCCAATGCTAATACAACTGCATAGCATATACCATTGACTTATCATAAGGGGATCCCATTAAACTGACCTAAAGACAAACTTTAGCATGTAAACTGTGCAAAAGTTTTGAAGTCAATGAACCATGACAGTGGCAGGGCCTTATAATCTCCTTGGAAATAAGATGTGCAAATGGATTATACAACTGGACTTATTTGCTCAAAACAGTTGACCACTGGATAAGGTACACTGATTTCTACATGCTTTTTTCACTGGTCAACACTTATACCAAATACCCATGACTTACCATTAGTGGTTCCCCTTAAAATGTACCAATGCTAATACAACTGTACACTAAAAATCATTGACCTAACTGGTCTTATTACTATCTATCATACTGTTTACGCCTCATCCGCTACTGCCACCTCAGACAAAAATATCAAGCCCAAGTCTCGCTGTGACCTATTGCTCACTAATGATACTCCCACTTTAATTATTCAGTAAACAGGAAATTGATGAAAAATTCATCTGAAAATGCACTACACAGTAAAGCATGTTCATATGAAGCCTAATAGCAAATTTCTGAAAGGTCCTATTTGTAGTTCAGTAGAAAAAAGTGACAAAAATTTCATACATGGCCATTATGCTTAGAATATATAACATGTATAAGTATAAATATTTGGTAAACCGGAAGTTCATGATCGATGAATCTGAAATTGTGTCACACTGTATAGCATGCTAACATGAAGTCTGATTAGAATTTTCAGGAAGCTATTGTTTGTAGTTCCATAGAAAAATGGGAGCAAAATTTAATGGGACAGACATCCTAACTGACATACTGACAAAGGAACAGACAGACAGGGTTAAACCAGTATACAGTAAAACAGTATACCCCTCCTCAGGAGCAGATAACATTGCTATATTGCCTATAATTGCTTATATAATTACATCCACTACATTTAAACTTTGGTGGATAGTTGTCTCATTGGCAATCGTACCACATTTCCTTATTTTTAATACTGATGCATCTAAAAAGACAGTTGGAAATCCTCTTTAAGCTACTTTGTTGTCTAAATAGAATTGAATATACATCTGTCCAGATGAAGCTGTAACAGGATTTTTGAAAGACATAAAGACAGATGGACAAACAGACAGGGTAAAACAGTAAACCTCCCACCTCAGGATGGACATAAAGACAGGGATAAAAGAGTAATCTCCTCTCCTCAGGTAGGGAAATAAAGAAGGAGAGAGGGACAGACAAGGGTTAACTCAATAAACCCCCTCCTTAGGAACAGGGATATGATGATAACATTGTAATTGTACTTGATGCATCTGAAAAGACAGCTTGAAATCCTCTTTGAGTTACTGTATAGTCTGAATAGAATTGAATATACATCTCTCCAGATGAAGCTGTAACAGGGTTTGGTATTGAACTTCCACAATAATATGCAAGCTGTGTATCAAGTGGTGAAGACCCATCATAAATCTATAAATAAAAATACATGTACTTAATCAAAATTGTGTGCTCTTCAATATAATACACATTGTTTAATATTTTCAAGCAAACATCTAACCATGGAAATGTTATTGATTTTCAGTTAATTAATAAGAAAAAAATAAAACATAAAAGATATTCGATGTACTGTGAACCATTTTTTGTTTGTATGTAGATACTAATTTTTTTGCTTTCAGCCATTTCTAGCCGTTTTTTTTATCTATTTTTCGATTGTATTTATCAACAATCAGATGCAAACAGTTGTACCGGTACATTGAACCTTTGTACTACTGTATAATATTTAAATCAATTTTTAAGTTAGCGTTCAACATTAAAGGTCGATTTCTATCCGACACAGCTCATATATGAAAGTCAGGGAAGTATAAATATTTAGAACTGTGAGGAGCTATTTGACATAAGGGACCTAAAAAAGAATCGCCAAATGATATAAGGTCAACTTTGCCTGAGGGAGCTGGAATCTTATTTTCCAAGACTTAATCAGTATTATTCATTTTTAAACTGACTGCATGTGTCATCATTATATAAACCAAAAATATTTCCTTAAATATACACACTTACTGCCACATAATCGTAACAGCCGCTGCCTAAAGCCTCTACTTCAAAATCAACGAACTGCAATGTTATTGGTAGCAGCAATGGACTCAATATCGAATAGTCATATCTCGCATAATTAGGATAACTGTTGGGGTAATTTGGTGACTCTATCCAGCCATAGGAGGCAAAATGATGTTCAACATATGAATCTGTAATCAAAATATTATGCATCAAGATTAAAGGGGCAATAGCTGTCAAATTCATGTTCCCAGATTTGATTCAAATTCTCATATTTTATTAATAACATACTAAAATGTATACTGTAAATTCAGAAATTATTGCGTGCATTTATTATTGCGATTTTGTCATTTTAGACTTAAATGCGATTTTAATTTTTACGATTTTGAGAAAAATCCTGTTTAGTTCATATAAAATATTTCAAAATGCGAGTTTAAATTATTGCGTTTACAACTCTGTCGCATTTGTCGCAATGATAAAAACCTCGCAATAATTTCTGAATTTACAGTATCCAAATTACAAAAAATATAAAATAAACAATTAACAATGCATGTTCTCGATAATATGTATCGATCAGCATTTCGTGTGTATTTTAGTCTGAACTCCATCTAATTAACCATAGACATGACCTCTGAAGGCTGCTGACGGTCATATAACCAGATATAAAAATAGATATAAATAGATAGTGACCACGTGTAATTGGATTTTTCCAGGATTGTTTGAATTCATCTTATAGGTGAAAAAAATGTGTTAATCATTGTTTTTGCCTGTATAAGAATGATTTTTTTATGGATCGAATCAGTCAACCAAATGGTTCACCCTTGTTTCACCTTGAATTTTGACATTCTTATCCTTTTACGCCTAAAACATATTGAACTTGTCTCTAGCTAAAGGGTGAACCATTTGGTTGACTAATTTGATCCACAAAAAAATCATTCTTATTATACAGGCAAAAACAATGATTATAACACATTTAAATTGAAACTCATATGAATACTGATTCAATGATGTTAAATTATTGACTTGCAAATCAATAATACATCAGCAATGTGGTTTTTAGCTTATTTTCACAAATTTGGGCAAAACTGACTGCTTTAATTTTAACCAAATATTATTTCAAAATTTTTGAACAAAAAAAATCGTATTTTAACTTTTTGTCGAAATTATAGATAATGCCCCTTTGATGTGTCAAAAACAAGTTACTTTTTAAGGTTTGATTATAATTCTATTTGACTCTCCTTATGAACCAGTAAATTGTTTAAATGATTTAAAACATTGAATTTTTTTCACAATATTAAAGGCTTAGATTTGATAAGGTCCCAATATGGCCTCTATTTCAAGCTAAAAATTTCAAATTAGGATTAATGGCCATTACTCCAATGAAGCAAAGCTAAATTTATTACTTGATATAAAAAATTATGCCTATTTATTGAAAATTTACATATTTGCTTTCTTTTCATGAATAATAAATAGCACAAAGTTGGATTTTACGTGAAACTCAGTGAAAACAGGTATATATTTCCACTGGGTTTAAGGCTAGAAATCATGTTGACAATGTGTCTACAAATAAAAACTTTTAACATTACAGATGTTTGTTAAAACAAATTACTTACCTGACTTATTGAACCCTGCACTCCATGTCATTAATATGAAATTAACCAAGTCGATTTTGTTAACTTTCACCAAAATCTCTATTTTTTTCCAGTTGGGGTGTAAATGTCAATGCTTTCAAAGAAAAGCTCGACAAAAATAGTTCTATTTCACTTACTTACATGGCTATTCATCATCTTGAAACAATCTTTATCTTGAATAATGAACGTGATATTCAGGGCCAAAAAGGGCCCTTAAAGAAATATCTTATATTCAAATTTTTGCGTTTATTTCATGTGCTGTTTGTATACAGATCAACATGCAGACATCTTATACGTTCAGGTATTTCACATCCAATCTTTTATGGGAATATTCTATACGAAGCACAAAATTGTCGACATTCACCTCAAAAGCTAACCAAACCTTTAAACAGACTTATTCAGAAGGGATATAGTTACGATACTGTTGTCAGGTCATTAAAGATGACATATTTTGGTATTAATATTGATTCACTCATAGGGTCTTTGCTTTGGAAATAAACACATTTATTCTAAAACCAGTTGTTGGCATGATACAGGTTATGTTCTTCTCATATATTTTATGATGGTATGATACTAAACCCCTATTATGAGAGGGATTGTGCTTGATTTTCATATGATGAAGACATAATCTTTCAATCAGTTTAATTGAGGTCTGGAGCTGGCATGACAGTAATTGCTAGTAGTCCTTTGTTAATTTATGTATTATTGTCATTTTGCTTAGTTTCTTTTGTTTCCTATTCTGACATCAGACTCTGACTTCTTTTAAACTGAGTTTTACTGTGCGTAATGCTGTGTGTTTGTTTATTCTACAAGGGCTAGAGGTATAGGGGAGGGTTGAGATCTCACAAAACATGTTTAACCCCGCCGCAATTTTTCGCCTGTCCCAAGTCAGGAGTCTCTGGCCTTTGTTAGTCTTGTATGTTTTTTAATTTTAGTTCATTTATATGTTTTGGAGTTTAGTATGACAGCCATTTTCATTGAACTAGTACACACTTTTGTTTAGGGGCCAGCTGAAGCCCGGCGCCGGGTGCGGGATTTTCTTGCTGTGTTGAAGACCCATTGGTGGCCTTCGGCTGTTTTCTGCTCTTTGGTCGGGTTGTTGTCTCTTTGACACATTCCCCATTTCCATTCTCAATTTTACTAGTGTGTTTCCATGTGCTTCAGGTGTGTGCTCCTATTTGTTTGGTCAGTTTTGTAGTTAGTGCTGTCTTACTGGCGTATAACTAACAGTTCTTTTCTTCATATTTATTTATAAGTGTTTGATTCATGTTCTATGTGGATATGCTAGAATGTTTCCCAGTGTTTCAGAGACATCTGGTTATTGCTGTCTTATTGACGTAAATCCCCCATCTCCTCTTATTCATGTGACAAATGCAATCTAGATATGGTTTTTTTATCACTTCGGTTCAAGTGTGAGACTTCATGTCTTATTTTTAAGGTTTTTCTTTTTGACAGTTTATTCCAGAAATATATATATTTATATAGAACTCCTGGATGGAGATTTCAAAGGCTTTTTATGGTCACAATTATTAGTCAGTGAATCTTAATCTGACGAAATTTCTCCAATTTGACATTTTAATTCTAAATTATACATTGCTGAGCAAGCTTTTTAAAAAAATATAAAATCAACAGTATCACACATTGACTTACCATTGGATGGTGTAGTTGTGTTACTTATAGTTGGCACTGGTGCTGGAAATATAAAATAATATTTCTAATTGACTGTTTCAGAATCTAAAGGACTATGGGTAATTTCATTGTTTGTACCTCAAAATGAAGACAATGTCACATCATTGGTTGAATTACCATTATTTAGGATGTTTTTAACCAATTGTGTGTACGCTTTTGAAAATATTACCTATAATACATCATGTTCTGAAAAAAAGAATTCTTCATGCATTCAAACTGGGTCTCACAAGTTTCAAATTTTTGTATTAGCCATAGGTATTGGTAAACAAAAATATGAAATATTAATTTAACTGAATCATCTATTTGTAGATTTTGTGGTAAGAGAAAACCACAGCAATAAATATAAAAATAAGAAGATGTGGTATGATTGCCAATGAGACAAGTCTCCACCACTGAGAGACCAAATCACATAGAAGGTAACAAGTATATGTCACAGTATATAAGTATATAAAATACAATTTCAATAAGAATGCAGGCACTTTCATGTTAAGCATACTTAAAGTATCAGAAAACTAGACTAAGTGATGCCCCCGCACTCCACTCTGAAGTAAATGTATTATAACAAAGTCAATGTAGGACTTTCTTTGAGATATTATTGTGTCTGAAATTTGTATCTGTATGATGCCCCCACAGATGCAAAGTGTTATTTTAAAATACACAAAGATGAGCATGGGAGCATATATGTCTATGGTTCACTGTAGGAGGAGTTATCCGGAAACGCTATGCACCTCTTATGCAAGTATATACCCCAAAAATGACAAAGTTCAACTATCTCCCAAAAGAGCAAATATCAATAAAAATTAAAACCTTGTCTACATGCACACCTTCAATACATGTACAAACAGCCAGCAAAGTGAAAACTTCCTAGCATTCAAACTGTAAGAGGAGTTGTGTGGAATAGCTATATACAAGTAATGGGACGGACAGGGGTAAAATAATATGCACCCAACTTTCAGTTGCGGGGGCAAAAAAAGGGCACTGGTGTCTGACAGATCCAAAAAGTCCCTTTGTTTATGAAAAATCAGATTTCATTTTTTAGACAAACAAATTTTTAAATTGTTTTTTTCACAAACTTTCATATTTTGTCATGTATTAGGTTGTTGTCTGTCACATTTTTTGCAATTATGTAACATTTATTTCTTAATATACAAAATCTTACATCACTCATGCACTTACTTGAAGAAATAAGATCCAAATAATGAATACATTGCAGACCGCTATAGTAGGAAGGAAATGAGGCACACAGTGGAAGGATATCTTCTAGTCCTGGTATATTCTGTAATCCACAATTTAAGGCCACACCTGAAAACATCAAAGTTATTGTCATTTGATTTGCATAGTTGAATACTGAACATTCAGAAATTTTTGCAATGGTTTTATGATTGTGAAAATTCAATCTGATTTAAATACAGATCCTGGGTGTCCAAGCTGTGCTTACAAGGATCTGAAAATGCTCCAATCTACTTTCTGTTTTTTGAAATTTGAAGGCTGAAATTTCATTGGCTTATGAAATAATTACCAGAACAGAAAGTAAAACGAAGTGTTATCAGATCCTTGTAAGAAAAGCTTGCACACAGAATCTGGATTTTAATCAGATTGGTGAAAATTGCATTTTTGTCCATGTTTAACAATTTCAATAACACATGCACACAAAAATTTCTGAATTTACAGTATTTACCAGGTTACTCAGAAATATACTATAAAATTATTTTTAATAGGAGTAATAAAAGCATCACATTCATAATAAAATCTAGGAGAAAATTATTCCAGATAGTCTGTTTTTCTGAATCCAATCTCATTTTACAAACAGTATCCACGCCATAATGCAAAAAGTCAATATGAAAATATCAACTTAGCGTAAGTTTTCATAACGGTGACCATGATGAGGTCAAAATAGAAAAGTTTAAAAGAAGAAATCTGTTAAAATCATGTCATTTGTTTAACTCACCTTAAACTGTCAACATTAAAACAACAACTATCTCAGAACTCTCCAATTAAGGTTGTACCAAACACCTTGACTAAAATTAATTTGGCTCGTTTATTTTCCATAAAATTTTGACAAAATATTTACTTTGACCCTTTGACAAAAATAAAAAAATTTAAAAAAAAACTTGAACCACACACTTTATTGGAAAAATTTCATTGGATATATAGCAGTTTGACAAACACTAATTTTGATCATTGAGAAGCTTAATATTTCCTTCACAATAGAATGCGATTAAAACGTTCAGCTGATTTTTACAGAGTTATCTCCCTGTAGTGTTATTTACCAATGTAAATGTAATGCAACAGCAATGTATAGTAGGTCTAGGTGTTGGTGATAGAGGTGGTGGTGGATGTGATGGTGATGATGGTGGTGATGATGATGGTGATGATGGTGATGATGATGGTGATGATGGTGGTGATGAAGGTGGTGATGAAGGTGGTGATGATGATTGTGATGATGGTGGTGATGATGGTGATGATTGTGGTGATGAAGATGGTGATGATGATGGTGGTGATGATGGTGATGATGATGGTGATGATGGTGGTGATGAAGGTGGTGATGATGATGGTGGTGATGATGGTGATGATGGTGATGATGGTGATGATGATGATGGTGATGATGGTGATGATGGTGATGATGATGGTGATGATGATTGTGATGATGGTGGTGATGATGGTGATGATGGTGGTGATGATGGTGATGATGGTGGTGATGATGATGGTGATGATGGTGATGATGGTGGTGATGATGGTGATGAAGGTGGTGATGATGATTGTGATGATGGTGGTGATGATGGTGATGATGGTGGTGATGGTAGTGATGATTGAGGACCAGAACATTTCAATGTAATATGAATATTACCCTTCATGCTTTGTAATAGACCGACACACTGAGCCAGATATTTTACGTGCTAGTTCACAAGGTAACAATTTGGTTGAAGACCTGTCACCTTACCTGGACACATTATTCTGACTCATAGCCAACCAGTCTTTAATTGCTCTTACTCCTTAATGCTGTGTGCTTTGCGGATAAGCAGCAAATACCAATTTTAAAGTCTTTGGTTTGACCCAGTCAGGGTCTGAACCCACAACCTCCCTCACTCTAGGCAAACACGCTACCATGATACCACAAAATATGAAATTCATATATAATAGCTATAAATATAAACTCACTAGTGCATGGCTCAGAACATGGTGGTATAACTTGTCCTGCTTCACAAGAGGGTGACAAAATTGAACACATCATTACATATGCTGGTAGAGAACCTGTACAGTTGGCTGAATTAAGCAATGATAATGCAAACTGTGAAACCTCTGCTTCTGACTGGTGCCCAAGGTAGTTGGGATATGATGTTAAGTTGAAGCCAAATGGTTTACACAAGGCATTATGGTAATCTGATATTGCTTCTATACAAATAGCTGTAAATACATCATAAGAAATTACTAATAACAGCATCAACATTAAAATCATCAATTTTACTTTTTTAAACATTTAAGCACTGTCAGAATTTAATGGGAGGATTTTACTCCAATCTATAAAAGTAAAATATTAGATTTACTGTGTTCTAAGTCTCATATAGTTTGATTTTGGATGTTACATGTCTTCTGATGGGCTGACAGTTTTTTGTTTATCAGCTCATAGACATAATTTTGTCATGTGACCATGACGTCATCAACGTTTTTTCATGATTTACTCCTTAAAAATGGAATTAGAATTAAATGACTGTAATATTTTTTCTGTCTATTGGAAATAACCTCAAAAATGTGGTGCACACTTTTAAATAAACCACTACGATGGTTATTCAGTGTGCACCACATTTTTAATGTTATTTCTTCATAGACAGAAAAAATATTAGTCATTCCTTAAATAACCTTCAGGTAATTGCCCCTTGAGTTTACTCTAACCAAACTGATGACATCTTTGTACAATGAAACTGTGAGGTCAAATTTCTTTCTACACTTTTCTCTAAAATCATTACACAAAGTTACTGGGATGTGTCTGTCCAAAGTCATGAGCCTGTATTTTAGTGGTTGTCATTTGTTCATGTCTCTCATAGTTGTTTTGTTATAAATTAGACCATTAGTTTTCTCAATTGAATTGTTTCATATTTTTCATGTTTAGAGCCTTTTATAGCAGACTAAAACGTATGGATCTTTCTCATTGTTGAAGGCCTTAAGGTTGCCTATAATGGCTTACATCCACTTCATTTAAACTTTGGTGGATAGTTGTCTTGTAGGCAATAATACCACATCTCCTTATTTTTATATGGAAAAATGTTTTTGCAGGTTAAAAAGTCTGTGCATTATTCAATTTGAAAATTCTATTTTCTCAATGGCAAAAATATTTTCTTGATGCAGTGGGAAAAATATACATAAAATTGGTGTTTTAAGATCCTTTGTTTGTGAATTTCTAGTTCTGTTGATTTGAGTGTTTCAGAGTTTATAGTTTTATTTTTAGAATTTATGTTCAAAATATCAAAGGAATATGGCTTTTTGCAATTAAAATCGATGACTCTGATGAACAACTCATATTCACACAAATTACTACCTATGGTGTAAAAGTACTATCACAGTGTAGTAAATACCTGATGATGGTGTTATAGTACTTAGATAAGGCATTGTAGTGGTATTACTTCCACTTATAGACAGGTTTTAAAGAATAGAGAACAATGGGGAAAAGGTGCAGAATGAAAGGCGAGAAAAAGAGTAAAATGGGGCAAAAAGAAAATAAAGAACAGAGAATAATGGGGTGCTAAAAAAAAAATATAGAAAAATAGGCAAAAAATATAAAGAATAGAAACACCTGACCTAAAAATTCAACAAAGAATACAGAAATGAAGGACCCCACATCCAGACCCTTATAAATTATGTTCTGCATTCAAAGTTATGTCACCATCATTTTAAGAAATCTTAGAATGTTGTAAATTTTGACAAAGATTACAAATTATGGAATGAAAAAAAAATGATATTTCAAGTTTAGGATTTATATCACTCATGGTTTGAGAAAAAAAAATAGACATTTCTAAATTTCTAGGTAATTAGTAAAAAGTGCTTCTTTTTTTGTATTCTTATTCATTCTAGTGGATCATAAAACACAAAAAACATTAAAAGTTCTGATGGAAATTTGACATTAAATGTTTATAAAACAATATGCTTTAAATTGTTTTAAACATGCTGAATTTTAAGGTGCCTAAGTGGAATGTGTGTGTATATGAGGAAAGGGGTACCTGTCCTCACTTATCTTTGTATGATATACTTTTTAATGTGAAAATTTCATGATACTGTGGATTCATTATTATTCATGGGGAACTAGTTTTTGTGGATTTCATGAGTGAAGGTGTACCTGAGAGGTGTACCATGAATTTAAATATTTAAGGAAATAATAACTTCTCATAGGCATACAATCATTCAATAAACCAAACATAGTTGACCTACTGCTTATAGTTTCTAAGAAACAGTCTTAACCAAGAAAACTTGACATTGACCAAAGAACCATGAAAATGAGGTCAAGGTCAGATGAACCATGCCAGACAGACATGTACACCTTACAATCAATTTAGGCATTAAATATAGTTGACCTATTGCTTATAGTATCTAAGAAACAAACTTAACCATGAAAACTTAACATTGACCAATGAACCATGAAAATGAGGTCAAGGTCAGATGATACCTGCCAGACAGATATATACACCTTACAATCCTTCCATACAACACATATAGTTGATCTATTGCTTATAGTTGAAAAAAAAACAGACCAAAACACAAAAACATAACACTGAGAAATAAACTGTGAAAATGAGGTCAAGGTCAAATAAAACCTGCGAGACTGACATGTACATCATAAAATATTTCCATACACCAAATATAATTGACCTATTGCATATAGTATAAGATAAAAAGACCAAAACTCAAAAACTTAACTTTGACCACTGTAACCATGAAAATGAGGTCAAGGTCAGATGACACCTACCAGTTAAACATGTTCACCTTACAATCATTCCATATACCAAATATAGTAGACCTACTGCTTATAGTATCTGATATATGGACTTGACCACGAAAACTTTACCATGTTCATTGATCCATGAAATGAGGTCGAGGTCAAATGAAAATTGTCTGACGAGCATGAGGACCTTGCAAGATACCCACATACTAAATATAGTTATCCTATTACTCATAATAAGAAAGAAATCAACATTACAAAAAATGTTGACTTTTTTTCAAGTAGTCACTGAACCACTAAAATGAGGTCAAGGACAATGGACATATGACAGACAGAAACTTCGTAACATAAGGCATCTATATACAAAGTATAAAGCATCCAGGTCTTCTAGCTTCTAAAATAAAAAGCTTTTAAGAAGTTAGCTAACGCCACCGCTGCCGCCAGATCACTATCCCTATGTCGAGTTTTCTGCGACAAAAGTCGTAGGCTAGACAAAAATGTCAAAAATAGGGGTACAACAGTCAACATTGTGTTATAATCTTAATCACTATAAAAACAAACAAACATGACATCAAGGAAAAACAAAATGGCATATCGGCAAAACACATACGCAAAAATGAAAGACAAGAATACAAAAAATGACCATAGCACAATAACACAATGGCGGGATGTATAAGTACCGAGCCACGCCAAAAGGATATTACCAAAAATAGACCAAACAGTAAAGGTTAATAATTTACAAAGACAAATAAAAGAACACTATAACAACTATTTGTATAAGAACTAATTGTTGAAAATAAATGAATCAACAGTAGCTAGTTGTGATTAACCTTACCTTCTGGCAATGGGGTTGTTGGTGTCCAAGGTGTTGTGAAATTGGTGCGATTTGTTGGTCTCCAGGGTGTTGTGAAATTGGTGTGATTTGTTGGTCTCCAGGGTGTTGTGAAATTGGTGTGATTTGTTGGTGTCCAAGGTGTTGTGAAATTGGCGTGATTTGTTGGTCTCCAGGGTGTTGTGAAATTGGTGTGATTTGTTGGTCGCCAGGGTGTTGTGAAATTGGTGTGATTTGTTGGTCTCCAGGGTGTTGTGAAATTGGTGTGAACTGAAAATAAAACTCTGATATTAGTGATATGGTATTATGCCAGCAGTAATGTCTCAGTCTAGAAGTTATCTGAATCATAACTAAACACGTCTCAAAGAAAGATTAAGTTTATTTTTTCTTTGCATATTGTTATATAGCTCATGCTTTTTGCTGATAGAATCTTTTTAGAATTTCAGGCAATTAAAGGAAATTAAGAGTTATCTACCCTGAGTTTGCTGTTGACAGTGGATCTTATAAACACAAATATCTAAATTGAGAAAAAACATTTTTTTAAGCCATTTCCAAAGGTTTGTGTGAATCATCCTACATTTTAATGAGATCTTACAATATTAAAGATAATTAAAATACTAATGAATTACCATATTTTTCATGTAAAACAGTCATTTAAAATATAGATGAATGATGTGATGATACAACGTGTTAGTCCCTGCCTCTAGCGTAATGGTAAAATATATATTTCTGGGAAATCAAATGAAAGTGATGCTAGGTGTATCAGGGACATGCACTACTAACACTGTGCTCATGGGCTTTTTGTTCAATGGACACAATACATGTTTGTTCCGTTGGGTATAATAAGATGTGAAAATGATTATACAACTGCCAGGATTTGTTCCTCAAAACAGTTGACCAATTGATAAGACTTGTCTACTGGATAAGTTACATAGATTTCAACATACTTTATTCACTGGTCTACAATTATCCAGTGGATAAAAGTTTCAAGCAACCCATTCCAGAATACCAAATACATGTACCATTGACTTACCATTAATGGTTCCCCTTAAAATATGCCAATGCTAATACAACTGCACACTAAAAATCTTTGACCTAACTGATCTAATTACAAATTAATTTGTAGTTCCCTATAAAATACAAAGAAGATTTCATACATGGCCATTATGTTTGCATTCAGCTAACAGGAAGTTGATGAGTGTTGAACCTCAAATTGTGTCACACAGTACTAGTATAGCATGCTGACATGGTCTGATTAGAAATTTCAGGAAGCTATTATTTGTAGTTCCATAGAAAAATGGGAGAAAGATTTAATGGGACAGACATACTAACTAACATACTGACAAAGGGACAGACAGACAGAGGTAAAATAGCATACAGTAAAACAGAAAACCCCCTTCTCAGGAGTGGATAACATTGCAATATTGCCTATGATTGCTTACATCCACTACATTTAAATTTTGGTGGATAGTCTCATTGGCAATCATACCACATCTCCTTATTTCTATATTGATGCATCTGAAAAGACAGATTGAAATCCTCTTTCAGCTACTATATTATCTGAATAGAATTGAATATACATCTTTTCAGATGAAGTTGTAACAGGGTTTTTGACTGACATAAAGACAGACGGATGGACAGACAGGGTAAAACAGTAAATCCCCTCCTCAGGACGAACTTAAAGACGAACAGACAAACAGACTGGGGTAAAACAGTAAATCCCCTCCTCAGGACGAACTTAAAGACGGACAGACAAACAGACTCAGGGTACCTAATATAACAAAATATTATTTCAAAATTTTGAAACACAAAAAATCATATTTTAAATTTTTGTCAAAATCATAGCTATTGCCCCTTTAATGTGTCAAAAACAAGTTACTTTTTTAGGTTTGATTGTAATTTTTTTTGACTCTCCATATAAATCAGTAAATTGTTTAAATGATTTAAAACATTGACTTTTTTTCACAATATGAAAGGCTTAGATTTGATAAAGCCCCAATAAGGCTCCTATTTCAAGCTAAAAATTTCAAATTAGGATTAATGGCCATTATCCCAATGAAGCATAGCTAAATTTATGACTAGATAGAAAATATGTCTATTTGTTGAAAATTTACATATCAGCTTTCTTTTCATAAATTACAAATGCACAAAGTTGGATTTCCCCCCAAATTCAGTGAAAACGGGTATGAATTTCCATTGGGTTTTATGTAGAGCATGTGTGGACAAACAAAAACTTTTAACATTACACATGTTTGTTTTAAAAAATTACCTATCTGACTTTAGTTTGTCAAACCTTGCACTCCTTGTCATTAATATGGTGAAACAAGAAGATTTGTCAACTTTCACCAAAATCTCTATTTTTGTCCAGAAAAGCTCAACAAAAATAGTTCTATTTCACTTTCTTACATGTCTATTCATCAAATTGAAATAATCTTTATCTTGAATGATGTACAAGATATATGATGGCAAAAAGACCCCTTAAAGATATATCCTACATTCATATTTGCTAGCTTTGTTTCATGAGCTATATGTATACACTAGTGTGTTTCCATGTGCTTCAGGTGTGTGCTTCTATTTTTCGATCAGTTTTGGAGTTTGCATTTGTTAGTTCCTTCTTATTGGTGACCCACAACTTCTTTTTTTCATATTTACTAATGTTTGTTATGTAACAAATGCAATTTAGATATGGTTTTTTATCATATCGGTTCAAGTGCGAGACTCATGTCTTATTTTTAAGGTTCTTTCTTTTTGACAGTTTATTCCAGAAATACATATATTTATATAGAACTACTGAGGAAAGATTTCAAAAGCTTTTTATTGTCACAATTATAAGACTGTGAAACTTATTCTGACAATACCAAATTTTGCCAATTTGACATTTTAATTTTGAATTACACATTGCTGAGCAAGGTCTTTAAAATATAAAATCAACAATAATACAGTATCACACATTGACTTACCATTGCCTGGTGTAGTTGTGTTACTTATAGTTGGCACTGGTGCTGGAAATATAAAATGATATTTCTAATTGACTGTTTCAGATTCTAAAGGACTATGGGTAATTTCATTGTTTGTACCTCAAAATGAAAATAACGTCACGTCATTGGTTGAATTACCATTATATATAATGTTATTGTAGGTCAAAAATGTCTTCATACTATATATTCAACTTGAAAATTCTACTTTCTCAATTGCAGGAATATTGAACCTTTCTCAAAGCTGTGGAAAACATATACATAAAATTGGTGTTTAAGTTCCTTTATTTGTGAATTTCTAGTTCTATTGATTGTGGTGTTTCCAAAATAATAGTTTTCTTTTTACAATTTATGTTAAAAATATCAAAGGAATATGGCTTGATGCATTTAAAATCGATGACTCTGGTGAACTACTTATATTCACAAAAATTACTACCCTATGGTATAAATTAAAGTACTATCACAGTTTAGTAAATACCTGGTGTTAGTGTTGTATTACTTGGTGGAGCCATTGTAGTGATGTTTCCTCCTGCACTTGTAGGTGTAGTACTCTGTGGTACAGACATCAAATCTATAAAAATTAAATATTACAAAAACATTAAATTGAGAACTTATTTTTTAAGTGTTTGAGCTTTTGATTTTGCCATTCAATAAGGGACTTTCTGTTTCGATTCTCCTTGGAGTTCGGTATTTTTGCTATTTACTTTTTAGCTAGCTAATGGTAATTTTTTTATCAAAAGATATGGATAAGGAAATTTGACGAATCTTTGTAAAATAAATTCAAATTTGACACTTTGGTGGTGGTCTGCTACTTAATAAAATTTATCATTATTAAATAAGGTTTGATGTTTTTTCTATCAATTGTTTTTGGCATCTCAACAGGCACGGCAAATGTATACACTTAAAAATTGTAATGAGTACTCTTTTACACAAGAGAAATAATGAGATGCATGTCTGAGGGTCTGGATGGGGGTCCCTAATTTCTTTATTCTTTAATTTTAAGACAATTTTTCTCTATTCTTTATTTATTTTGCCCAATATTCACTATTCTTTATATTTTAACACTCTTTTATTCTCTATTCCTAATTTTTTTGACTATTTTTCTTTACTTTTTTTTTGTTTTGCCCTAAAGTTATTCTGCCCTTGTATGGACAAAAGTAAACCTGATATATGAGCTTGATCAAAGATTGAAAAAGATGAACAATACCAGACAGAGTCCCAACTAGCCCATAATGGAGGGGCACAGCTCCCGGCTCACTTCTTTTGTTCACCCCTTTGCAAAATAGTGCATTTTTTGTTTCTGAAGGAAAGACTACTTGTCAATTAATGCAAATCAATAATACCAACTCCCAAAAATACATCAAATCTAGCAAAAACACATTTATTTATTCAACTATATCGATTTTTTATCTATAAACATGATCGAGAAACTGTCTTTCAACTGTAACCTTCTGCACTAAAATCTGTATTATTTTTTATTATTGTATATTCACTTCATGTTACACATATATGTGTCTGAGCGTTGCATTATAATAAAATCTTGAAATCTTGAAAATCATAGCTAGAACATTGCCAGGTACAAAATGTTGACTGAATTTTCGCAGAATCTCAGCAACTGGTTGAGGATAAGTTTTAGTCTACAAAGATTGAAGACAGCAAAAAACTCTTTGTGAAATTAAGATGCACTAACCTTTAATATGCATATGACTTTGGTCTACGTTAATTACATCTGACAAAATATATCCCACCATCTTGCTATCCATCGTCATCATAGAACCATCTGACATCATAGCGTAACGAGCTTTAAACTCTAGGTCAAACATTATCATAACATTGCCACTGAATTCACTGCAAAATAAATTAAAGAAACTTAGTAAATTAAGGCTACAGTACTAGTTGTATACTGATGTTCAAATCTTGTAAATCGATAGAAAGAGACAAATCAAGGTAACAAACAGAAATTGATGGAATCGCATCAACTCCAAACTTTTTTTTAATAATTTTTATAAACCCCCAACTTAAACAAAAAATCAGCTATAGTTAGTGTGCACCTTTACATAGGAGGTGTCACGAAATAGAAGTTCCTTCATAATTTAAGTTCAAAATTGAAGAAATATTCTAGAATATTATTTCCACAGGAATAAATATTACAGTATATGTTCCTAACGGAATAAATGGTATAGAATATTTGTTCCAACAGGAAAAGATATTATGACACTGTTTATAACAAAGTTCTAATGGAATTTCTGTTAGGCGGAACAAATATATGTTCACAGAGGAATATAAAGAGAAAGAATAATTTTCTGTTTACATTCTGTGGCATCCTAGGAAGAGTACAAAAAATTAGATAATGGATTTAAAGTGACAATAAAAATTAATGGTTAAAACAGTTAAATGACTTGTATCTCTCCAACAGATATATATAAAGAGGTCCAAAAACTTCAAATGGTTTTAAAATGAATTTAATAGGATAATTGATATTTGCAAGCGACAAATTTTATAAATCAGGACATAAAATTGTATGTCAAGCTTGACTGGCTTCAATCTTTCTGAGGTACAATTAACGAGATAATTAATGAATTGTTTTTACCTTTCAATCAAAAGAGTGTCATAATTATGTTTGATAAATCATTTGTTCTGATTTTCAGAGGAAAATTTAGCATTTCAGACATTAGAAGTATCATGGCTCTAGAATACAGGTGAAAACAGGTAGTTTGATAAAATTTTGGGTTATTTGATGACCCAGAAATCTTATTAAAAAATCTTACGTGAGCTGGTAAATTCAAGGGTCAGTTGACAGGTATATAGATATAGGAAGATGTGGTATGAGTGCCAATGAGACAACTCTCCATCCAAGTTACAATTTATAAAAGTAAACCATTATAGATCAAGGTACAGCCTTCAACACGGAGCATTGGCTCACACCGAACAGCAAGCTATAAAGGGCCCCAAAAAATTACTATTGTAAAACCATTCAAACGGAAAAACCAACATTATAATCTATATAAAAACGAGAAACGAGAAACACATATGAACTACATAAACAGACGACAACTACTGTAATCAGATTCCTGACTTAGGATTAAACGCTTAAATGGTACCAAACCTTCTCCCTTTTCTGAAACAATAGTATAACATCACAACATAGAAAAACACACTATAAAATATCAATTGGAAGGCTTAACTCAATCAAAAAACATAAATTAACACACAATGAACGAATAAATTTGACCTGTGACACCTGAATGCAAATACACAGTTAATAAAAAATTACAAGGGATAAATAATTAAAGTCAAAAGTAAACAAGAAATGATTGTAACAGGATGCTGTTACGAAGTCTCCCAAACGAAGCTCCCATAATTCGTAATTCCCAGGGTCGCCTGACATTGGGCAACGTCCAGTGAAAATTGGTTTGGTCCAGTAAAGTTATATGCATTAGTGATGCCTGGGGACTAACCCTGTATATCATTCAAATGATCTTGGCATGACAAACCAGAATATATATGGTTTAGGGGTGGGGATCTCAACCATTTACAAGATATTAGAACTTTCTCAAATGGCAGGGGGTCGGGATGACCCCTGGGGACTAACCCTGTATATCATTCAAACCATCTTAGCATGACAATCTAGAATATATATGGTTTAGGGGTGGGGATCTTGACCACTTAGAAGATATTAGAACTTTCTTAAATGGTATGGGGTGGGGGTGACCCCTGGGGACTAACCCTGTATTACATTTGATGTGCTTTATCATGACAAACCAGAATATATATGGTTTAGGGGTGGGGATCTCGACCATTTACAAGATATTAGAACTTTCTAAAATGGCAGGGGGTCGGGATGACCCCTGGGGACTAACCCTGTATATCATTCAAACCATCTTAGCATGACAAACCAGAATATATATGGTTTAGGGGTGGGGATCTTGACCACTTAGAAGATATTAGAACTTTCTTAAATGTCATGGGGTGGGGGTGACCCCTGGGGACTAACCCTGTATTACATTTGATGTGCTTTATCATGACAAACCAGAATATATATGGTTTAGGGGTGGGGATCTCGACCATTTACAAGATATTAGAACTTTCTAAAATGGCAGGGGGTCGGGATGACCCCTGGGGACTAACCCTGTATATCATTCAAACCATCTTAGCATGACCAACCAAAATATATATGGTTTAGGGGTGGGGATCTTGACCACTTACAAGGTATTAGAACTTTCTTAAATGGCAGGGGGTGGATGTGACCCCTTGGGACTAACCCTGTATTACATTTGATGTGCTTTATCATGACAAACCAGAATATATATGGTTTAGGGGTGGGGATCTCAACCATTTACAAGATATTAGAACTTTCTCAAATGGCAGGGGGTCGGGATGACCCCTGGGGACTAACCCTGCATATCATTCAAACCATCTTAGCATGACAAACCAAAATATATATGGTTTAGGGGTGGGGATCTTGACCACTTACAAGGTATTAGAACTTTCTTAAATGGCAGGGGGTGGGGGTGACCCCTGGGGACTAACCCTGTATTTCATTTAATGGGCTTTATCATTTAGAACATTTTCAATTAAAAAGATTGTGTCTATCACAAACGGTTTTCAATTTATAATCATTTGAAAATTTAAAAAAATAAAATCCCAGAGGGTTCTATAGTAAAACCCTCTTTTCTTTTTGTCCCTCAAAGTACCCCTTTATAAACCCCATTGCACAAACAAAACCCTGATTGCACCACTAGACATGTTAGTCTAACATATTGTGAAACCCTAAGTTAATCTGAAAAGCGGTTTTGGAGAACAGGTGCGGACAAGTTCAAATTTAAAAGCGGCGGAAGAAGAAGAAGAAGAAGAAGAAGAAGAAGAAGAAGAAGAAGAATAATAATAAGAACTGAGCAAGCAAAAACAATAAGTCTTCCCAAACTTCGTTTGGGAGACTTAATAAACAGGTTTAAACAAAGTTAAAGTATGATATCACTGTGAAATTTCAAACAATTTATAGAAAATCATCACTTTTGAATATGTATAAACTTTCAATTTGATGGTTAAAAATACCTTTACTGGCTTTACTGACACTTCTCCAGTTATTCAATTATTAAATACGAAAACGACCAATTGATGTCCCCAAATGTGCTAAAACATTACTGTTATCTCCTAAATATTGCAACTGTCATAAATCTGTGAAACAAGAAAAGGACTATAGTCTACACAATACCTGATTTTATGAAGGTGAAAACCATTATAAATCTGTGACACAGGCATAGATCTGGACATGGACGTTGAATTACCCATTGATGACATGTATTGCTGCATATGAACTTCCATCTAAAATTGAAAAGAAAATTTAATAAGAAACAAGAGGCTCATGAGAGCCTGGTATTGCTCACCTGGCTGTAATTTCAATTTCAGGCATTTGACTTATTAGTAGATCTTACTTTGCTGAACAATTTTGTCATTTACACTTTCTCTCTTTCTATAAGAATATTAAAGATAATACATAACCCAAAACTGTAAAATCTCATAAAAATCAACTATTTCTGGACAGTAACCCAACAATAAGTTGTCATATTAGTCTGAAGATTACTTGACAAGGTAGATCTAAACCTGTTTAACACTTTCATCTTTGTCAGTTTTGCTCTTACTGCTTTAGTTTTTGAGATGAAAGCCCAAAACTTCATTTGACCCCCATGTTCTATTTTTAGAAACTGCCGCCATGTTTTTGAAAGGATCAAATCCCTGAATACAATCTATAAACTAGATACCCTATGGAACATTGAATTAAAGTTTTTAAGTATTTGGCAAAGTAGTTTCAGAGAAGAAGATGTTTAAATGTAAACAAACATGATCAACAACTTGTGTAAAATTGTCTTTAAAGGGCAATAACTCCTTAAGGGGTCAATTGATAATTTTGGTCATAAAACTTTTTTGTAGATCTAAGTTTGTTGAACATTTTTATCTTTATCTCCAAAAATATTCAAGATAATAACCAAAAACTGCAAAATTTCCTTAAAATTACCAATTTAGTGGCAGTAACCCAACAATGGGTTGATTGATTCGTCTGAAAATTTCAGGGCTGATAGATCTTGACCTATTGAACATTTTTACCCCCGTGTCAGGTTTGTGCTAAATGCTTAAGGTTTTAAGATATAAGCCAAAAACTGCATTTGACCCCTATGTTCTATTTTTGCCATGGCGGCAATGTTTGTTGATGGATCAAAACTTCGGATATAATTTATAAACTAGATACACTAAGGAACATTCAGTTAAAGTTTAAAGGTATTTGGCCCAGAAGTTTCAGAGGAGAAGATTCTTGAAATAGTTTACGTCGACGACAACAGACGAAAACGACCACAGAGGCCAAGTGATGGCATAAGCTCACATGGAGCCCTTTGGGCCAGGTAAGCTAAAAAACAACTTATTATATTTCATTACTTTTAAAAACAAGGAATATTCGAACTTTGAGATCGAAATAACTCTGCTGATGAAAATATAACAGTGTCCTGATACAGTTAACCCAGCGATTTCTTTGTTTATAAGACTTTCAAGAGTAGAAAAAATAAAATGATTATAAACCTTTGTGAACATGTTTACTTGTAAAGAATTAGTATCAAAATGTTTAAAAGAGGTTATAAATCTGACACAAACTGTAAGTTAATTTTTTATAATATGAGTATTTTTGTAAATTTATGGAATAATTTCTGCTGATATTTATAGAATAACTAATCGAAGAATTCAATAGAGAAAAATATTCAACGATTGACCAAACAACACATTAATTCACGAATGCGCGTAGCGCATGAGTTAATTATTAGTGTTGTTCGGTCACATGTTGAATATTTTTCGATATTTGAATTCTTTGATTAGTTATTCTTTTTATTACATTGGCAAATGGCTTTTTTATGAAATTAAAGAAGAAAATGTAATGAACTATATCTTTTTTTACTCATTCACAATTTGTTTTGATTTGACGTTATTGACGTCTTGACAATGCCTATTGTTGTATGACGTCAGAGGAGTGAAATAACCACGTTTATTTCACATGTGAAATTATCGCTTTTTATTTCACTGGGAAATCAATGTAATTCATTGCAACCAATGTAATAAAGTAGTCTATTTGCAAACTCAGTAATGAACCCTTAGACCTCTAATAAGATAGTCTTTTGTAAGAGTTGTTTCCCTTATCAGGCCCGTAGCCAGGGGGGTTTGAGAGGTTTCTACACCCCCACCCCCTTTGAAAACAAATAAGCACTACTGAAGTTGACGTTCAGTTAGAATTGTGACTAATAAAGGTGAGATTTTATTTTTCTCGAGTCGATTTAATCCCTCCTTGAAAATTCCTGGTTTCAAGGCCTATTAATGAAGAACCAGTTATGAGGGACATACATTTTCAAGAAGAGCTAGCAGACAGAGAAAAGGAGTAGGCCCAGTAAGACCCCCTTTTGGCCCAAAAATATAGCAGTTTTACAAAATTGTTAAAATGTAAATTTTTAGCTATTTATTGGAAAGAAGAATACTTCTGTTACATAAATATGGGCTGTTTTTGACAATACAATGCACATGTATCGGGTACTAGCATCATTAAGTCATGCTAAATTACTGAAATCTTCGAAATTTTAGCATTTTGGTTAATTTTTAGATGGTTTCCGTCTGAAATGGAAGTGGCCGCATTTGTGTTCATTCTTAATATTTAAATGTAAGTTGTATTTGATCATGTTGATGATAATACATAACATATATAAAGGTTGAGAATGAACACGGATGCGGCCACTTTCATTTTTGACAAAAACCATCTGAAAAGTGACATATGGCATATCTGATAGATTTTTCATATTAAAGCTTGAAATTGAGCGTCTTTAATGACTAAATCAGTTCAAATCTTTTACATAAACTAATTGAATCGACTGAAGTAGACATGCACTTAAGTGTTTAAAAAGTGTCCAATATCTTTCATCAGATGAACTTGAATTTTGAGGCCAAATTCGGCCCTTACCGGACCTACTCCTTTGTCTTTGCTTAATGTGTGTAATCTTTAAGTTTTCAATTTCTTTAATTACATTTAATCTTTGTTTAAGCTTAAGACTTATGATATCAATAGTTATTTTTCATTGAAAATTAGTTACTTAAAAGGTAAAAGAACAAAAATACATAACTCCAAGGAAAATTCAAAACGGAAAGTCCCTTTTTAAATGGCAAAATCAAAAGCTCAAACACATCAAACAATTGGAAAACAAGTTTCATATTCCTGACTTGGTACAGGCCTTTCCTTATTTAGAGAATGGTTTTATAGCTAAAACTAAACATCTAAATATAAATTTCAACTTATCATCTTTGTATGGGGCAGCATTCTATTTAGTTCAGCTCATGGTCTTTAATTGGCAAAGGGAAACAACCTATGTTAAAAGTGTGCAATAACAGAATCAAATCGTTAATTGGAAAATAGACTTATGGGTTGTGTTCAATGTATAAGGATGTGCAGTGACCTATAGTTGTTATTTTCTGTGTCATTTGGTCTCTTGTGGAGAGTTGCCTCATGGGCATTCACACCACATCTTCTTATTTTTATATTGGGGTTTTATTATGAAAAAAAATGGAAAAGAAGTCAGGCTTTCCGGACCATATATTGTTTGTTATTGTTAATCTTTTGGGTGTTTTTGGTGGAGTCGGTGGTTTATGCGGTCTGTTGTACTAGCTGTGTAGTATTTAAGGGATTCCTATTATCCTTTTTTAAGTATTTATGACCTAAGTGGTTGTAAAAATTGACATTATTTTTGCATTTGTTTCAAACATCATTGAGAATTCAGCATTATATTGAGAATAGTATTCATAAATACCTGTTGTATTTCCAACATTAACAGTTGATACTCAAGTGAACTGGTATCATTGTAGGCAGGGATCCAGGTCATATTGATCATCAAAAGTTGTACAGAGAAAATCACTGTGCCATTGGGAACAGAGCTTGAGGTAGTTGTAGAAATGTTATGTGGTTGCCAGAATGTTGTGTTAGGCATGGCTGTGGTTGTATTGGGTGTTGAAAAGTTGACAGATTTGGTTGTTGAAGACATGTTATGTGGTTGCCAGAATGTTGTGTTAGGTATGGCTGTGGTTGTATTGGGTGTTGAAAAGTTGACAGATTTGGTTGTTGAAGACATATTATGTGGTTGCCAGAATGTTGTGTTAGGCATGGCTGTGGTTGTATTGGGTGTTGAAAAGTTGACAGATTTGGTTGTTGAAGACACATTATGTGGTTGCCAGAATGTTGTGTTAGGTATGGCTGTGGTTGTATTGGGCGTTGAAAAGTTGACAGATTTGGTTGTTGAAGACATGTTATGTGGTTGCCAGAATGTTGTGTTAGGCATAACTGTTGTTGTATTGGGTGTTGAAAAGTTGACAGATTTGGTTGTTGAAGAAATGTTATGCGGTTGAGAGAATGTTGTGTTAGGCTTGGCTGTTGTTGTATTTGGTGTCGAATCCTTTACAACTGTTGTTGTTGTCATTGGTGTTAAGTCTGGAAAAAAGCACAAGTAATTGTAAAATAGTAAATACATGTTTTTTCATTAGTTTATTTTGAAAAACATCACAATGAAAGAAACAAATCTATGTCTTACAGTTTGTAAAAGTATAAATATCCTTTATCATAACATATCTTTATTGAGCCTTTACAAAACAAGTGATACCCTCGCCCAAATACTTGAAGGAAGTTGTTAAGTGATGAATCTGAAAACGCATGACATGGTATAGCTGACTTATATAAACCATGAAACCAAATTTCAGAAATCCTTATGATGTAGTTCCTGAGAAAAATGAGATGAAAAATATTCATGGGATGGACGGACAGACATCTAGGTAAAACAGAGTATATCCCCCTTTTTTTAAAGCAGGGGTATAATTATGCCAAATTAAAGTGAATGACTTAAAACTTAAATCTAAAGTGTTTGTATTGTTTTGAATAAGAAGCATCTGAAAGATATTTGTATAATTATATTTCATTCACTTTGCATTGAAAAACCCATTTATCAAAGTTTAAATGATATGTTTAGTTAATCATAGTTATGGTGTCAATACACATCTGTTATCAGCCATCTTTACCCCTTTTTAAGTACCTTTACATTTTGAATCATAATAAATAAAGGTTTCAACTTTCGAGATATAGGGGGAGGAGAGGGAGGGGGCAGGTTGGTAGGGTATGGGTGGAAGATTGGAGCCTTGCATATTTTTTTTCAATTTGGAAATTCCTTTATGAGGGGCAGGGAGGTGAAAACCTCAATTTATCCTTAATCCCCTATCATTTGATTACTAGTATCAGCAGAAGACTCACGTGTAAAAATTGACCAAATATGTCAAGAACCAGGTACTGCAAGTTACTTCAAAAAATAAAATCATACATTTATATACTGCTTTAAAGCAGATAACATGTACAGAATTTACCTAAATCAAGACCCTCCAAAGGTGACTAGGGAATAGGAATATGGTCACTTAGGTCTTCTTCCGACCAGCAGTGAAACCCTAGCCAAAGTTGGGCGTCCGTTTGGCTGTGTGGGATGTACACGGCAAATTTTTCGTCCTTATCCAATATTCCCTCAGTTCCGGTGGCAGTCTTTTTTCCCCTGACCATCATCCCGGACTGCCTATATTACCGGACCTAACTATTGTATTTATTGTTAATTTGTTCTCATCCTGAACATGCATGAAATATTTGCCACTGAACATTAAGCCAACATAAATCAGAAACCTTCAATGCTACAAGTTAAAACTAACAAAGGCGGCTAAACATGTACCTGTATGTTACAACTCTTCATCCCTTCTTCTCTGAAGATGAGACAATTTCTTTAATGGTCTTCAAAAAGTATTTATATTTATTGAGGTGTCGAACGACCTTATTTAGGAATTAAGAGATTAAGTCATTTAATTCGCGGGAATTCAGGAATAGCGAGTCAAATCGGGAATTAGGGAATTAAGGATTTAATTATATCATGATGTGTATGGTGATAGACACATTATTTTCACAGGAATTTAGGATTTGGTATTTATTTTTCTAGGAATTCCAAATGAGACCCCCTCCTACCCCCTTTTTATTCTTTATATGTTCAAAATGATACATCAACCAGATAATTATAATACCTATTGAATGTATGTATTGTACACATTAAACAAACCTGTTATGATACAATCATCTCTATCTATTTTTAGACCAGCTGATACAATGTCTTTGATGGCTAACCAGTCCAACATCACTTGAGTTCCATTTGATTTCTCAGCATAACGACCTTTGAACTCCAGATTAAACATTATTTCAACATTTCCATTCAATGGACTGAAATATCAAAAATTTTGTTTTAATATCAGACTTTAATCAAAGTATTCAGAGCATTAATTGTTTCTTAAATAGTCTTATTGTAAGGCATCTTTGCTAGCCAAGGGTTTTGATCCACAACTTCTAGTGGTTAGATCATAACCCTTGGCTAGCAAAGATAATTGTAAGGATTTGTTTATTTTTCATAAAAGACTGAATATAACTAAACGTTTTCTGACTTTTCTATTGTCAAGAACCCTTTCATGGTTTATACATTTTTTCAAACAAGGTTCAGTATATATAAAAGAACTTTTCCTAGTCTAACTACATTCCCACCTAAATAACAGTAGAAATACTTACCGGACACCTTTGAAGACAAGTCGATACAAGATTTGTGCTATTGGTGATGTTTCAGACATTGAAGGTGAACTATCCATAGATAACATTTTTTGTCTCAGGTTGGCCTCCATCTACAGAACAGATTAACATGTTATTAGTAACCATCATGTACAAATTATATATGAGTCCTTTTCTAAGATAGGTATCATTTATTATGTTGTATAAATGTAATTGACTTTTACAAGGCAAATTATTGATAATCGTTTACATAAATCTATGAATTTTTTCTTTCTTTCAGTTCTCTCCTTTATATTCTTTCAATCAAGTTATTTTTTTCCTCAGTATTAATTGTTCTTTCGTAATTTCTAATTTGTTTATTGTAATAGTTAAATAGGAAATAAACTGTTAAACACAGAGATATGTCTCATCTTTTTGTTATTTTGATAGTAAAATGCAAATGTTAAAATTAAAATAGCAATACTTTAACATGTACAAATGTAAGCTATTTTTTATATATATTTTATATTTATATATATTTGCATATCAGAAAATGAGAAACTAATATATTGTTGACTCTGCTGCCGACGATGGAAACAGCATACCTATGTCTCGCTTTTTGACTCTGTCAAGGCGAGAATAAAATTACACTTAAATATTTGTATAGAAATAATGATCTCTCAGTAATGAACTAACATAAAATATTTCATAATAACCATTAAAAACTATACACATTAATGAGTTTAACAGTAAAAATTTCATCAAAATTAGACCTCTAATTAGTTTTTGACAATGTTTAAAAAAAATGACTTTTCATATGAAATATATGTTTAGTATTAATTGTAGTGAGATTGTTTAAATGTTATTTTTGTTTGTTTTTATGCTATTATTGACTTATGTTCATAATTGAGCTTTCTTTAATAAAATATTTCGTATATAGGGGAAATTTGGAGTACTTTTGACTTAACGACTGTACAACAATAAATTGTAAAATATATAAAAGTGTGAAAGTTAATGGACCATAGCTGTAAGGGTGTGGCAGATTTAAACATCAAAGTGAGATATACTGATGTTATAATGCATATGTATAGCAAATAATCTACATTTTTCTTGAAATGTTTCTGTTAAAATGACCTATTTAAAAGCTTTTAAAATTTTAACGTTCATTGACACTGACTTTTTAAAGTCAAGGAAATTGAAGAAAGGAGAGCTTAGTAACATACACGGAAATGATAATGTTTAACAGTATTCATTCTAACTCTAATGCAGCGTTAATTCTAATTGCATCCACTTAAACTGTTTAAAAATTCTTAAACTGAAATTTATTAACAAAAATTAAGTAATCATAAAAAATGCTATTAAATTTTATCAAACTTTTGACACAATTTCAGCAGTTGGGCTAATTCTATTCTTCATTTTTTGCTATTAATTATAATGAATGCCAAGGAAAGGAAAAAAATAACATATAATAAACGGAATGTTCCAATGTCCACTGTGTTGCACATATTTTATCTTTTCAACATGTTCAAGGGCTATAAAATAACTTGTTTTTTGTTCTTTAAAACTTTTGATAAATATCATAGAGAAATAAAGGCTTGAGACCAAATGCAATGCAATTTCCAATATATTTAATATATTCAAGGGGTATAACCCTTTTCAAAATAATTGATTGTCACTTATTTTCAAACTTGTCTGTGACATTGCTGGTATAAACTTTTGATATAAATTTGATAAAAATCTGACATTAATTGTACACATGAGAGCGCTTTTTACAATGCAATTTTCCATATGATTAATATTTCTAAGGTTCATAACTCTTTTAAAAATAATTGATCGGCACTGATTCACGAACTTGTCCAAGATATTTCCTGAATTTCTATGTCTCCAGCAACATGTCGTACGGGAAACAATAAAAATATTATGGGGGATCTCTGAAAAAATTAGGGCTGGGGAATGAGAATTAAGGAATTATTTGTTTAATCCGTCAGAAACACAATGTTTAACAAAACTGTTTTGATTATAGTAATTCATCTATACTAATTGCAGGGTTCTCACTAAGATGAGTCTATGAGTCCTGGACTTACCATTTTCTAAACTGGTGAGTCCGAAGTTGCATCAAGAGAGAATCAGCTGAGTCTAGTTTCATCATTTTATAGCAAAATTTTCAAATTAATCTAATTTTGATTTTAATCCCTTCTTCTATTTAGTAAATAATATATATTAACACATTGTTTTTCACTTGTCAGAGCCAAAAATGTTAACACAGAGTTCCTGGACTTGCCTACAAAAATCATAAGTGAGAACTCTGTAATAGTTAATATGAGATATTGGTTACAAATTCAAAATCCATAGTAAAAAGTTCAAAATACCTGGTTAACAGTTTGAAGCATGTTTTGATACTCTGCTGAACCAGTGTCATTGTAGGCAGGAATCCAGGTCATGTTTCTCATGAGAACTTGTACATAGAACACAACAAGAGATTCAATGGAAACAGTAGTCATTGTGGTAGGAGGTGTTGTAGTAGTTGGTGAGGTTGTTGTGGTAGTAGTCGGCATTGTGGTAGTAGGCATTGTGGTTGTAGGTGTTGTAGTAGTAGGTGCTGTGGTAGTTGGTGTTGTTGTAGTCGGTGTTGTGGTAGTTGGTGCTGTGGTAGTTGATGTTGTTGTAGTCGGCACTGTAGTTGTTGGTGTTGTTGTAGTCGGTGTTGTGGTAGTTGATGTTGCTGTAGTCGGTGTTGTGGTAGTTGGTGCTGTGGTAGTTGATGTTGTTGTAGTCGGCACTGTAGTTGTTGGTGTTGTTGTAGTCGGTGTTGTGGTAGTTGGTGTTGTCGTTGTTGGTGTTGTTGTAGTTGGTGCTGTGGTAGTTGGTGTTGTTGTAGTCAGTGTTGTGGTAGTTGGTGCTGTGGTAGTTGATGTTGTTGTAGTCGGCACTGTAGTAGTTGGTGTTGTTGTAGTCGGTGTTGTGGTAGTTGATGTTGTTGTAGTCGGTGTTGTGGTAGTTGGTGCTGTGGTAGTTGATGTTGTTGTAGTCGGCACTGTAGTAGTTGGTGTTGTTGTAGTCAGTGTTGTGGTAGTTGGTGTTGTGGTAGTAGGTGTTGTTGTAGTAGTTGGTTTTGTTGCTTGTGATGTTGTTATTGATGTTGTTATTGATGTTGTTGTGGCTGGTGGTGTGATATCTAAAAGTAATAAAAACACATATAAATTCATTTCACCAGGCAACTGATGTAATTATCATTAAATATTTAAGTTGTAAAGTTCAATCCTATATATATCATGATGATAAATGCATCTCATTTGCATATCTCAGTGCCAGTATTATGTGGATAGTATTTATTAAAAAGAGAATGCTCTCCATGGGTTATACAAAAATATTGTATTTGGGAAAGGTGACGTAGTCTTCCTGCAGACTTTTATCTTGTGAACTAGCAATATATATTAAAAGTTTTCTATTAAAATACTACTGAAATTAAATGTTAACTTGTGTCAGATTTTTTTTTTACTATTAAAGTGAAAATAGCCTAAATTAGACTATTTCAAAAATTTCCCAACAACCACGAGGATGATGATTGTAGCCGTATATTTAATGTGTTAGTTCAAATGTTAACAGTCTGCAGGAAGACATGTCAACCTACCCAAACACATTATTCTGATCCTGAGCCTACCAGTCTTTGCTCTAACTCATTAAAGCTGTTTGCTTAGTAGTGTAGCAACATATACCAATCTCAAAGCCTTTTATTTGACCCCAACAGGGATCGATTTTACCCACAACCACCCGCACTCAAGGCAAGCATGTTACAACAAGACCGACGAGGCAGTTCTAAGTAAAAAGTACTCTCAAACTCTGCAATAAAATAATTACCAGCAAATGATACTGTATTTGTGTCAATATCAAAAACTTCATTGTACTCATCAACAACACCATTCTGAACACTTTCAACAAATGTGTCAGCAATTTTTTTGTTATCCAGCTTCACAACAGGTGGCGCTGCTGTTGAAACATCTTCTTTGACTACTGCAGGGTTCTTGAAGATGATATCAATAATTGCTTCGGTACTACCTTGTCTGTATAAAAATAATGATAATATACTTCCTTTGTTGTAAAAAATATATATGTATGTATTGTATTCATACACTTTTTGAGCTTGCATGCAGTTGTACTGTGGATTAATTTTATAATTCATGGGATAGTTCCTTTGTTGTTCAAAAATATATCTTTTTACCATATTTATTAAATTTTGAGCTTGCATGATAGCATACTGTGGATTCATTATCATTCACGGAAAACTATTTTTTATGGATCTTGTCAGTGAAGGTGAACCATGATTTAAGTGTTCAACAAAGTACACACTTTCCAAAGGTTTGTATGCAGACTAATCTGTTGTTCAGTAGTTGTCGTTTGTTGATGTGGTTCATAAGTGTTTCTCGTTTTTTATATAGATTAGACCGTTGGTTTTCCTGTTTGAATGGTTTTACACTAGTAATTTTTGGGGCCCTTTATAGCTTGCTATTCGGTGTGAGTCAAGGCTCCGTGTTGAAGACCGTACTTTGACCTCTAATGGCTTATTTTTATAAATTTTGACTTGGATGGAGAGTTATCTCATTAGCACTCATACCACATCTTCTTATAACTAATCAGGATGCAAAACCACAAAATCAAATATCCACACACAAAAAACAATTTTTCCTCAATCCATGAAAATAAATGAAACACAGTTACAGTACCTGCTGATGTTTATATATGATACAAGTGTTGTTTGTACTTATATCAGTACCATATATATATGCATATTCAATGTTAAATAAAAAGGTGAGTTTTCATAGTAAGATGCTGTCTACAAAAATTAAAAGCAAACTTAGTAGCAGGTGCACAGCTTTATGTCTATTATAAGAATCTGTGCAAGTTTAGTGGAATTCAGTCAAGCTGTTTTCAATAATTTGCAGATTAAGAAAGTTTGACAGGGGAATGCTGCAGATGATGCACAAAATGACAGAACTCATCCCATTCTTACATTTCAGCTGACTGGCACGACACAGTAAGACATGCATAGCTTCATATATAGCAGTATGCAATATATCTTTACCATCAATAGAAAAGTATATCACAGCCACGAACATTGTAAAAGAAAGATTGAAAATAATTTCACAATGGTTATAATATTTCTAAATGAAAGACCATTGGCCAAGTGAAAAAAATTTGTTTTTGCTTCATAAAGTTGTAAAGATTAGAGCACAACTTAATTTTCCCCAGGAAATCTTTTATTCTACAATGACCAGGCTTGTACTTACATGAGCAACACGATGGGTGCCACATGTGGAGCATGATCTGCTTACCCTTCCGGAGCACCTGAGATCAACCCTAGTTTTTGGTAGGGTTTGTGTTGTTCAGTCTTTAGTTTTCTATGTTGTGTTTTGTGTATTGCTGGTTGTCTGTCTTTTTCTTTTTTAGTCATGTCATTGTCAGTTTATTTTTGACTTATGAGTTTGAATGTCCTTTCACCTCTCTTTTGACATTTCATACATTGCAATTAATAATATTACCTGAAGCCTTCTACCTCATTTCTTATATATATATCTTTCAGCTCACTAGACTGGTAGACTTTGTCTATCTGTAAAAATACATAAGGATAACTTAGCATTTTTTTTTAACTATTTCACTTAGTAAACCAGTATTGGAAATCTCTGTCATTTTTTTTTATCATGTCATGGATAACACGAAGTATTGAATAATACTTACCACTGATTGAATACATAAGTATATCTCTGTGAAAAATTTCACCTTAAAAAAAAGAAGGTATCACTTGTCCCACCCGACTTCAGTTTCCGTTTCACGCACAATGTTTTGAATTTCACGTGTCACGCTTACAAAAAATTGGCCAATCCTATGTCACGCTTAGACCTCAATGAGACCCATTACCAAGGGGATGGATAATTCATAACTCATAAGTAATAAAGAAACTGACAATTAACCCCATTGGAAAAAACGAAAGACAAACAAGTCTACAAAGTCCTACATAGAAAACTAAAGACTGAGCAACAAGAACATCATCACAAACTGAGGAGAAAACTAAAAACTAAAGACTGAGCAACAAGAACATCATCAAAAACTGAGGAGAAAACTAAAAACTAAAGACTGAGCAACAAGTACTCCATCAAAAACTGAGGAGAAAACTAACTAGAGGCTCTAAAGAGCCTGTGTCGCTCACCTTGGTCTATGTGCATATTAGGCAAAGGACACAGATGGATTCATGACAAAATTTGGTTTTTGGTGATGGTGATGTGTTTGTAGATCTTACTTTACTGAACATTCTTGCTGCTTACAATTATCTCTATCTATAATGAACTTGGCCCAGTAGTTACAGTGGAAAATATTTTGTAAAAATTTACAAAAATTTACAAAATTTATGAAAATTGTAAAAAATTGACTATAAAGGGCAATAACTCCTTAAGGGGTCAATTGACAATTTTGGTCATGTTGACTTATTTGTAGATCTTACTTTGCTGTACATTATTGCTGTTTACAGTTTATCTCTATCTATAATAATATTCAAGATAATAACCAAAAGCTGCAAAATTTTCTTAAAATTACCAATTCAGGGGCAGCAACCCAACAACGTGTTGCTTGATTGGTCTGAAAATTTCAGGGCAGATAGATCTTGACCTAATGAACAATTATATTCTCGTCAGATTTGCTCTAAATGCTTTGGTTTCAGAGATATGAGCCAAAAACTGCATTTTACCCTATGTACTATTTTTTAGCCATGTTGGCCATCTTGGTTCGCGAGCGGGGTCATCGGACACATTTTTTAAACTAAATACCCTAATGATGATTGTGGACAAGTTTGGTTAAATTTGTCTTAGTAGTTTCAGAGGAGAAGATTTTTGTAAAAGATTACAAAAATTTACGAAAAATGGTTAAAAATTGACTATAAAGGGCAATAACTCCTTAAGGGGTCAACTGACCATTTTGGTCATGTTGACTTATTTGTAGATCTTACTTTTCTGAACAATATTGCTGTTTACAGTTTATCTCTATCTATAATAATATTCAAGATAATAACCAAAAACGGCAAAATTTCCTTAAAATAACCAATTCAGGGGCAGCAACCCAACAATGGGTTGTCCGATTCATCTGAAAATTTCAGGGCAGATAGATCTTGACCTGATTAACAATTTTACCCCGTCAGATTTGCTCTAAATGCTTTGGTTTCAGAGATATAAGCCAAAATCTACATTTTACCCCTAAATTCTATTTTTAGCCATGGCGGCCCTTTTGGTTGGTTGGCCGGGTCACCGGACATATTTTTTAAACCAGATACCCCAATGATGATTGTGGCCAAGTTTGGTTTAATTTGGCCAAGTAGTTTCAGAGGAGAAGCTTTTGTAAAAGTTAACGATGACGGACGACGACGGATGACTACTACGACTGACGACGGACGCCAAGTGATGAGAAAAGCTCACTTGGCCCTATGGGCCAGGTGAGCTAAAAACTAAAGACTGAGCAACAAGAACTCCATCAACAACTGAGGAAAAAACTAAAAACTAAAGATTGAGCAACAAGAACTTCATCAAAAACTGAGGAAAAAACTAAAAACTAAAGATTGAGCAACAAGAACATCATCAAAAACTGAGGAAAAAACTAAAAACTAAAGATTGAGCAACAAGAACATCATCAAAAACTGAGGAGAAAACTAAAAACTAAAGACTGAGCAACAAGAACATCATCAAAAACTGAGGAGAAAACTAAAAACTAAAGACTGAGCAACAAGAATCCCATAAAATATTGAGCCTGATCACAGATGTTAGGGAAGAATAAGCATATCCAGTAGTTCCCTCGTGCTAAAATTGTCACTATAAACTGGTCAACAGAATTTTTAAACAAAATCACTGAAAGAAGTCCTGATTGACAGCTGGAAGCCAATCAAAACTGTTAAATTATGCATTTAACATCCAACTGAGCATAAATTCAGGCCATCTTGAATATTTCCATACTTTTTTTACCGTAGACATTATTTATATCATATAGAAATTTTTATATTACAAAATGAAATTCATTAAATCACCACATTAAATAACTGGCAAATTCAATCTTCAAAGATTATAAGTTTCACTATATGGACCAAATTCAATGGCTAACCTATTATTGCTAATTCTTATTGTGGCATATAGTCATAATAGTTGATTATAACATTCTTATCTGAATTCAATAAAAGATATCTTTAAGTTCATACATGCACATGTACTTTAAATTCATGCATGTTCTTTACTTTCCATTAATTGAATTTTTAATCATCGTTAAAATACGGTCACAACTTTTTTTAAATGCACTGACACTGTAATTTCATTCAGCCTTTTCTTAAGGCAAACAGAAATTTGTTTTTAGAAAAAGTACTTTGATTTCCCTAACATCATGAACATGAGAAAACAAAATTTTGATACTGAATATTTAAATTTTTAAATCTCTAGTGTAATTGCTGGTTAACCTTATAAACATCATATAATACACAATATCAACACCTCAATTGACAGCTGTTTTTCACATCATCATTGTCTATCCCACCCATATATCCTCTGCAGAGACCTACACTATGCAACTTTAAATTTAGGGAGCTACCATTTGATTTTTATGGGGGTGGGGTAGGATGAATTTTGAAAAAAAAACAGGACAGGATTTTTGAGTAAAAAAAAAACACCAGGATGAGCAACTTGGAAAAAAAACTAGAGGCTCTCAAGACCCTGTGTCGCACACCTGTGTCTACTGTGGTTTTGGAAATCATGTATAAAATAAAGGTTAAAATCACAATAAATTTTATTAATAGTATTAGATACCTAATAATGAATGAGGCCAAGTTTGGTTTAATTTGGACCAGTAGTGAAATTAAAAGTAGGTTATCCCATTGTAGTCTTACAATAGTTACTGAAGACCCTTATCATTATTTAAATTAGTTTTTAAGTTGTGACCATTTGAAATTGTCTTTTTACAATTTTCCCATAGATTTCTATAGTAAACCCCTATGTTCTATTTTTAGCCATGGCAGCCATCTTGGTTGGATGGATCAGATACATTTTTCAATCAAGATACCCTATTGAAAATTGTAGCTAGGTTTAATTCTATTTGGCCCAGTAGATTAAGTGGAGAAGATTTTTGTTAAAGATAATAAAAATTTAAGACAAGAGTGCACACACTGAAATGTCTCGCCTTCAGCTCTTCTTTCCAGCCATTGATTTTATGTTGATAGTCCTAAATATAAAGCTTTACTACAAGTAACACATAAACTTAACATGATCCAAGAAAATGAGGTTAAGGTCAGATAAACCAAATGAGAAATACATGTACACCTTACAATCATTCAATAAACCAAACATAGTTGACCAATTGCTTATAGTTTCTAAGAAACAGTCTTAACCAAGAAAACTTAACATTGACCAATGAACAATGAAAATGAGGTCAAGGTCAGATGAACAATGCCAGACAGACATGTACACCTTACAATCGATTTATGCATTAAATATAGTTGACCTATTGCTTATAGTATCTAAGAAACAAACTTAACCATGAAAACTTAACATTGACCAATGAACCATGAAAATGAGGTCAAGGTCAGATGATACCTGCCAGACAGACATATACACCTTACAATCCTTCCATACAACAAATATAGTTGATCTATTGCTTATAGTTGAAGAAAAACAGACCAAAACACAAAAACTTAACACTGAGAAATGAACCGTGAAAATGAGGTCAAGGTCAAATAAAACCTGCGAGACTGACATGTACATCATAAAATATTTCCATACACCAAATATAGTTGACCTATTGCATATAGTATTAGAAAAAAAGACCAAAACTCAAAAACTTAACTTTGACCACTGAACCATGAAAATGAGGTCAAGATCAGATGACATCTACCAGTTGGATATGTACACCTTACAATCATTCCATATACCAAATATAGTAGACCTACTGCTTATATTATCTGATATATGGACTTGACCACGAAAACTTAACCTTGTTCACTGATCCATGAAATGAGGTCGAGGTCAAATGAAAATTGTCTGACGGGCATGAGGACCTTGCAAGGTACGCACATACTAAATATAGTTATCCTATTACTCATAATAAGAAAGAAATTAACATTACAAAAAATGTTGACTTTTTCTTCAAGTAGTCACTGAACCATGAAAATGAGGTCAAGGACAATGGACATATGACAGACAGAAACTTCGTTACATAAGGCATCTATATACAAAGTATGAAGTATCCAGGTCTTCTAGCTTCTAAAATATAAAGCTTTTAAGAAGTTAGCTAACACCGTCGCTGCCACCGGGGGATCACTATCCCTATGTCAAGCTTTCTGCAACAAAAGTCGCAGGCTCGACAAAAAATTGTTAAAAATTGACTATAAAGGGCAATAACTCCTCAAGGGGTCATTTGACAATTTTGGTCATATTGCAAATTTGTAGATCGTACTTTGCTGAACATTATTGCTGTTTACAGTTTATCTCTATCTATAATAATATTCAAGATAATAACCAAAACCCGCAAAATTTCCTTAAAATTACCAATTCAGGGGAAGCAACCCAACAACTGGTTGTCTGATTTGTCTGAAAATTTCAGAGCAGATAGATCTCAACCTGATGAACATTTATTTTCCCTGTCAGATTTGCTCTTAATGCTTTACTTTCAGAGATAAAAGCCAAAAACTGTATTTTACCCCCATGTTCTATTTTTAGCCATGGCGGCTATCTTGGTTGATGGGCGGGGTCATCGGATACATTTTTTAAACTAGATACCCTTAGGATGATTAAGGCCAAGTTTGGTTTAATTTGGCCCAGTAGTTTCAGAGGAGAAGATGTTTGTAAAAGATTACAAAAATTTACCAAAAATTGTGAAAAATTGATTTTAAAGGGCAATAACTCCTTATGACGTCAATTGACAATTTTGATCATGTTGACTTATTTGTAGACTTATAGTTTATCTCTATCTATTATATATTCAAGATAATAACCAAAAACTGCAAAATTTCCTTAAAATTACCAATTCTTGGGCAGCAACCCAACAACTTGCTGTCTGATGCATCTGAAAATTTCAATGCAGATAGATCTTCACCTGATGAACATTTTTACCCCCATGTCAGATTTGCTCTTATTGCTTTAGTTTCAGAGATATAAGCCAAAAACTGCATTTTACCCCCATGTTCTATTTTCAGCCATGGTGGCCATCTTGGTTGATGTGCGGGGTCATCGGATACATTTTTCAAACTAAAAATATACCCTTAGAATGATTTAGACCAAATTTGGTTTTATTTGGCCCAGTAGTTTCAGAGGAGAAGATTTTTGCAAAAGTTAACAGACGACGATGACGACAAACGCCAAGTGACGAGAAAAGCTCACTTGGCCCTTTTTATTAAGGATGGACGCCAAGTGATGAGAAAAGCTCACTTGGCCCTTTTGGGCCAGGTGAGCTAAAAAGGCAGGATGACAATTTATGTAAAAAAATTCAGGATAAACTAATAAAAAAATAAGGCAGGACCAAATAGAGTGAAAAATAAAAAGGCAGGACAGAGATTACAACTAAAAAAAATGCAGGACAATTTTTTCATCCTAGCCATCCCCCCATAAAAATCAAATGGTAGCTCCTGTAATCTCCTCTATCACTCGACATATAGCATGAAACAATCAATCAATATCTTTCCAAATTGAAATTTTTTATCATGAAACTCATGTTTTAAGAACAAGTTACCGCTATTTTTTATTTAATTTGATTATCAAGGAAATTGGGTCACGTAGGATATGAATTGAAGAGAGGTTTTGTTGTTGTTCATTTAATGATTGTTTAAGATCTATGATTATATTGTTTGTTAAGATGGATGAACATTTAACATTGTGCTGAATCATTATAAACAAAGGAGACCTGATTTATTTCTCAATAAAGTGTCACATTCGATCAATTTCAACAATAAAACATATGTTTCCTATTGAAGTATTGTTAAAGTGATGTTCTCTCGTTGTAATAAAGTCTATTCTACAACGTACTCATATATATTTATACATATATATATATTGTTATATATCAGTATGTATGGTCAGATTATGTTTCTGTGTGTAAGAGAGAGTTGTTAATTCCCCTTTTGCCAGTATTTTGTATTTTTGTTTGTGACGTCTTCTTTGTCTGATTAAAATGTAGAAATGGAAGCAGATGTGTTTTTATCTGTCCATATATATAATCGCCTCCATCCTTGCTACCAGAGCTATTCCCCAATTCTGTAACAATATATATATATATATGTATGTCTGCCTACATGTATGTGTAGTGGCAACTGTAAATTATACCTATATATATATTCTCTTTATATATATTCAAAACAAAAATTGAGATTTTCGTCATTTCATGATTTCTAATTTTGATAAAAAGCTCCCAAGCCTTGTTTTAACTTCTATATATATCTAACCTATGGCAAGCTGTTTTACTATTATATAACACAAGTCTAAATTGAAATTATACATGTATATCAATGCTAACTTCAAGATATCTCATTTAGTTTATATAGTTTATAAGAAATCTTAAAAAGTTTATAAGATATCTTATAAAGTATATATAAATAAGATATTTTATAAAGTTTATATCTTATAAAAACCAAGGATTTGTATAGTAAAAACCTTCTTACTGTACACATCCTTGTAAAAACTAGATTATATAAGATATCTTATATTAGTCCAAATAATTATGACATCTTGAAAGGCTATTTTATTTTTTTGCTGTGACGCCTTCCTACGACGTCATAATTATTTGGACTACTATTTATATATGAGATATCTTGAAGTTAGAATAAATAGTAAAACGGCTTGCCATACTAACCGAATCAAAATTAGCCTAAGTATTCTTATTGTAATAAACTGATACTCTGTACAGTATGCCAAGTAGTTTTTTCGTGAACTGAAGCCGTAAAAATTAAATTGATACAAGGCTTTTCAGTAGGATGATATTTTTATCTAGCAACAGAGCTTCGCGCCTGGGCCAGAAACCGGAAATTCTTTTTATAAGTCCCAGACCCATTTCGGAAGTTTACCAAAGTTTCGTGTTTTTCACTGTGGACTCAAGTTGTCCCAAGAGGGTATTCTCTTTGATATGTAGCAGGAACAATTCTGTTGGAGATTCGGGGATGCGGACCACAGCTTATTCTAGTTTTTTTTGCTTTTTTTTGCTTTTCAAAAACATGATCTATTTACATAATTAAACTATTTTTAAGTTTATGAGGTATCTGTCTTTCCATAATTTGTCATATTGTTGGTTTGCCTTACCATAGATATAATAGCCATAGATAAAGTACTGGACCCACATCAAAAGCAGATGATATTTGCCGAAATTTATTCACCCTCTTATTATATACATGTCACGCTTGGTGTTAATTAGCCTTCATTGGCAATTGCCGTCGATCGATATCTAATAAATTGTGAATCGGGAGACTTTTAAACACACGAATGTGTTACGTAATGACTTTTAACCATAATAAAAAAAACGACCTTTTTTTTTTAACTCTGCCAGGTCCAAAGCTCGGATAAAATAGGAGGGAAGTCATGAGAAGTAAATATTGTAAAAGCGCAAATGTCCTATATAAAAAGCGCAAATGTCCATTTAAAAAAGCACAAACGTCCTATGATAAAGCGCAAACGTCCCGCGCCGGAATTGATATATAGCTGTATTTATAGTACGAATCACACCTCCTCTAACACAATTTTAAGAAGGAAGAGGGAAAAACCATGAATGACACAGGACAAAACTCCTATATTTTCATTTTATCATAGCCATTATAACGCTTAATCTATATATTGTTTACTTCAAAAATGAAATCGACAATCAGATTATACCACCATCTATTTAATAGCAAAACAAGCACAAAAATGGTAAGCGGAAAGGTATATAGAAGACACAAATTCAGAGACATGATTGTGCTATTTCCCAATTATTTAATGTATTCAGTGTGTCCACTACATACGTTTTCTTCACCAAACGGCGTTTAAAAAGTTTATAATGTATTCCCTTTTTTCTCTTTATTTTCTAAAACTTCGTGTTACGACAGAAAGTTTCGACACTTGTAAAAATCTTTTTTCTTTTCTAAAAAATAATAATTTCTTCTTTCTGGCATAAAATATGATTACACTATTTTGAATCTCGATAAAAAAGAAATTTCTTTAACTCGCCATAGAAAAATTCGACCAGGTTCGACCTCTTAACCACGTATACCATCAGTAAACGATATGTCTCCTCTTGTCAATCATACAGGTCTTATTTTCCGAGTGCAACCGATGCAAGTGCTATGACAATTTAATTTTACATGCCTGTTAAGTCCATTTTCCATGATTTCTCTATTTTATTATTTCAACAACAGCATAACCTTTTCATTTGTTGACCGATTTTCTCCAAATAAATTACAATCCGAACAACTTTTACAACCAGACGCTTTATATTGCTCCCGCGTCACGGCATATTATTACTTGAGACAGGTAACGCATATTAATTATCGGTTGATAAGACGAGTGCCCGATAATTTAAATATAATTATGATAAGTCATTAGTCTATTGGGAGGATGTCGGCAAATATCATCTACATCATAGGCCACTACGCGCAGTGCCCTGCTTTTGATATTTCAAAGGAAACTACATGGGGCTCAGTGTGACAAATTCTGAGTACTTTATCTATGGCTATTATATCTATGGCCTTACGGAACACAGAGGCGGTTCTATGATTTTGAAAAAGAGGTAACGTTCAATAGATACACAAAAAGGGATTCATGGAATAGCCAAAAAATCGTACCGCACATTATAAGAGGGTGGTAAAGTGTTATTGTCGTGCAACGTGTTTTGCCATTTTTATTTCACGTGCAGCCGTGAAAAAGGTTCGTTATTCACCGTGTTTCGTGAAATCGGTAAAAAGATCAACGTCCAAGCGGAAATTTTTAATTGTTCGTTCATCGTGAAATGGCAATTTTATTTCGCGTTCTTCCGTGCAGATATCCCACTTTACGCCCCTCTTATAACAGATCACGACTACTAGAAAAGGAATCTACTTTGGCCCCGAAAAACCCCGCTTATCAAAAGTATCAATGACAATGTCCCGCGATGACTCCAATACAAATTTTTATTACAGGTTTGAAATCAGAGACATAATGCTCTGGTTGAACTGAAAGTCACAAACATGATGTCAGACTGAGATGATAACATGTAATCTCGGATTCATAAATAAGATGTTTATAGATATGTACTCACCATATTTGAAACATTTGCTGCTTTCTGCTTGTATACAGGCGAAGAATGGTTTGTTAATGCGTCGTCCCATTCGTTATCAATTGTTATGTTTCCTTGAAATTTTAGCTCTTGAGGTAGAACTGTATCAAAAAAGAAACAAATCATTCACAGGCCATGGTAGCACATCATAGGGTTTTTGTTTCATAAATGGTAAAATGGAAACCAATGACATATATAGGCAGGAAATTTTGAAGCTCAGGGGAGAAGAGGATGATCAACCAATGGACATTATATGTCTCCGAATATGTCACTTGATAGCCCAACGGATTCCTTCTCTTGATTCATGAATACACATCGGATGTCGTGTTATTACTCTCGTTTCATATTATAAGTTAATGCATATATTTACTTATGCAACAGAAAGGAAACCAAGGCCATTGGTAGGACTAATGAAGTCAGTATCAAACAAACAAACAAAACTTATTTAATTCCAGAAATTCGAAAGTTCGAACATCGTGAATAATCAAAGACGAAAACAATTTTTTTTCATTACTAACATCAATCAATCAACAAATATGATAATCTCAACTCTTCACTATAGCCAATCAATCAATACATACATATGGAAATCTCAACTGTCGAAAGGCGCATCTGGTGAATTAAAATTGGTACCGTATATGTTATTTTCACTAACCAATCAATCTATAAATATGTAAATCTCAACTCATCAATATCTAATCAATAAATAAATATCTCACAAACCAATCAATCAATATATAAATCTCACCTCCTCGATAACCAATCAACCAATAAATATGTTAATCTCAACTCCTCACTAACAATTTATTCAAGTTATCAATATATTAATCTCAACTCCTCGATAACCAATCAATCAATAAATATGTTAATTTCAATTCCTAACTAACCAATCAATCAATAAATCTATTAATTTCAACTCCTCACTTACCAAGCAATCAATACATATGTTATTTTCAACTCCCCACTAATGAATCAATCAATAAATATGTTCATCTTAACTCCTCATTATATATCAATCAGTAAATCAAACAGTGAACCAGTCAGTTTACTTACCAGGTGTCGTAGTTGTTATTGTCGAGACCGTCGTTGTCTGAACATCCGCTATAAAATTAAAAAAATAAGATATAATGATTATTAAAACTGATCAATCTGTAATAGTTCGAAAACCTCAAAAATATTACAAAAATATTAATTGTGTAGAAAACTTCATCCGGTTTTATGCAAATTCTAGAGATCTCCTACTTACACGACAATCATTTAATTATTTTCCCTACAAAGTCTGTCATTCGTTTTCCGACAAGACGCTGAGCACTTATTTTCTTTTCTTACTCATATCTATATATTTAATACTTTGACTCTCAGATACGGGTTTGAGTTAATTTGACGAATACAAGGCTTGACAATGAAATAAACTAGGTTATTTACATGTAAAATATTACAAATTAAGTACTAAGCAATTATTCCTACTCACAAAGACTTGTGAAATAAACAGCTACTGCTATTGCACCACCGACAACTATTAAAAGTCCTATGCCTATGGCAATAGCTATAGCTTTTCGAGACTTCGACTTTGATGTTGAATCTGATGATATACTCCCATGAAGATGCTGATCGGAACCCGTTCTCTGCGTTTCTCCATAATGGTAGCTAGACATATATCCTTGATGTGGTTGAGGAACATTTTTATGATCCCAAACATTGATGTTTTGGTGTAAATAGTCTTTTTGTCTATAATCAGGCCTGTATATATCATCTCTGTGGTAGCCTGGATTGTCGTAAGAATTTTTATCACGGTAATGGTGGTCTTTGCCGTGTCGATGCTCCTGCGAAGAGAAAACAGTTATCATATGTGTTGTCTTGAAATTGCTACTTGTTTATTTTTTTGTTTAAAAAGATTGTAGCCTTGCTCAAATCATTTTGTATTTTCTTTGTTTTGGTGCTTTGCATTTGCGCCAATTGGCATTTCATTTGCGCTAATTATACGGGTTAATAGTATGAATAATAATAATATGTTTATTTTTCTACTAAGTTTATGTTATTTATATCCTCCGTTCTCCAACATTACAAGTTACCCCTTTCGAGCAGGATAAGTTCCTAAATAAAAAACAATAAGGCTAAAACACAACACCAACAGCTTTTGTTTGCATCATAAAACTACGTGTATCCCAATCATTGCACCTATATGAGGGTCTGGAGGGGGTCCTTCATTTCTGTATATATTTTATCTTTTAGCCATTATTCTCTTTTCTTTATATGTTTTGCCCATTATTCTCAATTCCTTATATTGTAGCACCCCATTATTCTCTATTCTTTATTTTGGTCCACTTTTCTCTATTTATATTTTCGCCCATTATTCTCTATTATACTTAATGAATAATTGAAATCAAGATGTTTGCGTTATAACGCAAAGGTTCGTGTTTTTTCGCAAATGTTTGCGTTATAACGCAAAAGAGGGACGAAAGATACCAGAGGGACAGTCAAACTCACAGATCGAAAGCAAACTGACAACGCCATGGCCAAAAATAAAAAGACAAATAAACAAATACTAGTACAGATGACACAACATAGAAAACTAAAAGACTAAGCAACACGAACCCCACCAAAAACTGGGGTGATCTCAGGTAGGTCACATTCGTAAAAAGGGAAGGGTATTGTAATTACGACACAAGGAACATATCCGATATCATCTGTGAAACGGTTATTTCATAACGGTCAACCAACTCGTGATGGCGTCCGTAAAATTTACGAAGGGATGATTTCAACTTCACCATTATAACGCAAAGGTTTGCGTTATATCGCAAAGATAGGAAGAAAATTATAAAAAAAATTGTGTGGCGCTAATAGGCTTCCGTACTATTCTGTAAACCCCATAAAGACCCTTTTAAATAATTTATTTATTTATTGAATTTAAATGCAAAGTGAGTTGATGCAATAAACAAAATAATGTCAATACAGTATTTAATACATAACAATAAGAATATGTGGTATGATTTCTAATGAGACTATTCACCAGAGACCAAAGGAATCTTATCATATTTAACAACTTCATGTTGAAAACATGACAAAATAGAAAAAAAATTCAAACGGCAATACGAACAGCCTGATTTATACACAAGTCTTGTCTCCATTAATTATGCACTGGATTAAGTTAATTTATAGAAAATCTTTTAAAAATCAAGAAATATATACTTTGAAGTGAAAATTTGAATTTGAGCTAGCTAGCAACCTGTGTAGTAGCCAGCACATTCTGACCCGTTTTTCTGCCGTCTTTTACTTCCTTTTTCATGTTTTAGTGGTCATCCTGTGCAATTTTTCTAACTGTGTATTTTTTTTGTGCCACAAATGACTTAGTTATAGGCAATCGTGTACTAAGTCAGTTCATCTCTGGACCATGTGTTGGTTATTGTTTGTTTTAGTTTGTTGCGTCAAATTATTTTTGGAAGGAGTCGGTGTCGGTGCATGGTTTGTGCGTCAAGTTATTTTTGGAAGGAGTCCGTGTCGGTGCATGGTTTGTGTGCTTTTGTTCAGCCAACAATCTTTGATTACTGCTACGCTTCATATGATATGTAATATGTAGTCATTATTTTGTTAAAATTTAAAAATTGAAAATAAACATTATAGTTTGGCATGACTGATGTGTAGATTGCTAGATTAAATAATAGGTCAAGAATAATTCTGATGGTAAAATGAATTCAAACTGGACGGAGAGTATGATTAAAAGGCATGTTTTTATTGGTGTGCGTGTGTCTTTACGACGTCTTTGTAAATTTTTTGTCAATATCTCGGTATGCGATCAGTCTTTATAACAGAAATTGTCCTGTACACGACTTAATTGAAGAAACAGTCGATTTATATGTAAGAATCAAAAAGTTTCCAGAATTTTCTTTAAAAATTTGTCTGAAACTTTGAATTGTTGTGCAACTTTCTGGGTGAATGGATATTTAACAAAACAGAACAACAATACATGCTTTTTTTGTGTTGTTATGTATTATTGATTAATTTTTAAATTCTCCTTTTTAAAGACTTTTTATAAAATTCAAAATGTTTAAATTACAAAAAAAAGTATATGTTTTTAGTTTGGGATTAAATTTTTTGGGGGGGTTTTAGATATAGATAAAATTGAGAATGGAAATGGGGAATGTGTCAAAGAGACAACGACCCGACCATAGAGCAGACAACATCCGAAGGCCACCAATGGGTCTTCAATGCAGCGAGAAACTCCCGCACCCGGAGGCGTCCTTCAGCTGGCCCCTAAACAAATATGTATACTAGTTCAGTGATAATGGACGTCATACTAAACTCCAAATTATACACAGGAAACTAAAATTAAAAATGATACAAGACTAACAAAGGCCAGAGGCTCCTGACTTGGGACAGGCGCAAAAATGCGGCGGGGTTAAACATGTTTTTTGAGATCTCAAGTTCTCAACCCTCCCCCTATACCTCTAGTCAATGTAGTAAAAACAAACGCACAACAGTACGCACAGTAAAACTCAGTATATGAGAAGTCCGAGTCCGATGTCAGAATAGGAAAAGAAAATAAACAAAATGACAATAATACATAAATAACAACAGACTACTAGCAGTTACTGACATGCCAGCTCCAGACCTCAATTAAACTGATTGAAAGATTATGTCTTCATCATATGAATATCAGGCACAATCCTTCCTGTTAGGGGTTTAGTATTATACCGTCATAAAATATATGAGAAGAACATAACCCGTGTCATGCCAACAACTGGTTTTAGAATAAATGTGTTTAATTCCGATGCAAAGACCCTATAAGTGAATCAATATTAAAGCCAAAATATGCAATCTTTAATGACCTGACAACAGTATCGTAACTATATCCCTTCTTAATAAGTCTGTTTAAAGGTTTTGTAAGCTTTTGAGGTGAATACTGACATTTTTGTGCTTTGTAAAGAATATTACCATAAAAGATTGGATGTGAAATACACGAATGTATAAGATGTCTGCATGTTGAGTTATATTTACGAATGATGTCCTTGTACCGATGATAAAATTTAGTAAATGTTTTGACAAGTTTATGATATCGAAAACCCTGGTGTAATAATTTTTCAGTAATACATAAATTTCTCTCGCTAAAATCTAATACGTTGTTACATACACGAACGAATCGTACAAGTTGAGATATATAAACACCATAAGATGGTGACAAGGGAACGTCACCATCTAAAAATGGATAATTAACGATAGGAAATGAAAAATCATCTCTTTTATCATAAATTTTTGTATTAAGCTTCCAGTAGAATATATTTCTGTAATTCGTTTTTTTTTATTTTTTTTTTGTATTGTATTTCATGCCCCGTTTACGATAATAGCGGTAGTATGTGTTGTCCGTCCGTCTGTATGTCTGTTTTTCAGTCCTGTACCAGATTAACGTTTTTGGTAGTTTACCACGAATTTGTGATCACATTAATTTGAAACTTAGTAAATACACGTTTGTTAATTATGCTGTAAAGTTTTCAAATAATGTGCCAAATATTTTGTTGGTATGGTATTTTATGCCGCATCTACGATAGTAGCGGTATTATGTATTGTCCGTCCGTCCGTATGTCTGTTTTTTCAGTCCTGTACCAGGTTAACGTTTTTGGTAGTTTACCACGAATTTGTGATCACATTAAATTGAAACTTAGTGCACAAATAATAATACATACGTACGTACATTGTAGATACATTATTTATTATAATGGGTACTGAAAGGATACTTATTTTTTACATCATTCTGTATGAGTTACATGACAAATTTTGGTATTAAAACCCATGCACAAAAACTGAAGAATCAGACTTCAAGTTATTCAAATTTGCACCAAAATTCAATTTTCAGTGTGAATCATGATGATAAAGTTATTCAGTGATGATCTTACGGGGGATACCAGGATGGCTTTGACACATTTAAAGACACGCATGGCACTATGACAACATTACACATGTATCTGAACTATGCATTGTTTGAAGTATCCGTTTATTATTTTGAATAACTGATTTCAGATAATTGAAACATCAACAAAATTATATATAGATGTAATAAGTCAAGGCCAAACCCATAAATTGATTGATTGGTTGTTGCTTGCTTAACGGTCAGTGGCAAATATTTCATGCAATGTTCAGGACGACCAAACTCTCAGAGATAGTTCTCCCACATTATCAAAAGACATTGTGTAGCAAAATATCTTCTTGGAGAAGGCATTGGCTCATATCTGAATATAAATCCCAAGCCCTCAAAAAGCGGCTTTTGCTTCAGATTTAAATACCTAAAGCAAATGTGTAAGACAAAATATATAAATACTGATATAGAACAGAATGAATGTTTCTTAACATCTGAATGATGTTATTTGATTGATATGTTAAACTTTTTGATTTTGGAATTCATGGGGCCAAAAAAGTGTTTTATAACATTATTTTATTAGTATTTATGTACAGTAACTGATAATTCACATTATACTGATTTAAACTTGCCGGAGTGTGAGTTTTATGACAAATCTGTAAGCGGAAATCCCATTTAGAAAAAAAAACTAAATTGTAAATTGTAGATTATTCTAAAATTATTGAAAAAATAGATTGCACCAGAATTTAATTTAAGTACTTATTTGCATTATGACCTGATTAAAAGACACTCGGATGTGATTTATAAGGATACACTAGACCGGAATAACTGTAACACCACCAGCTATGGAATAACGTAAAGATCACAACTGCTGTATTATAGAGGGGGTGGACAGCTTTTGATGGAGGTGAGAGAAGGGAGGCGGGAGATGGGAGACAAAAAATAGGTGGGAGAGAAAAAAAAAAGATTCTATAA